TACTGCGAGCAATGAATGAACCAATTTCAGGCATAGGCTCAATAGGTAATGAGCGCCAAACCTCCTTATAAGGTACAGGAGGCCCGCCAGGATCTGTCGGATTGACCATCATGCCTTGCTCTAGCTCATTTCCGTGTGGGAGAGGTGTGCAATATCCTTGATCAATGCCTTCGAATCCTCTGGAGTCTAAATCGTGACTCCATGCAAATGTCTGCTCGTCTAGCTGAGTCTTTTGGCCCATGAAGGCCCAATCAAGTTCTCTTTCAGTGCCCGTATGATCAGATGAGACGGCTTTGAAGCGAACATCAATGAAGTGAGCGCCGACACTCAAGACGAGCGTGTCGGTGTCTTCATATGCCTCAGCTGGCGGGAACTGGATTGAGACTCGTATGGAGGCTGACGATGTTCCCACCCTTCCAGACATTCAAGATGATTGCGAGCGTGAGTCTCTTGAACAATTGAGCTGACGCTGCTAGCTTGACTGCATCTTGAGAGGGCTAATTGGACATGTGGTGTTGTGATAGCGGACTGCACAGTTGCTGGTTGCGATCGACGTCCCCGCGCTAGGAAAACTCCCCACACTCAAACGACCAAAAGTCATCGCAACCAGTGTCGAGGAGGTAGTTCAGTCTTGCGCTGAAACAGCTGCAGACATCCTCGGGATCATCCTATAAACAATGGCCCGTTACGGTTTCACTGGCTTCATGACTGTGCTCGTCCCAACTCTAGGCGGTATATGCCATCTCTTGACATCGACACGAAGCTAACTGCTGTTGCAGCCGTGTACTACTTTCGTCCTCAGCCGTATCGGCCGCCGATGCATGAGTCTGTCAACGTACGGCAAGGCAAAACAAAGGACTGGAATGATGGCAAGCAAGCGACGACATAGCGATTTTCGGTCCAGCCTTCTCTGTGAGCAGTCGGAGCACCAGCATGTATTTTAAGGTGTAAGCATGATATATTGATTGCAGATAGTCTATATGAAGAGTAAGTACAGAAGAAAGCTCGGAAATTTGGGTATAAATGATTGCGCACAGAGGCTTTTTAGGGCCTAGCACTGACGTGCAATGTCGTATTGTTCTCTTCATCGCTTTCATTGCTGCTTAATTTCCTTGTGGGTAGCAGGCCGTAACCAGAGTAGTCATCGAGCAGGAGCAAAGCGCAAAAGATAGAACCAGAGTCGCGTGATTTGAACGCGATACAGCCGCCAATTGTTGCAAGAAGCCAGCTGAAAGAGACTCCGATCTACTATCAATTAAATTTCCCGGTTTATCATCACTCAGCCCGTAGGCAGTATGATGTCCCTAAGATGTTTCTTCATAGTCGCTAAGCTGGTCCTGGGGCCTTATTGACTGGTTGGCGACTGTCGATGGCTCTCGTTTCTTTCCTTTGCGCTTGACAAGAGCTCGTAAGTCAAGAGACTAGTCTGACAAGTTCCACATCATGTGGTTCGCATTGACTGGTGTAGACCAAGCTGAAGGAGAAGAAGCTCATGCGACGACACGAATTTCTTAACGGGCAGATAAGTCGCACGCTCAACAAGACAAAACCCACAGGACAGGTATTCGACTGCCTCTCTAGTCAGTCTCTGAGGCTAAGGATCATGTGAGCTCTTTCACTCGTCTAATCTGCTAAAAGAAAGTAAGTGGGCTTCAAAAAGGTCCTAAAAGGCGAATGGCAGAGGTAAGGACAGACGACAAAAAAAATGCGTTGACGGGGAATCGAACCCCGCTCTAGCCCATGGCAAGGGCCAATCATAACCACTAGACCATCAACGCTTTGTGAACCTGAAAATACTAGCTAAAATATATACAGTCAAATTTGGCCTTATGCGCGCAAAATTCCAATTGATCCAACTCACAAAGGACCAGTCCATGCTCTAAAAGTGCATTAGTATCTTGTCATGTTCAGCCGCTCTACAGCGCAAGTTGCGCGTCTGGCACTCATGCGCCGTCCACCCAATCGGCTTTATACGCGCTTACCTTGGCGTCCTGCTGCACCTTTACGCATGCTATCACGTAGTTCACCCAATCGCGCCACAACCCCGACGTCGCTTGTTTTAGTACGATCGCTGAGCTTTTCATCAGTACCGAGAATGGCGCTGGGTTTACTGCGCGTGCCTGCGCTCATTGGTGGGGGTATCACGGCGGCTGTTGTGTATGTTCAGTATAAAGTTGAAGGTACGCCACTCTTGCGTTGTTGATGTGACGTTGATGCTGATGATTAGAGGGTACGCGCTACGGAAAAGATCTATTGAAGCAAGGCGCAGAATATGTCGGTGGGACTTGGGAGTTCGTCAAGACTCGCGTTGAAGGCGCAACGGATTTTGAGCTGCCGGCGTTGGAGATGCCGTCGTGGATGGCCAAGGCGCTACGATTTGAGGAGGCTGCATCAACCAAAGACAAAGCGCAAGGTGAGGGAAGTGGCGGCAATGGTCCGAATCATGATAGCGAAGCAGCTGCAGTCATTGCCGCCGGAACAGCAGCGGCGTACACATCAAGTGATGAAGAACTACCGCGCAAAGCACCGCGTGACGATCAGATGATGGTACTGACGCGCAAGATGATTGAGATTCGCAACTTGCTCAAACAAGTAGATCAGACGGAAGCTCTGACATTACCGAGTATCGTTGTGATTGGATCACAGAGTTCTGGCAAGAGTTCAGTGCTCGAAGCACTGGTCGGACATGAGTTTTTGCCAAAGGGAACGAATATGGTGACACGACGACCCATTGAGTTGACACTTATCAACACGCCTGGTGCATCAGAGTATGGTAGCTTTCCAGCGTTGGGACCAACCAAGATTACAGACTTTTCGCAAATTCAGACCATGCTGACAACCATGAATAAAGCGGTGTCTGATGAAGAATGCGTATCGGATGATCCAATTCAGCTCAACATCTACTCACCGAATGTCCCAGACTTGACGCTGATCGATTTACCCGGCTACATCCAGATCCAATCAAAAGACCAACCAACAGATCTGAAATGGAAGATAGCAGAGCTATGCGACAAGTATATTCAAGAACCCAACCTCATCTTGGCAGTCTGCGCAGCGGATGTTGATTTGGCGAATTCGCCTGCCCTACGAGCAAGTCGAAAGGTAGACCCACTCGGCATTCGCACCCTCGGTGTCGTGACAAAGATGGATCTCGTGACGCCCGATCGTGGCGTTGCAACACTCAAAGATGCCAATTACCCACTGAGTCTCGGATACATTGGTGTTGTTTGTAAAGCCCCACAACCGTCGACTTCCCTGTTTCGTCGAGAATCGGCGTTGGAGGTCATGTCACGCAACGAGCGAGCATTCTTCAGTGCATCAACTGAGTATGCAGACTGTGATGTCGGCACGAGCACACTACGAAGCAAACTCATGAGTGTCCTTGAACGTTCCATGGCGGCCAGTCTACAACGCACCTCTGATGCTATTCGTCAGGAACTCGAAGAAGCTGCCTACCAGTTCAAAGTACAGTACAATGATCGCAGCTTGACGGCAGAGACGTATGTCGCAGAAACGATTGATGCATTCAAGCATGATTTCAAGGCCTTTTCAGCGACGTTTGGTAAATTGCAAGTGCGCAGTATGTTGAAGGCAGAACTAGATCAGCGTGTCTTGGAGCTGGTAGCAGAGCGGTATTGGTCAGATCCAAAGATGATTGCTTGGGCAACACAACCAAACGCTGATGCGCATTGGAGTAGAAAATTGGATGCAACGCAGTCTGCATTGACGAGAATGGGTGTTGGCCGGTTATCGACGACTCTGGTGACATCACGCCTTGCATCAGAGATGGAGAATCTAGCAAATGCCGGATCCTTGCGCAATCATCCATTTGCAAAGGAAATCATCTGTCATGCTGCACGGGATATCATGAATGCACGATATCACGGGACTGCTGAGCAGGTGGAGAATTGCATCAAGCCGTACAAGTTTGAGGTGGATGTGGAGCGTGAGGAATGGCAGGCGAGTCGACAACGTGCGGCGCAGCTGATGGAGGAGGAACTCAAGCTGTGCAGGCGCAGCTATGCGGCATTGTCGAATGCCGTTGGAGCGAGACAACTAGCGCGCGTGATGGAGTATGCGGCCTCGGGAAGAGAGACAAAGGAGAGTATGGGCTACAGTCAAGCACTACTTGAGAAGGGCCGGCAAGCATCGTTCTTGACGGATCGAGAAGCAGTCTTGTTGATGCGAAGCAAGTTTCTGCGGTCGAAAGCGTGTGCGACGACAGAGGGCAAGTATGTCTGTCCAGAGATATTCTTGGATGCTGTTGCACAGAAGCTGACGCAAACGGCGGTGCTGTTCATCAATGTTGAGCTGCTATCGGAGTTCTTTTACCAGTTTCCACGGGAGCTGGATCATCGGTTGATACACAACTTGAGCAGACAGCAGGTGGAGCTGTTTGCAAAGGAAGATCCCAAGATCAAGGCACACATTGAGCTGCAGGAGAAGAAGGAACTGCTGGAGTTGGCATTGACGAAGATGGAGAGTGTGATGCAGATTGAGAAGGACAAGCAGCAGGACGAGCGGAGACAGGGCGATGGGCAGACTGCTGCTGGTGGTACAGGCAGTCCACCCGCCCGGCGTCCCTACTGGAAGTCCTAGCTTGCTTAGCTACTTTTATGAATATGATGAGCGTGTAGATGACTTGAAGCAAAGGACTGCAGCTGGATGACGATTTCTGCCTCGTCGCGTCGCGTCTTTTCCCAAATTTTGATTTTCGAGATTCGCGACTTTTGACAGGAGAGACAACAGGCCAACGACTCATCCGCCTGCTACCTCCATTTCAGCTTGTATAGCCCAGCTAGAACAGGCGCACAGCCATGGCCCAAGCGGTGGTCGAGCTCAAGGTCTTCTATAATCTAGACGATATCAATTGTGTCGCAAAGGGCAGCGGGCCTGTCACTGTATCGCTCCTCGGAGACGGCACAACAGTCGGACGACTCGACCTCCATACGTGCCTCCACGCCGCCATCAAGCGATCGTAAGCCTATCAATCCTCAATGCGCTTGCTAACAATTCAGGCCAGAGCTTGTCAATGATAAACAAGCAGACTACTCTGTCTACACGCTTGATGCGACAGAAGACTCGGGCGAGTTCTTTGAAGGCCAGGGATTGCTGTCATGGACACTAGCAGATGGACAGAAGCAAGGACAAGTCACAGGAAAGCTGCGCACAAACTTGGCTGGTATGCAAGTGATAGAAGTCAAACTACAGCTCAAAAGAGCGCCGGCTACAACGCAATCAGAATTCAAGCATCATATGGCCACTTATGATGCTGTAGCGCGTATGCTGCCAAGCGGATTCGACCACAGTGACTGGAGCGAACTCATGCGTCAAGCGGCGACATTGGTCCATCAACCGCATATCCAGCAACACGCCCAGACGCTCCTCTCCCATCCTGCACAATTTGCTACACACCCGCGCTCAAGCCATTCAATTGATTCTGCGAAAGGGATGCAATCTGTTGGTTCTACTGGTATTGCCTCTCGTGGTAGTAGCGGTGGCAAGGCCAAGGCAACAGGCGTCACAACGCTGCACAAAGTACGTGAACAGAAAGCCCGTGAATTGGCGCGCAGTAGCTCGACAATGCAAAACATGTCTGCTCAGCTCAGCCAAGCTCGCCAGCAGTCCGTCACACAAAAACTACAAGCTCAGCGTATTGCTCAACAAGCCGTCGCTGCACAACGCCAACAACAAGGAATCGCATTGAGCAGGACTCAAAGTGAAGGCGATGCCATGATTCCCGATTTCCCATCACCCCTTCTGCCCACGCCGTCGTCCCCGCCACAGATGCGTACGTTTGCCCCTCCACCACCACTAGCAACGACAGCGTCCACATCCACTGCTACTTCTGTGCGTGGGCAATCCACCGGTACAGAGACAAGTTATGCTTTACCTGAGCTACAACGCTCCAATAGCACCACCAGCCAAAACTCCAACCACAAACGCAAAGCGAGTGCCCGCCTACAAAGTCGTTCACCCAAAATCGCAAAGCATGAACTGAAAGACTCAAAACAAACTGTGGATCCATTCCCAGTCAGCTCCATGGCTGCTGCACAGGTTGCAGCGAGTGGCACAACGACAGCAACACGTGCAGCAGCGGTGGCAGAAGCAACACAATCCATTCGTGATGCGATTGCGGAACGACAGGATGCTGAAATGATGGCTGCATTGAGGGAGGGCCGGACACCCAAGTTCTGTGGGAATTGTGGGGCGATTCAGACGCGTGGTTATTGGCGCAGTGTTGAAGTCAATGCCCAACAAATGACCTTGTGTAATCCATGCGGCGTGTACTTCAAGAACAAGCATGTCATGAGACCCGAAAAGTTGTGGCAACAGCATTCTGCAAGGTTGAAGAAGCAAGAGGAGCAACAACGATTACGAGAGAGGCAGACAGGTGTTTCGAGCGCTGGTGATGTGGGCGATCACACTGAGCCTGTGCATTTCACGCGAACATCGCCAATGAGGGTCGAGACAGATGGCTACAATACACGTTACAGAGCAATCCAATCGTCGCCTGCCCGACTTCCACCACGCTCGCATACACCCACTCAAGCACTGGCCGAACTACCCATTAATACGCCAAGACAGCAGCAACAGCCAAGTCCATCGCCTGCACAGCTCTCGAATGACAATGCTCGCGACTTGGCTGCATTACTCCGTACCCCGCGTCGTCTGGGTTCCAGTGCATCGCAACTTTTATCCTGTGGATCCGCATCTCCCTGGCGAAGCATGTTTACAACATTCACAGAAGACTCACCTTCTCGACAAAAATTTGACAAATTTCTAGAGGAACTAGCCATGCATGATGCGTCAGGAACAGGTACACCAGCCACTACCGCAGCTGCTGCTGCAGCGGCTGCTGCATTGGTTGCAGCGAGTCCAGGTGCACAGGGGATGATTGATTTTCAAGCCATGTTCGGATCACCTTCTCGCAATGGCTTATTGCTGAGCGTAACGGAAGGGTCACCCACGCATGCAGCTGGGATGCAAGCTGGGATGTTCAATTTGGCGAGTTTCATGTCAAGTCCGCCGTCGATGGGGAATTTCACATCTGAGCCATTGATGATGGAGGAGACGTTGACGCCGCAAGATGGAGAGGAGGGACAGCAGCAGAGTACGTCGGAGTCGAATGAGACGGCAAAGAAGAAGAGGAAGGACGTGGAGACGCCCTCGTCCGCGACGGACGGCTTGTTCACCCCGAAACGAGCAACACGACACACAAAGACGCCATCGAGCATCACACGTCGTGCGCTTCGATCAGCAGGATCACTGTCCAATATCGACGCATTCGGTGGACACCTCAATTGAAGCGTAGCGGTATTGTAGCGTATTGGCATGCATTCTTGAAAACCTTTCGTCTTGCGGCTATTGCTTCTGTCCCTTGCAGTGTGCTACAAACTCATCAATCAAGACAGGCCACGCCTCCATCTCATCATAATCGCTCAAATCCGCCTTGACTGACCGACTAAAGTCGTAAATCATATTCCACACATCACGAGACACGCCACGCGTTTTGGACTCGCAAAAGGAACGCCAGGGTGCGTAGAGCGCCCATGTTTGACCGGTGCCTGTGAATAGCACATCCCAAAAGGCAAGGGCTGTCTCTAGGTCAAGCGTGCGCGACGGTGGTGTCAGTGCAAACCCATAAGTAAAGAGGTAAGTGCGCTTGAAGAGTGCTTCATCGTACTGTGCATCGCCATACATCAGCTTTTGTTCCAATGAAGCAGTATACTCTTGCATTCCTTGAAGCTTCGTCACGCCTAGATGCCGCCAGCCATCTAGCCATGGTTTCCGTTTAAATTGCCCTTGTGTCGGTGCACCCAGCACCATGCAGATCGCAAGGACGGGCGCCTTTTCCAAGTCAAGCCCAAGATCAGTCAAATACTGCATCGTCCCGTCAATCTGCATGATGTCGTCATCCTTGGGAGTCTTTACAGCTGCTGCTCTTGAGGGTTTGCGCGGTGAACCGGACGGTGACGCATCGCCTTCCATGTCCATGTACGTGTTGAAGATATCATTGAGTTGCTTTGTTTCAGTCTTGGATGGTTGATTGATTCCTGTGTGTTTGCGCAAGTACGTATCTAGCGCTGACTCGACATTGTAACGCGTAGCCTTGAGGTACTTTTGAGCAGTGGCGTCATTACAGTTGGTCCTGCCGTGTTAGTCTGCTGAATGATCTGCAATAGAGCCAAGTATACAGATCTTTGAACTGCGCTATGAGCGAGCGCTGCGTGCTAGTCAGGGACATGGAGCTCGTCTGGGCCCTGTCGCGTTGGAGTTTTACCTTCGCCTTGGTCTTGGTCTCTGGTCGTCGCGGTCGTTGAAAGGCGCGATCAAATTCAGATGGAATTGAGATCTTCTGTGCAGGAAACCACTCTTTGGGCATCTTCTTTCGACTCCCTTTGGGTTCACAACATGGAACAGATAATGATACGTTCTATTGAGAGGAAATCATTCTGAGCTATCTGGTAGCTTTGAGTCTCTTCATCGCTTGACTTTATACAAGACAGTCCAATATTCTGCAGAGGCTGCTATCTTTGAAGAAGGTACGCTGGAATCGCAATAATGAGGCTTGAGCTTGTATTTGGCTGATTTGGAAGATGTGGAATTTGGTACTAGAACATGCCACTGCCTGAGCTGGAGACGCTGGTCTACTCTTCCGAAGCTACCATTCAACCTCATCGCCCTTAGTACTGTGAGCGATGTGGTGGGCATTGCCTCTTTCGATAAGACTAGTCGGTGAGCAGTCAGCTCAACAGTACACACACAAATGTTGAAAACAATTCCATGGTCAAAAGAAGCTGTTACCTTTCTTGCATCTGCAACGAGATTCGAGTAGAGCCAATCAAATATCATGAAGCGATTGTTTTCCTCATCTTTGCTGAAAGGCTGAAATGTATCGGGACCCGCAATGAAAAGAGTATCTCGGTGCTGTTGAACAGATAGAGTGCAGAAACCTTGACAGACTGCACCTGTTCCTTCTTTCAAGATTTCTCGTGTGTACAGATAAAACGTCGGCGTGATACAGGGTGGTGCAAAGCCTTTGAAGACGAACATGACCCAAAATAGAGAGACTGCACCGGCAAGAGGGCCAAATTGGGACGGTAACCCTGGATAGTATACCTGCTCTTGAAGTGGGACATCGTCCAGATCAATTCCAACGATTTCGGGTTGCGCTCGTGAGGGCCGAAATTCAGTAGGCTAGTCGCGCAGAAAGTATTGGTTTGATGCTGCGATTGGATCGTCTCTCGCTCGTCAGACATCAATGGCCACAATTGGAGAAGGGCTTGAAGGATTTCGCACGTTCTAGCTGCAGACTTATTCCCTGACTGTGAATGGTGTCTTTTTTCAACATGTTCCTAAACAAAAGCACATCTCTTCATCACTCAGGGGCAACCTATTATGGCTACAATTCAAGGGCAAAAAATTCCGTTCCACCAAATTGAGAAGTGATTATAGAAAGTATTGTCTTTCGCACGCTTGGACCGCTATTCGTAAATAATGAGCTAAGTACGTGGTAATGGCGACTTCGACCATTGTGGAGGCTCTACATGATATAAGACGGTCCATATATCCTTAGAGGATGTCAAATTCGATATCAAAATCTTGGTCTGACAGTACTCACGTCGAGGCTTAGGAGCCTTCTTGAACTCACGTGGTGTCAGAGCTTGCCATCCATTGAACTGTAGACGCTTGGATACTCCCAGGAAGCTGCAGTCTAAAGAGATTTTCGAGTAGAAAATGGAGTATGCAGGCTCAGGCATTGATTCTTTTGACAAGATTTGCCGTTGTGCCGTAAGCTGTACGCGACACATGCAAGTTGTCAGTTGAAGGTCGGCAGACGACGCAACGGTATTTGTTTCTACTACTGGATCCCAGTAAAGCCAGTCAAACATACCATGACTATTTTGTCCGCTGACATCTTCTGCGATGAGGACTTGACACGTGTCTGGTCCTGCAGTCAAGAGAGCGTCTCGATGCTGTTGGATCGACAATGTGCAGACTTGTTGGCAAGTTTTGTTTGCTCCCAGGTTCTCCTCTACCTTATGGAGATGATACGTTGGTATTGTGCAAAGACGGTCTGGAGGTTCGCCGTGGTGGCTGATAGGTCTGATAATGATAAGCCACAAGAAGGAGATCATGCCAGACGCGATCGCCACAGCCCAGTAGTGTTCAGTGCCTCGAAAATTCTGCGGACCGCGCATGCGCTGTACTTGTCCTCGAAGCCTAACAAAGCCATTATTCATGACCTAGAAGCGCCGCAGAGCAATCAGGCAAGAGAAGGTGGTCTGAATGTTGGATAGTCTTGGCAACTACAGTTGTCGGGTTTTGTGAATGCGTCCATGCTTCTACAGGCCTAGGGGGGTGACATTTTCCTTCGCGCGTAGGCACATGCAAACGACAATTTTAAAATTTTGAGGGGTAAGCGGGATGTGCTGATACAGCACTGCAGATATGCGGGCCCTGCTTTGCTTCTGGAATTGCCACACGAGGCATAAAGTAGCATTCGTTTGCGACGAATATCGATACAAAGCCTTCTCGATGTCCTTTGCGACCAGTCGACCCAGTACCTCCATAGATCATTGCACACTTGAAGTCGCGCAGACATGACAATGCATGCTTTGAACATCTCGCATGTTTCAGCAAAGTCAACAACTCGTAATCTACGCATGGCATGTTTCGCCGCGTGGTCAAAAGTTGCATCAACGCATGGGGCGCAGTGACGGATGAGGGGGATAGATAGCTTTGAAAGCACATCTCCCCATCACATATCAGGCCTTCAGGGGTAATTTGCTTTGGATACATTCTACAAGCAAGGAGCTCTCTTTCACCAGGTCGAGAATCAAGTTTGGGCAGCATGGCCTTAGGCGCTTTCGACTGTCTTTCTAGAGTGGTGAGCTCCAGTGGCGATCACGACTTTGGCTGTTCTGAGCCAGTGAGAGAATACAAGACGACCCACATGTCCTCAGAAGCTGTGAATTGCGAAGTCGGAGTCTTGGTCTTGCAGTCCTCAAGTTGAGGCTTAGAATCATCTGTAATCGCAATTGGCGTCAGGTCTTGCCATCCCTCGAATAGCAGACGCTTGGATACTCCCTGAAAGCTGCAGTCAAAAGGGAATTCCGAGTAAAAACTGGAAGATGCAGGCTCAGGCATTGATTCCTTGGACAATATCTGTCGTTGTGCCGTAAGCTGTACATGACACATACAAGTTGTCAGCTGGAGGTCGGCAGACAAGTTGACGGTCTCTGTATATGCTATTGGGCCCCAATAAAGCCAATCAAACGTATCATGGTGGTTTTGTCCGCTGACGTTTCCTTTGTTGATGTTGAGGATGAGACACTCGTCTGGTTCTGATGTGAAGAGAGCATCTCGATGCTGCTGGATCGACAATGTGCAGAGTTGTTGGCAAGTTTCGTTTGCTCGTTGGTGCTGTGGCTTATAGAGATGATACGTTGGCATTGTGCAAAGACGACGGTTTCCTTGTTCGGCGGACTCGAAAAAGAAATTCCACACGTAATGAACCACTAGAAGCGCGAACCACGAGCTCGCCACAGCCATGATGTGTTCAGCGCCTCGCAAGTCGTGCGGTCCACACAAGCCCTGTATCTGGACTGGGAGTGGTCCATTGAGTTCAGGGACATAATCCATAAGACTTCGTAACGCCGCAGAGCAAGCAGGCGAAAAAGGTTGATCCGGCCGTGAAATAATATCGACAACTTTGGTGGTCGTTGAATTTGTGGATGCGTCCGTTCTTTTATGTGCGGGTGATATTTTGCTTCGCGCGTGGACCTGCATGTGACTTTTTTGGTTTTCAGGGGAAAGCGGGATTTACTGATACAACACTGGAAATCTAGCACGTTGTGCCCTGCGTCGCTTTTGAGATTGCCACAAAAGGCATGAAGGTTGCATCTATGAGCATCCGCACAAGCAGTGATGATGCTTGTCTGCGGCTAGCTTTTCGCATATGACCATCAGCAGAGGCTGCAACTACTATTGATACAAAGCCCTTCTTGATGTCCTTCGGGAGCAAATGACTCAGAGCCTCAATAGCTTGATGGACGCTTGATCTCGTGCAAATGTGACAATGCATGCTTTCAACATCTCGCATGATACAACATAGATGGTATTGATCAAAATCAGTCAGTCCACGCATGGTATGTTTCGCCACGTTGTAAGTGCATTGATGCATGATCAGGAAAGACAGCTTCACAACTGACAGCTCCAGAGTGAGGGGCTCCCATCAGATTTTGATGATGTCCACACGTGAGCGAGCCCACAGTTCATGCTGCACAAGGTCGTCCAACGGCTCAGGCTTCATAGCATCACTGTACAGATCCGTTTCTTGAGTTGATTTGACTTGCTTTGGCTGAATCGATAGCCTTGCAAATGAGCCTGGGCCAGCACGTCGCGACAAGGTTCCAGGATTGATGACCATGACATTCTCCACAACTTTGGCAAAGCTGGAGAGTTCAGACGGCAAGATGAGTACGTCTGGCACACGATTGCCAAATTCTGCAAGGCCAAGAAATCCGGCGTCCAGTGAGATTTGAGGTGGGAACAAGGGATAGAATCGCCGTTGTTGAATGATGTGAGCGGCTTGACGGGTTATACCATTTCGCTCTGCGGGATTCTTGACTACTTCCGAGGTTGTCATATGTTTAATGATATCCGGGCTTGCAATGCCAAAAGAGACTTCGTCCAGACTGAACAAGGCAGGATTGGGCAATAGTTTTGTACCTTTTGGCAAGCCTGTCATAGAGCGTTGAAGTGCTTCTTGCGGAAAGACTGGATGGCGCGAGTTGATATCCGCAATGTGCGGTACAACCAATAGTCCAGGAAAGTCCTGAATGACAGGAGCAATCAGATCCTTGAAGAGACCGTCAAGGCTACCACCGGGACAATCGAAGTCACCACTTGAAATAAGTGGATGCTGGCGGTCAATGAATGGGCCAAGCAAGATGACTTGATCTGGCTTATCAGCCATAATCACCTCGCGTAGCGCATGGAGTGCTTCGAACTCCAAATTGGCTTGCGTCGTGTATGGGCCACAAGCAATCACAATGCTCATGGTCTCTTTGCGAAATTCTGAAGGCGCTGATGCGGCAGGTGGCAGTGCCACAGGTGTCACCCATTCACTGACCTTGAAGGTGCCAGTGCCGTTGATGCCACGACAAGCAACGAGCTGGCCGGGAAAGAGAGCATAACTCTCAACAGCAGATAGATCGAGCTTCGTGCGTGAACCGATGCCCAACCGTCTTGATGTCTCAAGCATGACTGATGCAGCGTTGAGCCGACCTCCATTCAAGGCATCACACACAATCCGACCGACAACGAGCACATCGGTCTGTTTTTGCTGTGCAGGGTCTCCAAGATGCTCATCGTCCAAGCCAAGCTTCTCCAGCACCAATTCAGCAAACGAATCAATCTGATCATCCAGAATCTCCGACACTTCCGACAATTTCTGGTACATCGGACGGAATGAGTATTTTCGAGGATCGAAGTTGGCCGTCAAACTTGGTGTGGAAGTAGACGGCAAGGGTGCGTCCATGTTTGTTGGATTGAGAGATGTGATAATGACGCCTGCATCTTCGCGGTCGCGAAAGGCAACCGGTGTGCCTAGTTGGTGCGGTGTTTGGTTGGCAGCCAACGGACTACTCGCCAGCGCACTTCCAGTAGGACGAGCGGGTGTAGTGAGACTCGCCCTTTTGAAAGATTCACGCTTGACACGCTTCGATTGTGGTGTGACGTCTCCACCAAGGAAATCTTCATAGCCCGCCAAGCTGGCCTTTTTGTTCGATGCAGGCGTTGCTGCAACAGAAGCTTTGAGACGCGTCTGATTGCTGTTTTCTAGCTGATGTTGAATGTCCTGCTTGAAGAGCGTCGCGTTGTCGAGGTTGAGTTCAGGATTGGTGCCCATCTTGAAGCACCATGCTTCCCATTTGAAGAAGAGTTCTTCTTCTGAAATGGAGTAGACCTTGACAGCAGACTCTAGAAGCGAACGAACATCTATAGCGAGCTCTCCGAAGCGATCCATCTCTATCTACGTGCTTTTCTAACAGCTGTTTGGTTCAAGTCGAAAAGTCGCGTCGAGAAAGGCGAAAGACGCGACTGGAAAGAACAGTCACATACATTGAACTACACAAAACATAAAAAACAAGCCTACAACTTGTGTTTCTTGTCCTTGGTGGCCAGTCGCATAAATTGGGCTTGAGGAATACCGGTCGTAAAGCGATCAGTGGCAGCGACAATCTCCTTGACATTCATCTGTTCAAGCTGGTTCCTGAGGGTGTCTTGCAGGAAGGCCTTTGCAATATGCATGCTTTCAACATTCTTGTCCTCCAGCAGCGATACAATATGCTTCAAGGTAGCATCTGCAAATCCAGACTTGGGGAAGACCTTGCTTATGAATTGAGCAGCTTGGAGTTCTTGGCAAGAGAGGGCTTCACCTGCCATCAAAGCTCTGTTGGCCAATGCATAGCCCATTTTCAGTGGGAACATGAGGGAAGCACCACCCTCCGGTGCAAGTCCCAGGCTTGCAAATGGAGTCAAGAGGTAAGTATCAGGCGTAGCATAGACAAAGTCTGCAAAGGCGACAATAGCTGCAGAGAGGCCAATGACGGGTCCGTTGAGGCAGAAGAACAACGGATGACGGTGATAGAAGAACTGTCGGGTGATATCAAGATTGCCGATTGCGAATTTGCCGAGATAGAACTCTCGTACGTCGCCGTCAGAGGGTGGCATGGAGCCAGCACTGTGGTTAGCTTTGCTTGAAGAAAGAGGGCTCTTACGCATTGACATCAGCGCCTGCGCTGAAGAACTTGCCTGTTCCAATGAGGATAGTTGCAATTGTCTCTGCATCATCGCTCACTTGCCGCATCATGTTCGACAAGCGAATGTAGTGCAAGCCCGATAAGGCATTGTACTTGCTCTCTCGATTCAGTGTGATGATGCTGATTTTGCCAGATGGAGACTGATGCGATGTAAGGACCACTTCTCGCTCTAGCTGCTCTGACATGATTGATAAGGATACAAACGTTGCACAAAGCAATCAGTGTCGAGGCCTTCATAAATATCGCGTCTCCGCTATTTTGCGGGGTGGAAGAGATGATCATCTGAAGAACTCGGGAGCCAGAAAGCGCCGTCGCCGAGAGCAAAGTAGAAGTCATTGAGAGATCTAGTCTACTATCGTATGAGGTGCTCAAGCGTATTGCCTGGTCTATGTCGATTGCGACTTGCAGTATCATGCAGATTCAGGCTATTGCTTGATTGAGGCGTATATTATGGGATGGCGAGAAGCACCACGACTGGCATACTCTGCCGTGTGGAAGGAGAGACTTACCCTCTGGCGGCTGGAATTATCAAGCAAGTCGTCAGATATGCACTCAATTGGAGTATTTCATGAGGGACAAGTAAAGAGCTGCGTCGGCCATATGCACAAGCAAAGGAGATAGGGCTCATGGCCACTATGGAGTATGATGACCAGGTTCGTCTCAGCGGTATTACAGACATCCTCAGCCGTGGTCTCGAGAGCTTCATCATATTGACCTCCTGGCAGAGGATGAGACTGAAGTCGTTGAGAACTTGAGGTTGATCGCTAGAACTACTGAGCGTGAGAAGAACAAATTCTGCTACAAAAGCGCGCATCGGCAGCCTCCTCCCAGTCTCTTTGCGTTATCAACTACGAGCAATCGTAGAGCAACCCGTCCGCATCACTTTAAGAGCTGCTATCCTTCATTTTATGTGGACTGTTCTTCATTAGTTGGACGGAGACCAACACTCGTCGGTTTAATTAGGCCGTGTCGTCTACCTTTTCTTTGATGATTGCGGTCACCGACTGGCGATACATTCTCTGCTTCCATCTTGCATGGCTCAAGCATATCTATGGATATGCGTGTCTACAAGAGGCGAAAATGCCGACTTGAGGCTATGCTGGGTTGAGAGGGTGTGCTGATGGACCACCACACTCCAAGCACTGTCGAAGCATCAAGTTGGCATTTCTGCAGCTGTACTATACCGGTGTTTAAATTGTCCCGTCCACCAAGTCCATGGACGACAGACAGGGAAACGCATCGGAGAAGCGAAACCAGGGCCTTGCGTCGGCATCTACGGATGACCTGGCGTTTGGCTGGCAGGCATCAACCACGCCGGATTCATTCTTGATGTAGAATTCAGTGATGTAAAATGTCTTCTACAGTCTTCTTTCTTGTAGCTAAGCCTATAATACGGTCTATCCAGCTTCTCAACATTTCGTGTTTCATGCTCGTCGCATTCTTGCAACCAAAACAAACCAAACAAGACTTTCGACAGGCAACGACTTGACCAGTACATAGTACAGTACAGCCCATGGAGGGCCCTACTACTGAACAAAGACCAAGCATGCATACGCGTAAGCGATCTTCCATCTGCATCGGAAGGCCAGACAGACGGCCCGCTAGTATTCGAATTCCGAGCAGTGGCAGCGCAAGCAGTACATCGAGCAGCTACGCGCCTGTCCGCTCAGCAGAGCCTCTCTCTGCTGGTGCACTCATGCCACTTCGTCTGGAAGCAGCAGCAGATCCTATTCATCCCGCATCTAAACATCGACGGACTTTATCACTTGCAACGACCGCGGAGAGATTACCCCTTCAACTTGCCTTACAGCCTTGTCGTGAGCAGGCTGAAGAAGCAATGGTGCGTGTACCGACGCGACGGGCACGGCCTACGAGTATTTTCTTTTCGCGCTTCACCAGTATCGCTCAGCCGGCAGAACCTGTCGTGACGCCGCCAGCTGTACAGACTGGTGAGCAGCAACGAGAGATGATGATGCTGCGTGGACAAGTGGAGGATTTGAGTACCCGCGTGATGGCAAAGGACATGACTATCAGCATGTTATCAGAGCGTGTCGACGATTTGTCTATGGAGATGGAATTGATGCGTAGCAAGATGCGGCTTCTTGAGCATGCATTGAGCAATACACCTTCTTCTGCACGACTGGATGATACGCTGCTGACATCTGCTGAGGAAGACGTCGCTTGTCTCGGGCTTGCTTATAGTGCTCAGCCATGGCAGGATCAAGACAAGCAACGACCCAGTCTCAGCGCGCGCAGTATCTCAACGAGTGGTGACTCAGCCATGGGCCAGTCCATCAAGCAAGAGTCAAACTTTGCACATCAGGTATCGCCGACTCTCTCGCGGCAGTCTTCAGCATCTGCGTATAGCACGCCTGCGTCGACACGTACACAGAAGTATACGGGTGATGTGTCACCTGGTGATGTCTCCATGTCTGTGTTGCAACTTGAGAATGAAGCGTTGAAGTTGGAAGTGAAGAGACTCCAATCTGCGCTTGAAGAAGGGCTTGGGGCATTGGCAGACCTGGCTCTTTGACGAAGCAGTCAGGTTCAGTACTTTGAGTATAGTAGAATGGCCCGTCGGTTGTTTGCGCAATGCTGGTGTGCAGACTCCGTCCCGCACTGACATGCGCATCGCTCCAAGCACAGCATCCTTCATTGGTGTGCAATGCTCACTCAGTCAATGGGAAAGGCCGGACTTTGCCTTCGTCAATGGATCAAGATCAATGGTATGATCGCTCAACAAGTAATGGAGCAGGCCACCCCAGTCTATCGACATGTCGGACTGTGTCGTGACATCTCGACTCTTTGTTTATGACTGTATATAGTGAAATATACCGTTGAGCTACCAAAAGCTGTCTACGCAAGACATGAATTAGTCCTGGACTTGCTCTCTACTCCTCGCGCCTCAGTACTACATCTAGACTACTCAATACTACTGAGCACTACAGGTAGAGTCATTGTAGACTACTGCTACTGCTCACTGCTCCCCTGGGCCATATTCAGATGAACACAAACACGTGCAGTTGGAAACACCACAAGACAAAAAGTCAAGACCAGAACATGAAATACACCCAGCACAACTGACACTCCCAGCTGGCCCGCGCATAGCAGGCACCTGAAATACCCCTCATTGATAAGTTTGCCCGTCTGCACAATGTCGCGCGTCAAAAACAAAGGCATCGCGCCGATCCAAATCACAGCAGAGCAACTCTTGCGTGAATCCTTTGATCGTTCAGATGCAGGTCTTGTTGGTCCAAAACACAAGATCAGCGATGCTGGTGAGCTTGAGGAGTATCGCGGTCGTATGCGCAAGCAGTTCGAAGACCGGATACGGATAAACAGGCTACAGATGAATAATTGGATCAAGTATGCTTTATGGGAGCTTGAACAGAAGGAGTATGCACGGGCGCGCTCCATCTTTGAACGTGGGATTGATCAAGATGCAACGCATATACCAATCTGGCTGAAGTACATTGAGAGCGAAATGAAGACACGCAACATCAACCATGCGCGAAACTTGTGTGATCGCGCAGTAACGACAATGCCGCGCGTAGACAAATTCTGGTTCAAGTATGTATCGATGGAGGAGACACTCGGTAACATTGATGGAACGAGGCAAGTGTTTGAGCGGTGGATGGCGTGGGAACCAGACGAGTTTGCATGGATCGCTTATGTTCAAATGGAGCAGCGTTATGGCGAATACAGCAAAGTACGGCAAGTCTTTGAGCGATTCACCATGGTCCATCCTGAACCACGTACTTGGCTCAAGTGGACGCGATTTGAGGAAGAGGTGGGCGATCCAGACAAGGTCCGTGAAGTCTTTACACTCGCAATCGACACGCTCGGGGACCACTTTATGGATGAAAAGATCTTTTCTGCCTATGCCAAGTTTGAGACGTCCCTCAAGGAGCATGACAGGGCGAGAGCGATATACAAATATGCGCTGGATCGCATGCCACGGTCAAAGAGCAAACAACTTCATCGGGACTATACCACCTTTGAGAAGCAATTCGGCGACCGCGAAGGCATTGAATCTGTTGTGCTTGCCAAACGACGGATATCATACGAAGAGACTGTTGGCGCAGAGCCAGATGCGGTGGATAATTGGTTTGATTACATTCGCATGGAAGAAGCTGCGAATCAAGTCGACAAGGTGCGTGACCTATACGAGCGAGCGATTGCACATGTGCCAATCAAGCAAAAACGGTATTGGCGGCGATATGTCTATCTTTGGCTCAACTATGCAGTCTTTGAAGAAGAACAAAGCAACATTGATCGCAGTCGAGCAGTCTACAAGGCTCTGCTCGCGTTGATTCCACATGCTCAATTCACAATTGCAAAAGCTTGGGCAATGCTAGCTCACTTTGAGCTGCGTCAGGGCAATCTTATGGCTGCTCGAAAGGTCTTTGGCCAGGCGATCGGCAAGTGCCCAAAAGATCGGCTCTTCAAGAGTTACATCGAAATGGAAATGTCCTTGAAGGAATTCGATCGGTGTCGCGTGCTGTATCAGAAACAGCTGGAATACAATCCGAGTAGTTGCACAACATGGATGCAATTCGCAACATTGGAAATAGAACTAGGCGACGATGACAGGGCGCGCGCCATTCATGAGCTAGGCATCTCGCAAGAATCGCTCGATATGCCTGAGTTGCTCTGGAAGTCATATATTGACTTTGAGTTTGAGGGCGAAGACTTTGACAAGACGCGCAAGTTGTATGAGCGACTTTTGGCCAAGACGATGCATGTCAAGGTCTGGACGTCGTTTGCGCAATTCGAGTTGTCTGTGTCTGAACCTGAAGAAGATGAAGACACGTCGAGGAAGTCTGCTGCTGAGCGTGCTCGTGGTGTCTTTTCGCGTGCGCATACAGCCATGAAGGAGAAAGACATCAAGGAGGACCGTTTAACGCTGCTTGAATCGTGGCGAGCCTTTGAAGAGGAGTATGGTTCTGAAGAGACGCAGGACAAGGTGGCTCAACTCATGCCGAAGCAAGTCAAGCGCAGGCGCGAGTTGGAGGATGGCTCATTCGAGGAGTATATCGACTACCTGTTCCCCTCGGAAGAGGATGATATGAGCAAGAATTTGATGAATGTGCTTGCAGCTGCTCGTGCTTGGAAGGAGAAGCAGAGTCAGCAGGCAGAAAGTAGCTAGGTAGCGGCTTCCTTGTATCCTGTGAGTATATGTGACTGGGCTTTGTTATCTCTTATCTCGATGATGGAGCCAAACTCGACATCACGTCAAACCATCAAAGAAGCAGCCTTGCACGAGATAGTAAGGCTTGTTCTTCACTGTCACTGTAAATCAAAGACAGATTAGCTGCTGCATGACCGCCATTTGCTTTTTGGAACCAAATCTCAGTCTCATTCATATCCCACCAGCAGTCTTTCCTCACTTCTTGCATGGCATATTATCGCTTTGCACACAGTGCCCGGCCTTCTTTAACCTCTCGCTGACACCAACGAGTATCTCTGTTATATGTACAGAACATGAAGCAGAAAGGCTGTTTGCGCCCATCGTGGCGAGACTTAAGGCTTCTGGTGCATCCATCGAAGCACAGCGCTATCTTGCCATGCAGATAGACGGCGATGGCATCTCAGATGGCCGTAAGCTTCTGGACCTCACTCAACCACTTGCTCGAGCAGGTGTGTCTATTCTATTCATGACGACCTACTTTGCAGACTATGTTCTGGTCGCTGCACAGGAAGCGAGTAAAGTCAAGCGTGTCTTGCTAGAAACAGACTTTGTCTTTGAGGACTTGACGCAAAGCTTCGTCTCCCATACACCGGGTCTCCTGTCTTCGTTTGCATCGCCCGTCATAACACCAAAAACGCGGTCTCGCTCAACAAGTCGCGCTGCTGACCTCGCCAATGCGGGCGGCTCTGTTAATGAAGAGTTGCTCAAACAAAGTGTCGAAGCACTCGTACCGCACGCCGGCGTCAATACACTTGACTTTTTACGACAATGTCAAGTTCCCGTCACCCTATTCAAGAGCATTAAACTCATCATGACGGGGCTTCGTGGGCCCTTGTCAGAGCTCTTGCCAACACTGACCCAGGTACTGCTGCAGGAGACATTACCAACATTTTTCAGCTTGACTGTTGCGCCGGAGACTGCTCCATCTTTACTGCTTGAGCCAACTCTTGCAACACTCTTTGGTGGTCCAGAAAAGCTGCTTGGTGCTGAAGCAGATCAAGTGCTCGTGCCAATCTCACTAGACCTACAAGGCTTGACAACTGCAGGTGGAAGTCTTGGTGGGTATGGTATCGTTTGTGGCGTTGTTGAGGAATTGCTTGGCAGAGTCTCTCAATCACGCATTGAGAAATGTCTTGTTGCAGAAGAGCTGGTTATGTCGTACTTGTCGACTGTTGCAACGGGTAATGTCCTTTTACTCGAAGAAGACCTCGAGTACATCGGCCGAGACTCTGAATGTCGTATGATGTGAGGTGATGTCTCCTGTCAAAAGATTACCTATGCATATGCGATGGTCAATGGTGAATCTAGGCGACCTTGTGAAATGTCTGGTGAAACGATACTCCGAAATGTTGCAGGACACTCACTACCTTCGAACGAAAAGAAAAATAAACTGCACTTCATACCAGACAATCGTATTCTATATCGCCGTAGCAGGAGTTTGAGTGTTCTCTGTGACTCGAGGGTGTAAGGCACTGTAAGCAGACTACCCGACGGACGTGGAACTACTTTTGTGTGCAGCAGTTGTCCGCCCATCTCGCTGAGCAATTTTCTCAACAGCTGCTGGGCGAGCTGCTGCAATCGCATGCATGTGTGAACGAGGTTCAGCTGACACTTGAAGGCCCCGATGAGACGGGCATTATGCAGGCACTGCTCTTTCTTGCTAAGAACCAAGTCCTCAATTCATTTTGCTCGCTTGTATGCCTCAGACTCTGTGCAAGGGCTCGATCAAGCCATCATCGCGCGTGCTCGAAGGCTTGCCGATCAATACAATCAGCTCTCCAAGGAAGCTGCTACTGATACTGATTTTACACCTGAGACTGCACAGCGCCAGAAACGTCTCAGTGAGCTCGAGCAAGTCAATGCTGCTTGGACTGCATGGCGTGCTTCACAAGATAATTTGAAGGAGCTGCAAGGATTAATGCAGTCGACTGATGATGCAGAAATGAAAGCTCTTGCTGCAGAAGATCTTGAGATCACTCGACAAGAGCTTCAATCTTGCTCTGATGAATTGGAAAAGAGTATCATGCCGAAACATCCGCAAGCACACTTGCCTGCACTTCTTGAGATTCGTGCTGGTGTTGGCGGCGATGAAGCGAATCTATTTGCTGGAGATTTACTACGGATGTATGAAAAGTATGCTGCTAGTAAGCGGTGGACGATTCAGCTCTACAGCATCTCGAGAACAGAGATTGGCGATGGCATCACAGAGGCTGTTCTAAGTATTAGTGCAGGCAAGCGCCAAGGTGAGGTCTTTGGCAGACTTCAAGGCGAAGCAGGAGTCCATCGTGTTCAACGAACTCCTGCAACAGAGACAAAGGGCCGGACACATACATCGACAGTCAGTGTGCATGTCTTGCCAGAGGTGGATGATGATGCTGAGCAGGCCTTCAAATTGGACATGTCGGAAGTCAAGCTTGAGGTGATGCGATCGCGTGGGGCAGGTGGACAGCACGTCAACCGGACAGAGTCAGCAGTGCGCTTGACTCATATCCCAACAGGCCTCTCAATTTCCATGCAAGACTCGCGCTCACAACACGCAAATAAACGAGCAGCCATTACAATATTGACGTCCAAGCTGGCTGCGCTGCGACAAGATGAGGCAGATGCAGTGCAAGTTGGATTACGCAGACAGCAAGTCTCGAGCAGTGACCGCAGCGAGAAGATTCGAACGTACAACTTTGCGCAGAATCGGGTCACGGATCATCGATGTGGATACAGTAGTCATGACCTGGAAGGTGTCCTGGCTGGTGGTGAAGCCTTGGATGGTATGCTTGATGAAGCTGGCAAGTGGATAGCCAAGCAGGCATTGCAGGCTTCGGAAGAAACTTGAAGTAGGATATTATGTCAATCGAAAGAATACGTTGCCAGTAGTCGTTAAAGAGATGAAGCCTTGGCATTTACGCCTTCATCGTTCGCAGACCCAGTCATTCAGGCCGAGTCGATTGCGGACAATCTCAATGGCCAAGAACTGCATCCTTGGCACGAAGATTGAATTATCCTCATCATAACCCTTGCTCACATCTGCACGCAGGAGGGATCCAAAATTGTAGTCATCCACGGTATGCTCGTATTGCATCATAAATTCGCGCCATAGCTTTTTGCCGCCAGGCGACTTCATCTTGTCTTCGTCAATCACACTGACACCTTCTTTTGTTGTATACTCCGGTAGCGCATTACACAAATGCAGATAGATTGCATCATCCATGGAAGTCAGCTTGAGTTCTGAGCCCTTTCGCAGGCTCAGCAGCTTCCAGTATGTCTCGAGGTGTTGTACTGCCTTGACGGCGAATTGCTTCTCAATCTCCTCGTTATTGCCGGCGTTCTCGGCGTCGAAATCTGCAGGTACCTGCTGCGGTTGAGCCGCCCCTCCCTGTCCAAAGATGTCCATGAGCCTTTGTCTTTTAGCTTCTGGCAGTCGTGATGATAGCTTCTGTTGACTCTTCGCTGCTCAAATTTTGAAATTTTGCTTTGCTTCTTCACAGCCAAGTTTGAATGTAGAGACGCTACGTATGGTCCCGAGAGAGGCCTACATTTCATCATCACTCATGAGCCCGTCATCAAGCGGGGGAAAGTCACCTGCAATCACCTTGCCAGGTCGAAGGAAACTACCGCAGCTCGGGCCTGAGTCAAAGTACCGTTTTCCCTGGATTGTTCCATCATGCTTGCCGACAGGCTCATCGTATGCGATACCGATCCATATTCCACCAGCCGGGATCTCTGGTACACGCCCGACATACTGAATACTGCCGCGCCGTGTAGATTCTCCTTCCACTTGACACCGAGAGCCGATTGGATGTGATTGCTGCAGTCGTGCTAGTTCTGCCTCCTCTTGAGCCTCTTTATCCTGTGCTTTGCTATCCGCATCTGGGTCGAAACGTCCAATGCCATGCCGTTTCTTATACGCCAAGACTGTATCATCACGCTGCTCATACTGCTCGAGCGGCATCTCAAATTTATCCACCTTGCTGTCATCTGTATAGTTCTCCCTCATGCCAGGGGGTCTTGCATCGCCAATCTTGAGTACAGACAATGGTTGAAGACCGAGAGTGGAAACGAGATCGTCATCTGCTGCATTCGCAATGATTTGACTGGACGGAGGAATGCCGACGATAGGCCATAGCTTTTGTTTGAGTGTTGCAATGGTCCAGCCAGGCGAGATGCGGCGTTCAGAGGATGTATCGGGGCTCTCGACAAAGACGGCGATATCTGCCATATCTGTAGCCGTGGTTGTAGCTCAAAAGTCAGGCCAAGATGTCGACGCGATTGAATTTTGTCGCGACTTCGACGAGCTCACGAAGACACAAGCTCCAGATTATTGACCAGAGGAGCCGTCAGAGCTAAAGGCGAAGAGTAGCCCTGCATGCGGCTGACCAGACTGCTGAGAACTGCTCAAGGAACTCTCGCTTCAAGCACTGCTGGTCGCTTCATACCGCCAGCCAATTCCTTGTCACTCGCTCAATTTCACGACAAGTACGCTTCTGCAGCATCTACAGAGCATGACTCTCAGGTGACACTACATGGTCGGATTCAGAGTGTTCGCAAACAGGGGAAGAAGCTGATGTTTCTTCAAATCGGGGCTATGGATCATATTGTCCATGCCTGTATTGAGCATAGCTTCCTTGGGACGGACGAGGCCTTTGAGACAGCGCAAAGTGGCCTCGTTGGTGCTACAAAAGGCAGCTATGTCGAAGTAGAAGGTATGCCTCGACTTTCTGCAAAGGGGAGACTCCAGCTTATGGCACGCCGCGTCAAGCTTCTCAGCACCTGTCTGCATAGAGTCCCAGAGCACTATACCGACATCCAAAAGCGCATGCGGCACAGACATATAGACTTTATGGTCAATGTTCAATCAAAGCAAACGATGCTTACGCGGAGCAAAATTGTACACAGGATTCGAAGTATCTTGCATGATCGTGACTTTGTCGAAGTCGAGACGCCTGTGCTACAAGCATCCGCGTCCGGTGCTGCAGCCAGACCTTTCACAACAAAAGCAACCATTGATCGAGACTTGCAACTCAAGATTGCGCCTGAGCTGGCCTTGAAGCGTGCTGTGGTGGGCGGTCTGCTCCGTGTGTTTGAGCTTGGCAAATGCTTTCGGAATGAGCGCTTGAGTCCTCGCCACAACCCAGAGTTCACCACATGCGAATACTACGAAGCATTTGGTACACTTGAAAAGCTCATCACTGACACCCAGACAATGCTCAGGGACATTGAACAGGTAGTCCGGAAGGATAGCCCTAGCGATGCACCTCTCATCTTCGAACACTTTCAACAGCTCGACTTTGTCAAGACGCTTGAACAATGCCTAGGCGAAACCCTACCGCGTACACAATTGGACCTTCTCGATCTCTTTGCTAGACACAATTTGACATTGCCAACTGAGACGACTATCCCTGAGCTGCTCGATTCGCTCGCTGGTCTCTATCTCGAGCCTTTGTGCCAACAGCCAACCTTTCTGGTCAACCATCCAGCTGAACTATCTTCACTAGCGAAATCGACAGATGGGATATCACATCGCTTCGAGCTGATAGTCAATGGTGTCGAGCTCATCAATGCATACGAAGAGGAAAACGACCCACTACTTCAACGCGTCAAGTTTGAGGCTCAAGCAAAAGCTAGTGGTCGAACAGGCTTGACGGCTGATGAAGACGACTACTGCAAAGTTCTTGAGTGGGGCATGCCTCCAACTGCCGGTTGGGGTCTTGGCGTAGATCGTTTGTGTATGCTGTTGTGCGGACAAACAAGGATTAACGAGGTGTTGCTTGATGGGGGTATTCTATTTCAGCCCTTTGAGAAAAAGGCCAACAGCGCTCAACGATAGACGTTATGCTCCCAGCCAAGGATACCTTCGTTGCGAAGTATGCGAGATACGATTCTGATCTACGCGAGGTGCGAACTTGGTCAATGCGCAGCCTTTGTTTGCTTCATTTGCAACTTTGGAGCTGGCAGAGCGTATGTGGGATCTTTTGTTGGTGGTCCAGGATTCTGTGTTTGTTGTGTGTTCATTTCAGCTATTCATTTGCGATTGGTCAAACCAGGATATACTAAGAACGACAAGAGACACAAATCGGCTCCGGCTAGGGAGTCTTGGAGGAACGTGCTGATCGCCATTTCCACAGTCAAACAGGTGTGGACCTACTCTATGCGAATCGTCGCCGGCTTCACTTTGATTCTTTCTTTGGTTCGCGCGAGATGACAAGTAGAACTATTTGCATCCACCATGGACCTTCGCGAAGGGTGTCAATTGCGGCAAACACTTTTCAGGAGAGTGATTAAACACTATCCAGGAGAGTGATTAGAGCCGACATTGGGTACGATATATAAGAGAGACCATCTCTGTTCGTCGAAGCCTCAACTTCATCTGACCCCATCGCGGTCGTGCATCAAGAATTGCAAGCATGGTTCAAGTCGATAAAACAAGCGTGCTTCTTGGGGTGGCCATGGCCCTCTTTGTTTGGCCCACACAATCCATGGCTCAAGCCTCGGGACCGGCCTGGTGTGATGTCTTTCCAGTTCCTTATCCATTCAAAGGCGTTGTAGGGAAAGGCTCGCTGAATTCGAACGCTGAGATTCTCAACTTGAAGGACTGCTACGCTGTGCGCAATGGCCGATTGGTTTCATGCAATACAGTGATCAACCTCCCAAAAACCGAAGCTTGCTGGGTCGCTACCTATAATGATGAACTCAGGACGAGAATCCCTTCAAATGCTCTGTCTGACTCGCGTGCTGGGGCAGAGTTTTCTTCTATTGTGGCGATATCTTCTTGCCACGGTCATCTATGTATAACGGGCTTCCGAAAGACATCCTCATCCAGAAAGGAGTGGTCTCCTATGGTGCGTCTCGCATGAAAATGCTCGTTGATGAGCGAAAGCATGATCCGCTTCCCATCGCTGGGCTTCAGGCGAATGAGAAAGCTCACCTTGCATGTAATTTTCAGACACCCAACCAAGCGAGGTCTTCTGGAATAGCAAAGGAGTATGACAATCCATGGAAATTTGTCGTGGTGCAGTGCACGTTGAAACGCTGCAAAATTGAGCATTAGAACTAGAGTTCTAGTTTTAACAACAAGTCTAAGTCACTTCAAAAATCTTTTATTAGGCAGCAGCATGGCTACACAGCAAATGCTCGCGATCTGCAGTATTGGCAAGTAGAGTTGTGTTGAGCCAGAGCAATCCAGCCGAAGATCCGGGAAGTAGATGATCAAATTTGGTTGCGTACTAGCTAAAGGAAGCAAGTTTGAAGATTGCCACTTTGAAGCCGTGTGACTAGCCCAGTTCCATAAGCTGGACCTTGAAATGTCAGATGATTTCGATTGAAGAGCGTTCAAGAATCTCGAGCACAGCGAGGTGCAATTGCAGATGCAGTGATAGCCTTCTTGTAAAAGGATACGTGTCTGCTACTTTCGATGGTGTAATTGCTCCACGTATGCCATGACTTGGCTACGCCCCTGGCCTAAACCACGCACATGCTTCACACGACGCTCCAAGTTTGCCAAGCCTTTGAACTCCTGAGGCTCAACATCCTTCTCAAAGCTATAGCCCTGAAAGCTCTTGAGTGCCAAGTCGACAGCATTGGCGAATTTGGCAGGATGCGCAGTCGCCAGGGTGATGGTGATGGTATCGTTCAATACCGGTAGCATTGTGGCAGCTTTGACGCCTACAGCTGTGTGTGGGTCAATGATCTCCTTGGAACTGCTCTCGGCATAGACTTGCTTGATAGTGTCCAATGTATCTTGATCAGAGACACGCGCAGAGGTAAAGAGCTTTTTGCTAGCTTCCAGACTGGCAGGGGCAACACGCATGGAGCCGTCGGATTTGAGGGCATTCATCCACCCTGCAAGAACTTTGCTAGCCTCGGCAGGTGATGATGCTTCATTTTGAAGGGCTAGGTACCAAAGCAATCTCTCAAAGTTGGAAGAGACAAGGATATCCATTGCAGGTGAGAGAGTCTCCTTGGCACCTTCTTCATGTGCTTTCGCGCCATCTTCTTTGATACCGCCAGCGGCCTCTTGTGCAGGTAATGCGTGTTTAGCATACACACCTGAAGCGAAGAATCTGTCGAGAATGTCATTTTCATTGGTAGCGACGCACAGCTGCGCGATTGGTAGACCCATCCGAGCGGCATAGTAGCCAGCCAGGATATCGCCAAAATTGCCAGTAGGCACACTGTACCGTACTTGCACTTCTCCAGTCTTCTTGCCGAGTTGCTTGAGAAGGCTGAAGTAGGAGTGGAAGTAGTATGTGATTTGAGCGAGGATGCGCGCCCAATTGATACTGTTGACGGCACCGAGCGAGAAGTCTGTGGAGAACTTTGGATCGTTGAAGAGAGACTTGACGATGTCTTGACAGTCGTCAAACGTACCCTCCACAGAAACACAGTGGACATTGGCATCTGGGACGGTGGTCATTTGTGCTTCTTGAATAGGCGAGACTCGACCAGTAGGAAAGAGGATGAAGACATCAATGTCCTTTTTACCACGAAGTCCATAAATGGCTGCTGATCCGGTGTCACCAGAGGTCGCACCAATGACTGTCAAATGATGCCTGGCAGCACCGTGCTGCAATTTGTCGTTTTTGCGAGAGAGGAAGTACTCAAACAAGTTACCAAGAAACTGCAGAGCTACATCCTTGAATGCAAATGTGGGGCCATGAAAGAGCTCGAGCAGGTATTGCGATGAGTCTGGCAGGCCGAGCGACTTGACAGGCGTGCGTTCCGGATGCCGAAAGGTACTGTAGCTTCGCTTGACCAGATCTTCGAGATCCGCTGCGGGTATTTCGAAAGACGGGATGTACAGTGACATGATTTTGACTGCAAGCTCTTCAAAGGAACAGTCCTGCCAGCTGGCAAGCGTTTCTGAGGAGATGGTCGGGATCTCACTGGGTATGTAGAGGCCGCCATCGGAAGCGAGGCCTTTGAGAACGACCTGCTCAAAGGACAGACCTGTGTCTGCGCCACGCGTCGAGAGGTAGGAGAGCGGCATTGTGCTGTCTAGCGTGCTGGGCCTGCCTGTAGATGCGTTCGGAGATTACGGATCTTTGGTGTCGCTGGGTGTTGTAGGGTTTTGTGCGTGAGAAGTCTGAAATTGACGGAAAGAACTGCTCAGTGGAGAATAGCACTGACTACTTGGCTACTTGGTACTGAAGATACAACTAGTGCAGCTCACGATGGACCAGAAAGTGGCAAAGAGGTGTGTGAGCAGGCTCCTGATCACGACACGAGACTACACGCACGCCTCTTGGCCCGAGTGGAGATGATGTTTATTGGTAATTTGCGGATGACTTTCTGCGTGTTTCCCTGCCCTCGCCGGGGCCTAGAAAGGGGAGGCACTGTAGCTGATTCCAACTTCAAGACTGATCCATACTGCGCGTTCCTCGAGACGCAGACTGTCAGTGGGAGACGCATTGGAACGGAGCGCGTCAACAAAGCAGCGACACGTTCCTGTCGCCAATGCGTCTTCCTCTGCTCAACATTGTCATGACATACAACACGAGCAACTGGGCTTCTTCAATGTGATGTAAACACTTGTATTGATCGACTCACAATCGAACAAAGATGATGCTTTGTACAATCACCAAGATCGCTGATTGAACAAGACCTGCTCGTTCTGTATCTGTCGTGAGGATAGGCTAGACTAGCTAGATGATTGGTAGAATACTGGCCTGGGATGTGCTCCAAAGGCAAGCAAATCCACGACTGCCGTCTTCCTTCGCCCTCCCATGCCTGATGGGCACTGCTTCCAACAAGGCTGCACGGCCACCATGTTCATCTCCTTCGTCTTCATTGGGGCCAAAAACTTGTCCAATCTCCTGCCAAAAGGCTCGATTGGGTTCCACTGTCAACTGTGCCAGTCCAGTCCAAGCGCCCGTACTCATCATGACACGACTACCACTCAGAACAACGTGAGTGATGGCAACCTGACCGAGATGCGACAAGACTAGCTTTTCAAGTGCTCTCACAGACGGAGCCTTGAATTCTTCATGAGCAGCCAACTGTACAGCCTTGACTTCTGGAGCGTCGGCGGATGCATAGAGCAAGACACGCTCTTGGGCAAAGACAAGCGATGTAGGTGGGGCCTTTGTACAGCGGACCGTCTGGGATACTTGCATGGGATACCTGTAGCTCATTGTATGCACGCCATACGGTCCACCTACAGCAATGAAACTGGCGGAGATAGACAGAGAGGTACATGGATATCGAAAGATCCGGAGACTCGCCTGTGCAGGATCTTGCTTGGTTGTGTCAACAAGGAAAAGGCCACAGCTGCTCGCAACAATGATGAAGCGCACATCCAGCCAAGCAACCTGATGACAAACTCCAAGCTGTGTTGATAGAGGTAGAAGAGGGAGAAGTTGAGAGCGCTTCACTTGCTGACTGCTCAAGTCTAGTTCCAGTATCGCGACTTGGCCTTCTGCATACGTGACGGCAAGACTCGAAGCATGCCAAGCAAGTGACGTGACTTGTGCAAGTCCCGGAAATGACACCCTACTCGACCACAGACGATTACGATCTGTATCATGGAAGGATAGCGTCCCGCGAGATGATGCGATTGCAGCGATGGATGCAACTGGACAAAGCGCGATGTGCTGAGAGGAGCTCTGATCCACATGCATCACCGTGGAACCCCAAAGGTGACGGAGACTGAGATCAATTGGATACTGCAGTAGCTTCCAGACAAGCCAATGATCGCGCTTCACATTGTTAACTTGCCTCTTTGCGTCCACATTACGTTCACTGGCCACCTGCTCGTCCGGCGGCACGTTAAACAAGGCCGGGATGCGAATATCATGCTGCGATAGATACTGTCGGGTCGTATGCTCAGTCTGTGAGGTCTGCTCAATCAGACGTCCGGCGTGTTCGCAGAGCGTTGTGCGTTGATCCATGTGTCGTCCATACGCGGTGTTTTGGCTGCGTTTGAAATGGTGAAGAGGACGAAGAGACAACGAAAATGTCAACAACTCAACAAACACGGCCAAGATGGCTAGGCGGAGCTGACACAGCCTGACAGTCGCAGAAATTTCATCTGTGATCAGGCTGCTTCGATCTCAAATACCTCAATTGAGATATCAATAAGGTGGGGGGCGAGACAAGATCTTCTGAGCTGCGATTGCAGTCTCGACACCGTACTCTACAAGATCCAGGTGAGCCCTCCCGTCTCTCCAAATGATTGTATCGGCCCTGATCGAGTCGCGTCGGTAGAAGCATGTAGAGATGCATTTTGGCCCTGATGGCTTTGGATGCATACTTAATTTGTCGAAAGTGAGTCCCGGTCACAATGAAGCTCTGACTACTCGCCGTCTGATACGCTGAAGGCACCTCTGGCATCAAATCCAGAATGATCTTGCTGAATAACTCGTCAAATGCATGGTCTGGGTACTCGTTTCGAGTGCAAGAAGATCGAGCAACTAATTCTGGTGAGCAGTGGGCATCGTCAGGATATTCTTCTTCACGAGGTACCAGGGGCACATCTACACCCAACCCAATGGTGCAATTACAAAGCGTTGGTCCCTCAATCCCTTGCCCAAGGTGCCTCTTTGCAAGGCCCCTTGCGCGAAAGATTCGTCTCTAAGAAACGTGTCGACGCATTCTAATTGCTTCCAACCCCATTGCTTGCGACAATGGCGAAGCCGGTTCCGCAGAAAATATGTATTCACTGCGTACAACGTTTGCTCTGTGAAAAAGGATCATGAGGCCACTCTGCAAGAGCATTGCCGATGTTCATGACAAGACTGCTAGCCATCGACGGATCGCACGTTGCGCGGGCTGGTTCACAGTGGAGGTTCTAGCACCGTCCATGTCTATCGTCTTAATTTCGAGCCACATATTCACCTTTGTATCGATCTTTCAACCAAAGTTGCAATTGTCACAGCTTAAGGGCTGTAAGGGGACGGGACATTGTACATGGTCTTATCTTAGGCGTGTAGGCATGAGCATGCGAGGAATGTTGACGTCGAACGAGTCAGACAGCCACAGAAAAGATGGAGTGAAGTAAATGGACACAACCTACACAGACTTAATACCATGCCATGGCCGGAATCAAGTACGGCAAGGCGTATAGCGGATGTATGAGTTGTGAACAACGGGCAGCGTGCAGCACAGAAGCTGACGTGATTGCGGAATGGTAGCAGACAAATCCAAAGGCTGGAAGTTAAGTTGAGCATGTCAATCTTTGGGCATTGGAGCGCATTGCATAAGCGCAAGTCGAATATCATTCGGAAAACGACATACTAAGTCTTTGATTGATCAAATCAACCTCAGAAAAGCTAGGGCCAAGAAAATATTGGAATCAAGCGCCGACGTCATTGAAATGTTGGCTGGTCGTAAACGTAACAAAGAGACTAGGTGAACGGCCCCCAAAATCCTGTAGCTGCCGTGATAAAGCTATGTGACACCTCTTTCCAGTCGCAGGCCTTGCCTTTGGACCAGCCTATTTTCTTATCCGTGAAAGCAAGCCCTTCTAATGCATAGTCGTGTGGCCCATTGAAGGGATTCATCACACGTTGCGAAAATATGCCGTTGAAGTCCATATTCTGTATCTGGGGAAATGGATTCTCCCGAATAACTTCCACTTCGGGCACTTTTTTGGGGTCATAGACAGATTCTCCTGGCCTGATGTGCTTTCCAATATCAGCTGCAGGCGGATCAAGTGTCCAGCCTGGCAAGTTCAACGAGCTGATGTATTTTGCAGGTTCACATTGAGAGTCCTTGGATACCTTTTGTCGGGCTTGCGAGGCACCAAATGTCTGTCGATAACTAACCCAACCTGGCACATGCACAACTTCAGGGGTTTCTGCTTCTCTGACTCCCTCGGCTTCTTTGATTTCTTCTGCTTGTTTGGTGCATCATTGCAAGGCGCCGACTTTAGAGTACGTGCCGACAAGAACTTGCCGTTGTTGAGGATATTTTGTGCAGCAATGACTCCAAGCCCTACTGATGAGGCTGCATCATAACCTCCGCTGACAGATGACGGCTCGACTACCGGCCATCCATCGAGAAGGTGCTCCGTTTTGCGAAGCACTTCGTGAGCCAAGTTTTCACATACTGTGGGCTGGCGAGAAGCAGAGGTACTAGCCTCATTGACGTCGATAGCCTTGCCCAGAGATTCAATCAGAGCATCAGGATATTCGATTTCTCCCTTCAAACGCCAACCAAAATGGAACCAACCAAGATTGCAATAACCATTGATGCGAGGCTGATGATACGGTGGTCTTTCGGCAGCGTTCATTATTGCTCTTGCTGCGCCAGCACCTTCCATCTCACAGGTGTCGTCGCAGCTGTGGAGACGCTTCTTCTTCTCCCCGTTTGGTCCCTTCGTTCGTGTTACGCTTTGCGGCACGCCCTTTTCAAAAACCACTTCGAGTCGTTTGTAATACAATGTCGGAGGTGTTGGCAACTTGGGTTGGACCTGAGTCTGCGTTTGCGTCTGCGTGATTGGTTCCTTGCCTCTCGGGGCTGCTTTGCAAATGCCATTTTTGGAGGATTCGGGTGAGCTCCAAGCGCAACCCATGCCTCCCACATAGGGGAGTCTGAGCAGTAAGCCGAAGATCATCATCAAGATGACAACATGCAGGCTGGTCGAGATCTGTGCTGCCATGACTTGCCACTCCTAGTTGGGCGTAAAAAGTGCTAGTCAAACAGCGATGCCAGGTTCTTGAAGAAGACGACAAGCTGAATGAAATATAGCCTTTGCTGGTCCTCCTCAGTCAGCCCTTGCTGTGCAGAAATTTGGCCGTCAACCAGTTTTGAATTTGATAGCTGCGGCCTCAGGGGCTAAACCTGATTGATCGATAACAGTGATAAGGCTGAATGCGAGCTCTTCGACGTATCACATTTTTTCTTGCTTGCTACAACATCATCATGGCACGTGCGCTCAGGGGCAAAGCCAAAAAATGATAAGTCAGAGATAGCAACCGGCAATTTGATATTTGATCGCAGCTGAAAATTAAACTTATCGCGGGGTTTGATGACGAGAGCTGCGCAGCGTGGTTCGCGCAGCTGCATTTGCGAGCTCAAGTAACGACCCCTGGTGCCAATTCTTCTGCTGTCTCATCTCGCTAGCCCGCAGCTCAAGGTACTGGGCTGTATAGGCAATCTCCAACAGAGCTTCATGCCAATGGGCATGAACAAAACTAACGAAGGTCAGCATAGTCTTGAGCTTTTGACGTACTTACGCAAATGCCTTCATTGTCAACGGAATATCGTACTTGTATGCTAAGGTTCGAGCTTTCTGGCCATAGCTCGCTGATTCGCCACGACTGGGTAGACTTCCTCGCTTGAACCAAAGTGCGGCAACAGCATGCTGGTGAAATCACAACCAACTCGCGCCATCGACTGCGCTGTATAAAGGAGCTGCGTCAAGAGACTCTGTCGCGCCACCTTTCCTTCAACGTGCGGTAATGCATCACTCAATCGTTGCAGAAGATCTGTAACAATGCGTTGCGCAAAGTGAGGGAGCCAGTTGTGTGAAAAGTCGTCTGCCGCTTTGTCGTCAAAGATGGACGAATATTGTGACAAGATGGCAAATGCTTGTTCTCTGAAAATCTCCACTTGCTTCTTGATGCTGCGTTCGACAGGTGACGTAGGGACTGCGGCATATGCTGCAACGAGCGCATCATAGCGGCCTTTGAGGAAGAGATAGCGTAATTCAGCTTCTTCAAAACTCCCTGTGCGCCGGAGCAAGCCGATGACTTTCAATGCGACAGGCAGCTTTTGTGGACGGTTGAGTAGGCCAAGCAATTGAAGTGTCATGCGTTCCATCTCTTCTTCTGCTCGAACTACTAGACTCTTTACGAGCCGCGAATTCGGATGGCGCGAGGCGATGCGGCCTAGATGAAGATACAAGTCTGCCGCTTCTGCATAGTAGCCCTGCGAAACGCATTGTCTCACTGTGGCAGGCAGATCAAGTAGTTCCTGAAGTCTTGATTCATTTCGTTCAAGGAGCGCTGCTTCTTTGCGCACTTGATGGATACCAGCCAATCGCTCTGCATCAAACATGGCAGCCTGCTCAAGCTTTGGCAGTTTCGCTCTGAAAGACTCGAGCGAGCGCGTCAAATCTGGAAGTACAGAGAGCACTTGTGATTGCGCAGGAGAAAAAGATGCAGCTTCGCGCACAGCAAGGGCCTTAAGTGACGCATCTAGGCTGTGCTCTTCCGCTGCTAACAGTCCCGCTTGTTTCGCGAGCTGCATTTGAGAAAGCGCTGTCAAGTGACTGAGATAAGAGCGTGCTGTTTCTGAGTCTTGCACAGCGAGAGAAGAGAGCAGCACCTCCATAGCTTCCGAAGCTAGTCTATCTAGAGCATGCGTGGTGGGTGGTCGTGATGGTTGCGGTCGAATCTGAAATTCAAACCGACAAAGACAACATCTATACACATACGGCGAAAGGCGACATGCTCAGATGCTTCAGAGCGAGGCTGCCCAGATTAGCGCATCCGGGCTGTCGATATAAATCAACATCGCCCTTTCCAGCACCTGATAAGGTCACGACATTGGCCAATGGTCTCCGCGTGGCGACCGAACCAGTACCCGGGCATTTTTCTGCTGTTGGCGTATTTGTTGAGGCAGGTTCTAGATTTGAGCATACGCCGGCGCTCTCTGGCGTCAGTCACATCGTCGACCGGCTTGCCTTCAAGTCAACAAAGTCTCGTTCGCAGATGGACATGATTCAAGCGCTTGAATCGCTTGGCGGGACACAAATGTGTTCGTCTTCTCGAGAGGCCTTGATGTACACAGCGAGTGTCTTCAATCAGGACGTTGAGACGATGACGGAACTGCTGGCGGATACAATACGGAATCCCCTCATTACTGAAGAAGAAGTACAAGCTCAGTGCGAAACAGCTGAGTATGAAATCAACGAGATTTGGCAAAAGCCGGAAATGATTCTACCAGAGTTACTGCATGGTGCCGCGTACAAAGGAACCCTTGGTAATCCGCTTTTGTGCCCGGAAGAACGTCTACCGTACATGACGCGGCAAAGCGTGCTCGACTATCGAGCACAGTTCTTTGTTCCGGAACGCATCGTCGTTGGGTTCGTTGGTGTTCAACATGACGAAGCTGTGCGTCTTGCAGACAAGTATTTGGGCAGTATGCAGCCAGGCAAGCCGATCAAGACGCCTGCAGCACAGTACACGGGTGGAAGTACCTTCTTGCCATCATCAAGCATCCCGAATGAGCCATGGACACACTTGCACATTGCGTATGAAGCGCCGAGTCTGCAATCCAAAGATATCTATGCGCTTGCCACACTGCAAATACTGCTTGGTGGCGGTGGGTCCTTCAGTGCAGGTGGTCCTGGTAAGGGTATGTACTCGCGGCTTTACCTGAACGTCCTCAACCAATATGGTTGGATTGAATCATGCCAAGCCTTCAATCACACCTATCGTGATTCTGGACTCTTCGGTATCTGTGCGTCGTCTCGTCCGGATTCAAGCTATGCTATGGCTGGTGTGATTGCCAAAGAGCTCGCATCGCTCTATGATACTGGTTCTCGCGGGATTGGTAAGATTGAAGCACAACGTGCCAAGAACCAGCTTCGTTCATCACTCCTCATGAATCTCGAGAGCAAGATGATTTGTCTTGAGGATCTTGGCAGGCAGGTACAGTCGCTCGGTGTACGGTTATCGGCTGAAGAGATGTGCCACCACATTGAAGTCTTGACGGTAGGTGACTTGCAAGCACTGGCGTATCGCATGCTGTCTGCAGAGATTGGGTCACGCCCGAGTGTCGTTGCTGCCGGGCAAGGAGTTGAGAGGATTGGAGATATCTATGGTCAATTACGTCGGCATGGGCTTCAGCATGCGCACTAGAAATCTCTTGCATAGCATAAATGAAAGCATAGTAGCATTAGTAGATGCGTTCAAACGGTCTTGTATCTTGGAAGCAAGAGTCAAAGACAGAATTGACAAGGAAGGTTGCCTCATCCAGATTCTTGACAGCCGGATTTGCAGCCACTGCTCGAGCAGCCCGTCTCCTGACACACGCTTGATGATGCCGCGCGATCCCCGTGACGCCAGTATTGCCAGCCTTGTATTCTCTCCACCACCCGCACTCACCAGAGAGGCTAGCTGCGCGGATCTCTGAGCATGCATGGTGTTTTGGGTTTCGCCAGTCGACCTTGAACCTGCATCGATCGAATGCATGGACAAGCTCATGCATGAGTGTCTTTTCGACTTCAGCTTGAGCTGTTGCTTGATTACTGCAGAGTCGAATGCCACGATCAGGATGGAAGCCTCCCTTTTGGCTGAGACAGGGCCCACAAGTGATTTGCTCGGTCGTCATGCCACAGCCTACTTTGTCGAGTTCCTTGAGCATAAACAAGACACCGGGCGAGCTGGAGAGCAGAAAGTCTCGGGACTTGTTGCAGCGATCAAGCATAGGCTGTGCGTATGTTTCATCACGCCAGGCTCGATACTGCTGCTGTTCGTTGGGAGAAGCACGCCCGACAAGGCAGTTCATTGAGAGGAGCCATTGGTCAAAAGAGGAGAGCTTTTTGTAATCTTCCAGTGGGCTACCTGTTGGATTCATAATAGCAGGTCGCAGCTCTTCAGCGTATCTTTAGCTCTTTCTCCAGAATAGCTACTCTCAACAATAGTATAATATGTAGTTCCTGGTGTAGTCCTTGATATTTGATCTTTTTTGTCCTTCAGCTGCGACGACAAGAAAATGCGCAAGAGTACCATCGTCATCAAGCTCGGTACGCGCTCGGTCTATATGCTCAGCGCTCACCATAGGCACATCTTCTATTTGCGATGAACACTCGCATGAACCTCTGCTAGCAAATCTCTCGCTCCTCGTTGAAACTGCCACTCGGCTGCGACGAAATGGCCATCGTGTTGTTATTGTCTCTTCTGGCGGTATTGCCATGGGTCTACGCCGCTTGGATCTTCCAAAACGACCCAAAGTATTAGCAGCCGTTCAGGCGATTGCAGCTGTAGGACAATGTCGCTTGATCGCGCTCTGGGATGACTTGTTTCGGCAGCTAAGACAGCCTGTTGCACAGATTCTCCTCACACGGAATGACATTGCAGATGTATGCTGCTTGTTTGCTTGAACAATGCTAATGATACAGAGATCACAATACCTAAATGCAAGAAATACATTGTCAGAGCTGCTCGACATGGATGTCATTCCCATTGTTAATGAGAACGATACTCTTGCTGTGTCTGAGATCAAGTTTGGCGATAATGACACCCTCAGTGCCATCACAGCAGCACTCGTGTCTGCAGACTACCTGTTCCTCATGACAGATGTGGATTGTCTCTATACAGGCAATCCACGCACGCATGCAGATGCAAAGCCCATTCAGGTGGTGAGTGATTTCAGTACTCTCGAAGCCGATGTCAGTGAAGCAGGCTCAGCAGTCGGTACAGGCGGCATGTTCACAAAGATTATTGCTGCAAAACTAGCAGCGAGTGCAGGCGTCACCACCATCATTACTCGCGGTTCTATTCCTGCTCGAATCATCGAGATTGTTGCAGGCCTGGAAAGAAGCGGTGGCAGTAACGAAGAGAACAGCTTACCGCCGCATACTCGGTTTTTACCCTCAGAACAAACGACCAAAGACAGACATATCTGGCTGCTGCATGGACTACACGTCGAAGGCCGTATTGTCATTGATGCCGGTGCGCACCGTGCCATATGTCGCGTGAACAAGGCTGGCTTGCTGCCTGCGGGTGTTTTGCGGGTGGAAGGTCATTTTGCTGCTCAGCAGGCCGTTTCACTGTGTACGGAGCAGGCGGACGGGTCGCTGCATGAGGTGGCTCGGGCTCTGAGCAACTATGCTGCGAGTGAAGTTGAGCGGATCAAGGGCCACCAGAGCAGCGAGGTGGTCGGGCTGCTTGGATATGCGGACACGGAATATGTCTGCCACAGAGACAACATAGCCTTCCTCTAGACAACCTACTTATTGCAAGAGGCAATGAGCGTGTACAATCCAGAGAGCGTCAGAGACGTCGCAGAGTCTCTCGGCATACCCCATGTCGCAGAGGAAGTCTGCCGCACACTTGCACAGGACGTCGAGTATCGCATCCACGCCATCATCCAGGAAGCAACCAAGTTTATGCGCCATGCGAAACGGACAACCTTGCGCGTCTCAGACATTGATCATGCGCTGCGAGCTCTCAATGTTGAGCCAGTCTATGGCTTTGCGGCGCATAACCCCATCAAATACAGGGAAGCGCCCATTGCAGCGGGTCAACCACCGCTGTACTATGTCGAGGACGAGGAGATTGAGTTTGAGAAGCTGATGCAGATGCCGCTGCCTAAAGTACCGAGAGAGGTCGCGTATACTGCGCACTGGCTTGCCGTCGAGGGTGTCCAGCCAGCGATACCTCAGAACCCTGCGCCGCAAGAAGTCGCGACCCAGGAAGAGACAGAGGCTGCAACGACAGAGGTCAAGCCGCTCGTCAAGCATGTTCTATCGAAGGAACTACTGCTCTATTTCGAACGCATTAGTAAAGCATTGTTGGATGAAGACAATGAGACGATGCGACAGGCGGCATTGGCATCCTTACGCAGTGACCCAGGCTTGCACCAGCTCTTGCCCTACATCATTCAATTCATTGCGGAAAAGGTCACGCATAATCTACGCAACCTGTTTGTGCTCGAGACGATGATGCGTGTTGCTGCGGCCGTCCTTGAGAATGCAAATCTCTTTGTTGAGCCATATATTCATGGCTTGATCCCTTCGTTGCTCACTTGCATTGTTGCAAAGAAGCTAGGGAGCGGCACAGACGATCACTACAGTCTGCGTGACTTGGCCGCTTCGATTCTGGGTGCGCTATGTGATCGTTTTGGAGAATCATTTACGTCGCTCAAGCCAAGAGTCACCAAGACATTGCTCAGGGCATTCCTCGATAACAAGAAGCCACTTACGACACAATACGGCGCTATTCGAGGCTTGACGCGTATGGGTCCAGAAGTTGTGCGTGTCTTGGTCTTGCCCAATACCAAGATTTACGAGCTTGTGCTCCAGCCAGAATTGAAGGAAGGCAAAGAAGAGGCGAAGAAGTGTCTTGAGGCGCTACAGGAGGCCATTGAGACGATCGCAGAAGAGCAAGTGGGACAGGTGGCGATACCAGATGATGTACGCGATGTGCTCAATGAGCGTGTGGGCGTGCTTCTCACTGACTATGTCCTTGCAAAGCAGGATGACCGGCTGGTCCGCGTCTTGCTCTCGACATGAGGAAGGCATCGCTTAGCTATATAGGTCTAAAGTCTCATGCTTCTGTCGACGAAAACTCGCCATACTTGGCCAACACATCCGACCAAGCAACACGGCCACGTACAAGATCATCCAGTACAGCCAGAATCTCTGACTCCATAGCGCGAATCTGCTTAGTCGTGTCGCGTTCACGCAGTGTCAGACTGCCATCTTCAACAGTCTGGAAGTCAATCGTAATACCAAACGGTGTGCCGAGCTCATCATTCCGTGCGTAACGCCGACCAATTGCAGCAGATGAGTCGTCCACTTTGCTGGAAATCTCCAAAGCGCGAAGTTTTGCAGAGAGGCCTGGAAGAAGCGAGAGCAGCTGGGCATTGCCGGAGAGGGGCACGAGCAACACTTTGGTTGGGGCAATGACAGGTGAGAAGGAGAGCACACCTCGCTCAACGTCATTGGGCCGACACCAAAAGGCATGTTCGAGGACGGAGTAGAGGATACGACCGATACCGAACGAAGGCTCAATCACGTTGGGCGTGTATTCGCGAATGTTGGACACAATTTCCTTCAGCTCGAGCTTGACAAGATCTGGAGAGATGCTCTGACCGACAACATTGATGCAACCATTCGAAGCAGCTTCCTCTTTCTCTTGGATTGACATGGCTTCAATTGCTGCTTCAATGGATTTGGCGTCCTTCTTGAACTTCATGCCAAAGTCCTTGCGATTGATTTGAGGGATCCACTTTTGCTCAACGAGTGGTTCCTTGAGTGCTTCACGCACAACCAATGCAGCCCCCGTCTTTTTCGCATGCACGCTCAAATCATACGCAGACCGATCGGCACATCCTACACACTCGATCCAGCCATACGTGGTATGAATCTCTGCATCCCAACAATCGCAAGCATAGTGTGCCATTTCCGTATTCATGTGTTGCCTGAACCGCAGTCTTGTCGGATCAATGCCAATCTTTTGCAGAAACAAAAAGATGCGAGCAAGGAAGTAGCCAAGTGTTTGATTGTCCACCATACCAGATGAGACTGCCTCATCGACACTCATCTCCAAAATGTCTGTTTTACCATCAAGTTGTGTCTGTTTTGGTAGGAACCGCAAGACGGTCTCCTTGACCTCGTCAAAGCGGTCATGCGACTTGTCATTCGGATCAACAAAGTGCTCTACCTCTGCCATCAGAAACTCGCGTACCCGCAAGAGACCAGAACGAGGCGCAATCTCGTTTCTGAAGGATTTGCCGATACTGGCCGATGCAAATGGCATGCGAGAGTTGTTGAACTCAAGGAGCTTTGCAAAGTTGAGGAACTGGCCCTGTGCAGTCTCTGGACGGAGATATGCTTTGAATTGGCCTGTTGGACCAATCTGAGTGTCAAACATGAGGTTGAACTGAATAGGTGGCTCTAAGACGGCATTGTTGGCAGGGTTGCGAATGTCATACTTGACAAGCAGCTCACCAAGCTCTGGCCCGGAGTAACCATCAATCTTTGCGAGACAAGACTCGTATTCCTCCAAGGTGGCTTCATCCAGCTTGACCGCAGCAATACTCTTGACCTTCTTTTTGCGCTTCTTCTTCTCGTCTGACTCTTCCACAGCCTCAACCTTGACACCTGTTGCCTCCCGATGACCTCTGATGCGGCCTTCCAGAACCTCCTCCACCAAGTGATCTACGCGAAAGATTTCACCAGTGGTCTTGTCCTTGGTCATCCAATCTGCAAACTTGTCAACATGGCCAGATGTCTTGAGCACTTCCGCAGGCGTCAAGCACGTCGTGTCTACCTCCAACATGGAGTCATTGATGATGAAGTGTTTCCGCCAGAGATCAATGATGTTGGCTTGTAGTGCACATCCAGCTGGCCCGTAATCATACAAGCCGGAGACGGAGCCATAGATATCAAATGATGGGCCATAAAAGAAGCGCTTCTTGATGACTTCGTCTAGTTGTGGTCGTTCAAAGTGGCCTGTGCCTGCGGGTCGTCCTGCCATTATTCTAATATTTCTTTTAAATGAGACTGGATGAAGCTGACGGATGCGACTGAGCATGCAGCAGCTGGTCGCAGACAAGATGATGAGATTTGTAGTGTCAAAAGCGCCGTCTGACCGTGGGAAAAGTGTTGAGATAGAAAGCGACAGCAGCGCTGGTCATGGACTCATATGCCGGTCTGGACTCCTAATGATGCTTGCAATTGCTGGTCTGCTGGATCACTGATCAAGCCTTAGCTGCTTTGAATGGAGACTTTGTTCTATGAAGGAATCAATGGTCCTAGAACTGAACTTTGGGTCACTCAGGCACAAGGCCAGCTGCGGCGATGTCCAGCCCGATACTTTTCATTGATTGTCGCCTCAAGCACAGTATAGCTTCTGGCAGGTGACGAACGAGTTCTTGGGCTTGGTCTTGTCCTCTCCATACTTGCATCCTACATATGCTGCGTCGCGTCTCTCATCTGTACTCCTGGAAATGAGGAAGCCATACTCCAGTGCGGCATCGGCCATCGATGGCCACTGGGGTAACGCATCTTGATTCTTGTACTGACCGTCTTCACAGAACATAAAGGCATGGCCACGGTCTCCTCGATTGCCGGAAGTCTTTTTGAACTTGTGTGCCTCATGGAGCAATTCGCTCTGACGAAGCAATGCATAAGTTGCGTTGTTGACAACAACAGGATAGCAGTCTGCCTTTGGGTCTGTTGGGCAAGAAACCTTCTCAAGCTTGGGTCCGATCGACCTACCAGTCTTCTGCAAGACCACGCATGAGCTCTTTGGAACACTGACTTTGAGGTCCTTCAGAAATTTGGCCCTATCAACAGAGACAAAAGGGTACGCCACTGCAAACTTCAGGCTATTCAAGACGGCCAAATCATACTTGCACGTCTTGCTAGTTGCGAGAGCTGCACATTGATGCAGCACTTGGCTGAATGCCAGAACGAACATACCAACCACTGTATTGCGCATTGTCGTTGTGCTTTGGTCAGACTGCTTGGTGAAAAAAATGGGCGAGCGGGACCATTTTATGGACCTCTCGATTGTATCATTTCAGGAGCCATCGCAAATGTCCGACATCTCGACTCTTGTGCACAGGAGCAACAGTGTTTCTGGAGCATTTCAATCGGATGCTATCACGCTATCTACCAAGTGCAATCCAAGAGATGATCAGATAGCATGCGAACAAATCAGGAGGTAGACAGATGGGACCCCGAATTCTCACCCACTTGGCGAGATGACAAGATGGAGGATAGTTTTGTGAAGTGAGGCATTGACTCATTTGGTCTTGAAATGCGTCGCAAGTGACCATGCTGCTATTGTGGGTTGTCAAATGAGTCGACGAGACTCGGAGACCTCGCATGACTTGCATCTCGCAGTTTGGCTCGAAGTAAGTTCAAGCAACAGTATTGGAAATGAGCTGTTTGTCCTTGCGATGTATCAACACTCTAACCCTCGCGGGCCCGCATTATCCTTGGCAGCTTTGGAGATATGCATTCCATTCACCATGAAGGGATTTGAAGGATGATATATTGCTATACAGACGAAATTGATGGGTAGCTATAGCCTTCAGTGGCCACGGCCATCGAAATCCGCTCGAAACCCTGTGATCGAAGTGTTGTCCTTGTAGGTGCGCACTTGAAGACGCCATACTGGCCTTGTCAGAGTCTGGGGCTGCAGGTGTTTCACCTTCAGGGCCGCAGCTTTACAATCTAGTATTTGTATTCTGGCTCTGCACCGAAAGCCTTCTCCTTACATTGACCATCGATAACAACAAAGCTTGGTCGGCAGTCGTGCCATATGCAAGAAGCATTGAAGTCATTGCTCAGGCCAAGCTTAGTGTGCACAGCGAGTTGCTGAGCGTTGAGACAGGCAGACCTGTGATTTGCTTGACTGGAGTGCCCGCCCTGACCCCTGAGCGAAACTGCTCAGTTTTCACACATTTCCTGTGCCTTACTCAGGTCGATGCAACACCCATTCTTACGTTCGTGGCAATAGTGCTTGTTTGAATGACGAAGACCAGGGAGATGAGCTACGAGAGAGATAAGCCTCATCTGAGACGACAAGGGCGGTTTTCCAACGATCCTTTCTTTGATTTATCTTTTCATTTGGATTATTGTGGCGATCAGATCGGCTCAAGATGCACCACCAAGAGGCCTGCACATTTGAGTGACCACAATCTCAATATTCGTAACTTTTAATGTGTCTACGAATATTGAATGAAAGTCAATCACCAATAAATCTAGTGTAAAGAAGCCCTTCGGACTATTCACGAGCGACAGGTCTCACAAGTGGGTATATGTAAACGTTTCAAGCACAAGGCCTCTTCTTACAAGTCGCTTCCACTTTATCAGTGCCGAACCAAATGTTATTCTGCTTGAGTGACTGCGAATGGTACCAGCACGTAACAAAGAATCCTTTCCCTTGAGTCACTTCGCCATACTGGAGCGCTGCAAATGCCATAACTGGAGAGCGAGGTAAGAAGTATTCACCTGTCTCTTGAGGGGGTCTCCTATTCTGTCCGCAAAAGAGGAAAGCGGAAAGATTCCCGGCTTTGAGTTTAACGAGGGCCTCCGGGAACTCCGAGACTAGAATATTCGTCTTGTGATTGACGAGAACTGGAAAACAATGGAGTGACATCTCATGAACTTCGCTACATGGTAGTTGTTTCAAGTAACGAGGGTTGCCGCTGGCTCTTTCCACCATGGAGTAGTCTGCGAATAGCACAGTGCATCTATTCTGCTGAAGCAAGATTGTTTTCTTTTCCACAAAGTTGGACTTGTCGGCCATGGGATCGTTGGTGGGATATTGAACTTCGGCATCCTTTGTGAGGGCAATGGCTTCTGCGTCGTAACCGCAACTCACAGAAGCAGAAATGGCTGTCAACCCATGAATCACGAAGACTGCAACGAGGAAATAGGTGAAGCCCATGACGTTGATTGATTGTTGTGTTTTGAAGCTTCAGGGCTCTCCAAAAGATTGTGGTCTTGGTCGGCGGGTCAATGGTTGGAGATGCCGCGCATCTTATACACAATTCTGTTCCCTGATGACGGAAATTTTTGCCCCTGATTAGCTACAGACTTTCGGTTGTGAGAGAAGTAGCAAATATTTGCCATTCTCTTGAAGTTCGTCCGAGCGCGGGCTCCTCCTGCAGGGACCTTTCAGTCCATGATTATTGAACAGCAGCTGCAGTCAGTCTATGAATTTATGCTTGTACCCGAACATCAAAGCTTTGTAATCGCATGAATTTCGGCCTTGCAAATTGTATAGTCGCAGTAAGCTAACCTCACATACTAGATATATATGCGCCTTGAGGTAGATGAAGGCATTGTAGGACAATCCGGAGTCGAAATTGTCATGTGACAGGGTGTTCATGTGGTATACTCGAGCTCTATTGCAACAATGCATGCGGACCACATGCTGCATTGGATTAGTAACCTGATCCCTGAATCCAACTGCAGCCCACCCGCTTCGTACTAACTAAGTTCGTAGTCAAATTCGAGCGTCTCGATCTGCATATGAACAATTTGAAATCATAAATTTGATCCTAAGAAGCTGCATAAATTTAGTAGCAAACCCGAGAAAAAAAACTGTTTGCCCCGAACCCGGATCGAACGGGTGACCTTACGAACTTCAGTCGTACGCTCTCCCAATTGAGCTATCGGGGCTAATGGAACTGGCAACAGCTTGCTTCATCATATCCAGCAAAACAAAAAAATGATTTTACCCAAATAGTAACACTAGCATGCTCCACCAGCCCCCGTACTAGCAATGAGCGAGTCATCACAACCGCCGCGAAAGAAACAGGCCCTATCGCCGCGCTCGCAACACCGCCAGACGATTGAAGCGCTTACGGCTCAAGCACAAGGCAAGGGTCTTCTCACTGCAACAGACACAGCTGCCCCACTTGATGACGATGAAGAGGCGCAACGCTTGAATCCAGGCGGTTACTTGGATCCTGAACAAGCTGCTGAGCGTGCTCGATTGGATGCGCTGGAGGGTGTTGAATATGGACAGGCTGGAGAGCGGAAATCCAAGTACATCCCAACGACGAGTGCGAGTGTCACTGCCACGCAAGGGTCAATTGCTGGTGCTGGATCGGGAGAGTTTCACGTTTACAAGAATTCGAGACGTAGGGAAGCATCAAGGCTGGCAGAGATGGAAGAAGCGCATGAGGAAGCAGTACTGGATGCTGCCTTTGAAGCGAAACGGCGCAAGATCAAGGAGGATGAGGAGAGAAAGTTGGAGAAGAATCGCAAAAAGCGGGAAAAGAAGAAGCGTGCTGGGAAGGCTATGAGCTAGAAGACCTATCTGAGTGCGATTCACCGCGTTCTTGCTGGTCGTCGCGCTTATCCTTGTCCTTTGCAGGATCATACTGGTACATGGGGAAGTCGAGCAATACAGTACGCTTGAGCCAGAGCGGCAACGGTCTGTACAGTGCCGGTGGGAGTGGAACAACAATGGAGGTCGAGTCGAGGTACTTGCGATGGCTATCGCGTTGCTCCGAGTTGTACATCTTCTTTTGGGCAGGCGGCTCTTGCAAAGTCAAGCCACTGACGAAGAGCAGCAGCAGCGTGATGAACAACGGCGACACAATTGAGCCGTACTGTGCACCATATGCACCACCAGAAACAGGCCCGTTGGTAGAAGGCGAGAGACAGAGCATCCATATACCCCACCAGCTAAAGATTTCACCAAAGTAGTTTGGGTGTCGTGATAGCTTCCATACACCTGCATCGCAGAAGCTCTTTGGATGCTTCTTCTTGAACATGTACTTGGTCTGGTCCGCGAGTGCTTCGAACGCAAAGCCAATGACCCAAAAGATAACGCCGACAATATCCCTGCCTGTACCAAACTTGGTTGAACCAGTATTCATCACGGCTGGCGAGTTCAAGATGATGACTGGCATGCTCACGACCCAGCACCAAGCCATTTGAAAGACCCAGAACCCCAAAAACTTGAAGAAGTGATCGCGCTTGTCGTCAAAGCGCGAGTCGCTGCCCGACTTGAGGATGCGGTAGAGTAAGAAGCCAGAAAGCCGCAGACCCCAGATCATGACGAAGATGGAAGCGACGTAGTTGCGCGCATCATTCGGTCGATCGGCGCCGCCCATGAGCAGCGTCATGAGGGCCAAGAGGACGAAATTAGTACCGCCTGCAAAGTCTGTGACTTTGTCAAACTTGAAGGTCCATGCAATGGCGAAGAAGGCAAGGTGGTAGCCGATGGTGGTGAGGAGAGTGCTGCTCAGGTAGTAGCGGTCGAGGACATTGATGGTACCGACTGCCATGCCTCCAGATCCCTGGTGTAGATACTTCGCAGTAGAGCGACGGCCCTTACAGGATACACTGCTTGAGCAAGTGACCGAGTAGATGGCCGCAAGTTTAAGTAGATTTGAGCCGACTTGATATCAAATTCGAGATGATGTCACCAAGCCCGGTGCTTACCTACTCCAGGTACTTCGTCTCAAGCTAGACTAGTATCCGATGGCCATCACTGCTCAGGTCACTGGAGGGCGCTGCTAGTTGAGCTCGTTGAATATTTCTCAGTAGTCATGATAGATAGTAATGCTGAGGGTCTCGTCGTCAACGGAGATCTCAATCAATACGTGATTGAAGCTTCGAATTCATATCAAATCGCAACTACAAACATAGTTTTCAGATTTGCTGCGTACATCACCTTTTGGCTCAGTTGCAAAGACAGAACAACACCATGTGAGACTTGAACACGGCCATCAAACAAAAGGAGCAGGGCGCTGTGCGCGGTCACCACGGGCTTGAAGAGCACAGACACTGCCAGAATCGCCCACATCGCGCTTTGATTCATGGCGTTTCTGCCATGGAGGTCCATTTGGAGGACAACTTGTCGATGGTCCACATTCCGGCTGTCCATAGAATGTATTGGGGTCTCCTGAAAAGTGGCCCGTGTATAGGTATTGCTGAGGTGCGTTAGGATCATCAGACGCTGGACATTGGTAATATATCGACAATGGATCGTCAGAACATGCGAATAGTCCACCAAACCGTGGCACGCCGTTTGGATCCTGCGAGACAGAAGACAAGGTAGGATAAGCATCCCAAAGCGAGAATAGCGATTGCTGCGATCCGGTCTCAGGTGGAAGTGTCGAATCTGCAGGATTGGAAGCGTGCGCTTCAGTGCCGTCTAATGGATGACTGGCTGCACCATCAGGTCGTGTTCCCTTGGCGGCTGAACCTTCCTGAACCTTTTTCGGCGGTTCCGCCATTTGTGATGGTTCTTTTTGCTTTTGACGTCCCGGTGTACAAAGCTTTGGCCTGAAGTAGTGCTGTCCCTTTCCATCAGTCATCTTACAATTGCACCACATATCCCAGTTTATAAGGTCGCAGGATACGTCTTGTTCGTTGACTTCAAAAGTGCTCTGCCAGTGAACCAGTTCAAAAGGGCTATCCATAAGGTCCTCGTTCTTCGCTGTTGTAAAACCTGGCAGTGACAGGCGCGTGAACCAAGTTGTTGGATGACAAATCAGGGTTTTCCAGTTAAGCTGCACTGGTGTCCATGGATAGGTAGTCCAAAACATCTTGCTTTGCTCAGGAGAAACAACAAAGCGCTTGCCACCTGAGTATGAATCGATCACAGGCATTCTGATCTTGACTTTGTTCCTGATTTGACAATAACATGTAGCAAAACAGTGATCCGTGTTGATGTCTAGTCTGTGTACATCTCGAAACGTACCAAAGACAGCCCTGTCGCTTTGTAGGCATTTCCACGGGCCGACCCACCTGTTCTGTCCAAGCTCAGCAAAATAAGCATGATAATATTGCTGTCCAGCATCCTTACACTCAGCTTTGCAATGCTCGTCGAGACCGTCGCGGACTGCTGCACTGCTGCAGGTCTCTGGATCCAATTGTACCGTAGATGCTGATTGCTTCTGCAGAGTCATGCTGTAGCAATTGCGCTCAAGATCATTTGTGTAGGCCCGGAAAATGAGTTCGGCTGGGGATGTCGACGTAGGCGCAACGCGAGCAATAGAAGTTTGTCCCTTGCTCGATCCACTTGTCCCAGAGGTACCAATGGACTTTCCCTTCGATTTCGGAGGCGCTCCAGCAGATCGATACAGCAGAAAAACGGTGCAAATTGAGCACAATGCGAGCTTGATTGGCATTGGCCAGACGTGCCATCGTAGCTTCATATCGATGATGACGTGTAAGGTTGGCGGTCAAGAGGGCTCACCATAAAGCAGACGACGAGCGCGAGTGCCTTTTACATGGGGATTTGATGATGCGACATGATTAGCGTCTCAGAGGTGCAACCCAATGATGCATGAGACAACGACGATTCCATCCACGTTGCTTCAGATGTGTTGCTTGGCATGCGCTCTGCGGGCTTGAATATGCGAGCCATTGCTCCCCAGACTTCACGTGCTCACGCTATGCGTGATATGGTGTTACATCCTCATGCAGTCGTGCGTGAGTTCCGATGTTGCAAATGCGCAGAAAATGGAGCGGGCCGGATGACAAGGCCTTGCAGAGCAGAAAGAGAGCCATCCATATCCATATTGTCAGCGTGAGTGACATCAGCCAGACATATCTTTGGAGTTGCATTTCTGAGAGTGTGTGGTGAGTCCACTGGCGACGGTCAAGAATGGTCAGCTGTCGTAAACACGAGCTGCATCTCAAGGTCTCTGATCGGCTACGCGACAGTGCCGAATGGGCCGATCGTTTGCGACCTAAACGCAGGTGGATCAGGAGCAATGGGACATAAAGGCATATGCGCAATGCGTTGAGCAATGGCCCGGATGAGGTAACTCCAATGAGAACGTAGAGGGCGGTATGCTGTTGATCATGCTCATCGAGTGTCACCTTGCTTGTCTCCTGTCTGCAGATGCTGCACTCACTTGCAGAGAGACTTTTGTAGCATTGTGAAGCCGTCCAACAGATGGTGAGAATGCGCAGAGAATGGGCAAGACTTCCATGTAGCAAGAATGCTTGTACATGAGAGCACTGAAAGGGATTGAACTCGCCGTGACTTCAAATGTTACCACGTTGCCCTGGCCGCACGACAGTACTTATCAACTCTCGCATCTTTAGGAAGCGATGCCTGCGATAGGCCGGCATGATCGTGAGGGGCTTTGTCTGTGCTGACTTTTGGGTGGAGCGGCCAATGACGTCCATGACAGCCGCCACTACCTCCAACAAGTCAGCTGGCAGCTTGACCTCGTCTGTGTCTTGAAAAGCCTCATCAGCTGTTCCTTTATATTGTTAGCATTGGTAGACGCCAGTGGACCGTTCGCACTGAGTGATAATTTGACATCTTCTTCTGATACTGCGCCAGTAGAATGTCGTAGGTATGACTTCGTCCAGCAACAGTACGCTTGCTACCCGTCGAGTGCGACTTGCACGTCAAACTGCGTGCGCACAGTCCACCCTGTGGCAACGGTACACCACATTGCCTCTCGATTCCCACAAGGCCCTCGGGTTTGGCTTCCGACTTTTCAGCTTTCTTGCTCTCCTTCTTGACCGCACCCTCCATACTCGTTTGTGTCTTTTGTGGCGCCTTGCGCGGACCTCCAGCCGTGTCAGAGCCAGCAATACTCACTTCATCATCCAATCCAGCGGCTTGCGCTTTCCGCTTCGTAGCGCTTGACTTGTCCGTTGTCTTTTGTACTGACTCACCCGTTGCGCTCTTCGTGGCCTTTGGCGTACAAGAAATACTTGAAGCTCTCCTCCAATTTGCTCGCTCTTGGCTGAAAGTAAAACTGTTACGCGCATGCTCAAATCTCTTCTTAGAGTAGCAAGGCCGCCTTGTCTTGCCCAAAGCTCAATTACTCGTGCAGCAGCTCTTTGCACACGCTTCTCTTCGCCTTGTACGGCTCGCTTGTATGCAACTGTGACGCTAAATCCTTCAGCTCTGCTGATTCCAATGCGCACCCTTCAGGTCTCAAGCAAGGGATGCTTATGCGCTTATCAAACAAGCTGATCTCCAGGGTGGCAAGACCGAGCTGCCCGGACGCACATTCGGGTATTGGCTTCTCGGCACCGCTGGCCTAGTCTATAGTATCATCAGACTTGATGGTCTGACGCGTCTGACGGCATCAGGATTGACTATTACAGAGTGGAAACCCGTCACTAGATCGGTGCCATCTCTTGCAATGAATACTGTAGCGTGTTATGCGAGCATGCAAGCAGTAAGCCGTCAAACTTGGCACCGCTCATAAAGGTCTCTGGAGACCATAGAGACATTACAGTCAGTATAGACGATGATAAGAGGGAGCCTAGTGCACATTTTGGAGGTAAGCTTGGTAGAGGTACATGTAGTCTAGGAGGAAGCAACCTCGCTCAAGCTTAACTTTTCAACTCTCATCGACGACAACTGTTACCAAGAACCAAACCTGCATGGACTGCATCATGATAAGCTCTTTCTGCTCATAGCTAGCTCATGCAAACACAAGCTCAAGTCGCTGCCTATCTCGCAGAACGACATATCCATACCTCCTCAACATGGCTACAAACAGCCTACGCCCACGCAGGCACGCTTCATTCCATTGAACCGCTCACACATACAATCACCAAGCTCCTACTACAAACAGACATCACAGCCTCTCTTGGCCCTGATGCGCCGAGTTTCCCGCCGCTTCCTGATGAGCCTGCTGGTAGTGGCTTTGTTGCACTACGCGCACCAACGGTCGTTCAGATCATGGCCATTGCTGAGATTGGTACCAGTCTTGCCGGTCAGCTAGATGCAGTCGATGCATTACGAGAAAAGCAGAAACCTATTGAACGACGACTTGTACGACTCAATGAAGAGCCCGTTGATGCAGATGGTGCGCAACCTGCCGCAACGGCGCCTATGGCCAGTCACGGCGATCCTCTGAATCTCCCCAAAAAGACATTACGACTCGTCCTTCAAGATGCACGCGGACAGCGACGTTTTGCCATTGAGCAGAAACCAGTCGCTGCGCTCAACTTGCTGCAAACGCCAGTTGGCAGTAAGCTGCTGCTCGATGCAGGCGTTTTGGTCGTGCAAGGTGTTGTCTTGCTCAAAACCCTCACCACTGTGTTTCTAGGCGGCGGTCTACCAGGTCCTGATACACAGTCTGCCTTGACTCGCTTGGATGCGCTTGAAGCGGACCTCAAAGCACGACGAGACGTCTTGCCACGCGCTGAAGGCCCAGTTGCCCAACGAGCGACGCAGCAAGATGCGCAGGCTGTGCGTGGTGCTGCTCGTGCTGCTACTCGTGGACGTGCAAGAGGACGTGGCGGACGTGGTAGATCATGAGACGTTGGTAGATCATGAGACGTCTCTTTCAATCTACACACACTCTAATAATTACCAGATTGGCTAGGTAGCAACAGGCCGGCGCTTGCCTAGCACCTGTTCATCTAAATCCTTCTTGAGGGCTTGGACCTCTTCAGTCAATTGATCACTCAATACATCCACCTTGAGTTCAGGATCCCGTCCAACCTTGGAAGTCTCCTTGCTTGACTTCTCCAAAAGTTGCTGGCGTTGGCGGACTTGACGCTTGACGAGGGCGCCTGCTGGGCTCTTGAAGAACGCCACCGTCAATAGCATACCGACATGCACGTAGAACCCATACCGCAAATCAAACTTGAGAGAGTCCTTGAAGGAGAGGACAACAAAACTCTGGACAATGTATGCCCATGACCATTGCGTCACGGCCCAGCATACAACATCGTACATCCATTTATTGGCAGTAGGCGTCTTCAGGTCGTCTTGCAAGAAGAATGGACGCAGGTTGCGACGATAGTACTTGCCCATTGTTTGTGCAAATGCACCAAGCATAAAGGCAAGGTAGTAGCCAGGGTAAAAGCCATGCCAAATAGCACTTGTTAGGAATGTTGCCAAGGTTGACAGGAATCCCGGTCGTTTACCTTGAGGTGTGACACGCAGGTAGACGTACTGTTTGAGCCATTTATTGGTATTCTTGTTCCAAGCCTCGAGCAAGGCTTTTGTGTTTTGCGAGGTTTCGAATTCATAGGGTGAGATGTTTTCAATGGAAGACCAGTCTTGCTTGCCGTCCTTGTAGCTAAAGCCGAAGCCAGCTAGGATACAACTGCCCTCAGACAATTTCCAGACGCCATAGTACTTGGTGCGATGCGTCAAAGCAAGTGGCATGATATACCAGAATCGGTATAACCAGGATGTTCTCCCAAATCGATCCGACAGCACATCTTGCACGCTGAAGCGTGTACTGAGCCAACTAAAGACTCCGAGCCAGAAGAGACCCTCAAGTGCGCGTCGCAGTGCAGGTCGTCCACTGCGAGGAATCTTGCGGCCTTTTCTGAATCTTGGAGCAGCTTTGATCTGTGCAGGCGGTTCAAAGAGTTGTAGGGAAAGCCATTTCTCGTATTGGGCAAATTCAAAGGCTGGGCCAATGAGCATTGCTGGGAAGAAGAAGACCCAGGCGAGATAAGCATCGAGTGCTGGGAGATGAGTCAGTGCATTCTCCTTTTGAAAGTCGGCGAGGTCCTTCTTTTTGCCGTCCATGATGTTCCATGCGAATGCCGTCAATTTCATGACGAGGACCATTTGTGCGCCTGTGATGTCGACGGCATCGGGATCGTTGGCCCATTGTCTCGCAACTTGACTGACAGTTAGCGAGCGTTCTCAAGCATACTATTGGCATACTTATATGACATGTGACCCATGATGAAGACGAAATTGACCCAGGGCATCAAGGGCGAGTGCCAAAACCCAGCGAGGGTATAAGTTACAAGACTCGAGACGAGGATATGAACGAGTCCAGTCCATAGATCAAACACACCCACCAGGAAGAACAAGCCGCATGCGATGCAAAACAGGTTCCTGAGGCGGGGTTGGTCATCTGGGATACGCTTGAGGAGTCCTGCAAGCGGATATGCAAGCAGGAGACACACGATGGTCTTGAGAGCGTCCAGAGGCAGCCCGACCCTGCCTGCTGCTGCGGCCAGTAGCCTGTCTAGCAGGTCTATCATGGCTTTTCCTATGAGAAGCTGAGTTGTTGCAGGATGAAATTTGGTCTCGTCGTCTTTTTGGTGAAATTGAACAGCAAAGCAGAGTTGAGCAGGTTACCAGACCATCTACATAGCCTTCTACTCGCTGTATCTAGCAGTATGGTGACGGACGACCAGCTCGATACAATCGCAAAGGGACTCGGCGTCTGTATGTGGCAGATTGACTCAAATGCAGGCAGCACGCTAACAGACAGCCATGATGCTGCTCATCGTCGCGTACCACTACGTCGCCAAGAACACAGGCACGCAGTCACCGCCCTCTGCAAAGGCCTAGGAAGAGATCCATCATGGCTGGAGGTCTACAGCTTCTTCATCCAAATCACCCGCACAAAATACGGCAACACCAACCGTCCCTCCGCATCGCGTTCTTGCTCAGGATGCGCCCTCACCATCTCTTCTAGCTCACGTTTGAGCGCTTGTTGCTCCTCTTCCGGTAGCTTCGTAATGAATGACTTGCTCTTTGCACGCTCCCACAATGCTTCTTCTGAGAGGACTTGCGTCGTTTCTTCCACATACTCTTGATACTTGCTCAACAGCGTCGTCTCCTCCAAGGGTTTCTTCCAAAGGCCTTTACGGTACTGCGGTAGCCCTTCATCGTACCGTGTCACAGCAGCGAAATGCTCATCTTGCAGCTGACTGATCCCTTCCCGCTCCAAGTTCCAAATCATACCCAGCATACCACCGGGCTTCAAGACGCGCGAGATCTCAGTGAGTGCGTCATGGTCCGCAAACCAGTGAAAGGCCTGAGCAATGGCCACGGCATCGAAGTGAGCGTCTGGGAAGGGTAAACTGTATGCGCCTGCTGTGACGACGGGGATGTGTGGGGATAATGCGCTCAAGACGTCTAGCATGCCCGTGGAAGGATCAGCCGCCGTCAAGTCATACCCGCGATTATCCAATAGACGTGTAAACTTGCCCGTCCCGCATGCCTGAGTGGTATTAGTCTTGGTATTTGTGGATGAATAGATGGTAGAAGGGTTACCAAGTCGAGGACTTTGGAGCCCTGTTTCAAGCAGAGCCCAGAGATGAGGACGTTGATGGCTGTTGGCGAGTAGGAAGGTCGGGCTTTGTCGTAGAGGACAGCATTGCGGTTGAAGGAGTCTTGGGAGACTTGATGCACTTTGTCCATGGGCGTCGTCGCGTCCTGGACCTGAACCTACAAGTTGAGCTGCTAAGGGACAAGGACCTTGAAGGGCTTCATCTTGAGTCTACCGGGCAGATGAGATGACGGAGAACTGGAAGTCAGTAGGCAACTACTACTGCGACTACTGCAAGACCTTCATCCGCGATGATGCCTTCAACAGGCGCAACCATGAAGCATCAGATAGACACCAAAATGCACTCAAGCGGCAGGTGCGTACCTTGCACAAGAAGCATGAACAGGAGCAACGAGACCTCGCACGGACGAATCGAGAGTTGCTCAAGATGGGAGGGAAAGTCGCGCCTGTTGTGAAGGAAGTAGACAAAAAGCTGCCAAAGAAGGTGAATGTCGGCGTCAAGGCGCAGAAGAAGGAACAGGCTGGTGTTCTGGAGGATGCAGAGATACAACGGCAAGTACTCGCTGCGCAGGCCATGCCTGGACAATGGGCCACAGCGGCAGTCGAAGTGCCACTGACTAGCGACGTCAAGGATGAAGTGAAAGACGAGGCTGAAGAAGGTGATGCGGTGAAAGGCCCGGCATCAGCTCCAGGGCTCTCATCAACGGCACAAGCTCTCAAACGTGTTCGAGAAGGACATGATGATGAAATGCTGGGGTACAAAGTGGCCGTTATGGAGACAAAAGCCAACAACGACGCTGTTGCTGGTCCTGCTGTGGCATTCAAGAAACGTGCACCAAAGACAAGACCTGCTAAACCAACTTGATGTCCTTTCGATGTCATGACCTTTGCCGCCCGTTGTTCTTGATCTCGACAGTTGGTCCCTTTGACGTGCTGATAGCAGCTTCATGCCCTCGCAAGCAAGGCGCCATGTCTGTGGCAATGTCTGTGAAAAATTCATCATATCTACGTTCCGATCTACAGCGCGTTGGCATACTCGAGGGGCTAGTATGCGCCATAGAACCGTGGAATCACTTGCTCGCCTCGATGGCGCGAGTCACTCTGCCGATCGAATACATCTGCTGAGATCAATTGCAGGACTGGACCTGAAAGGCGTCTCAACCATAGCAGCATGACTTATATAGACTTCTATAGACTCCCATCGCGTCCTTCCTGGTCACCTGGTGCCTGACTTCCATCGCGTCCAAATTTCGCAGACGACAAAACTCAAATTTGAGCAGCAGCAGCGACTCTACATCAGACACATCCTCCTTCTTGCTCTCTGCTGCTCTGCGTGCTCAAACTCTGCTGTATACTTCTCTTCTTCTAGCTGCGGCAGCTACACTCTCGTCATGTCTGGACAACGCTCCACAAAACTAGGGCCAGCACCCGAATTCACTGCCATCATCCTCGCTGGTCCAGGCGGCAATCTCGCACCCCTCTCTGATCCTGAAAACATGCCGAAATGCCTCTTACCAGTCGTCAACAGAGCCATGATCTCCTATCCTCTGAGCTGGGTGGAAAAAGCAGGCATCACACACTGCCTTGTGCTGTGTCTTGAAGAACACGAGACTGCGATTGCCGCCTGGATGAAGCAGACGTGGGCCAAATTATCCACAGCAGGACTCAAACCGACCCTTGTTGCCACCTCATCAGATGACGAATTGGTCGGTAGTGCAGATGCCATTCGCTTATTGATGAAGAATCACACAAAACACAAGATTCGCTCGGACGTGGTGATTCTTGCTTGCGACACAGTATGTGATGCTGCGCCCTATGCATTGCTGGACCAGCATCGGCTAGCGGAAGCGAGTTTCACGGCGTTGTATCATCGTCAGCACGGCGAAGACATCATGACTCCTCAAAAACGGGCGAGCAAGACATTCACTGGCTATGAAGCAGAGACCAATACATTATTGCTCAGTCAATCTGAAGCGGATTTGGAAGGTGATGAACTGGAGGTACGCATGTCGATGTTGTGGAAGTACCCGAAAGTCGAGTTGACCACCACCTTGCAAGATTGTCACTTGTATGTCTGCAAGAAATGGATCCTAGACCTCATCGTCAACCTACCAGTCCTCTCCCGTCTCAATACAGAACTACTGCCCTTACTGTGTAAAGCACAATTTCAATCACTCACGCGCCGCAAGTACGATATTCGGGATGATGTTCGCTGCAGTATCCACATCATGGAACAAGACCCGCCTGTCCCCTTTTGTGGCCGTGTCAATATGACACAATCCTACATTGACATCAACAAACATGCGCTGCGTGTGACGACGCAACCACGTCTAGGCGCCAATGTCGTCCTTGGCGATCGATCTACCGTCGGACCTGACTCGTTGGTGGGAGCGGACACCTTGATTGATGATAAAGTCACCATCAAACGTACCATCCTCGGTGCCCACTGCAAGATTGGGAAAATGGCACGCTTGACGGGTTGTCTCATTATGGACAATGTCATTATTGGCGATTCCGTCAAGCTTGAGAATTGTACAGTTGGACAGGGTGCCGTGATTGGTGACCGGAGTAGTCTGCGGGATTGTATTGTTGGTGGCAAGTACACTGTCAGTGACAAGATGGAAGCCAAGAGTGAGCATTTTGTTGTAGGTGGTGAAATTAGCATGACACTTTAGAGAGTAATGTCAATCGGTGTTTGCAGTACGTGCTCTTCACAGTCTGCTGAGGTCCCATTCTCTGCATTCGTGACAAAGAAGTGAAGGGTGTCGTGCAAGGCAATCATGGGTGCATGCCACTGATTCATGGCATAGGTGACGGCTGTGTGTCCTTTACACTTGAATGCTTGCAGTGTCGACAAGTCAGGCACATCTTGACCATCTTGCCGCTTATTGTCTGCAACCACAACCAAGTAGGCCACAGTGTCCTTGGGTCCACCACTTGGTATGAAGGTCTGAGTAGTGAATGAATGCCGCTCAAGCACAGTGACGGTGACCTGTCCCTGTTTAAGCTGTGGCTGGCAGATGAAGATGTTCCAGACTTGTTCAGCAGCTGGGCCTTCTGCTGGATAGCAGTGCGTGATGGGAGAGACGCGTTTGATCTTTTGAGCTGAGCCTTGGTTGGCCTCTGTGGAAGTGAAGCTGGTCGGGTGATGGTGGACACCGGCAGTATCTAGATTAAGCAAAGCCGTTTCTGTTTCTTGAGCTGTGATCCTCATTCTATGGCTTCTGCAGCCCAGCTTGTCTTTCTAAGTACTTAGCTGCAATTGTAGCTTGTAGCTTGTAGCTTGTACTTGTAGCTTGTAGCGTGTATCGATCAATTTTCAGTTTTCGACGACCAGCAGCGACCAAACCTTCACTTGCCCAGTCCATCCACGGCCTCATCATGCTGCGGACGGCCCCCATCAACCCGACCAAGGCGGCCCTCAGTCTCCTTCCGCCCTTCACCACAGTCACAGCGCACGCCTTCCCCTCCCTGCAACCAGCCGCTCGCTTCGACCTCAAAACATCCTTCCTCCAATCTCCGATGCGCAAAGACCTTTTACATCGCGCTATTGTCTTTGAACGCGATGCCATGCGTCAAGGTTCAGCCTCAACCAAGTCTCGCAGCGATATGACATACTCTACAAAAAAACTCAGACCGCAAAAAGGATCCGGTGCTGCACGACTCGGTGATCGGAGTTCACCCATGCTTCGTGGTGGTGCACGGGCACATGGCCCAAAGCCAAGAGACTTCTCGACAGAGTTGCCGAGAAAAGTGTATAACCTGGCTATTCGAACGGCCTTGTCACATTTATATCGAGAGGGCAAGTTGACGGTTGTTCAAGGACAAATGGATTTGCCAACTCACAAGACGCAGACGGCATTGGCTTTCCTTGAAGGACATGGATTTGCCTTGCCAGAAGAGAAGAAGCCGCTTGGTGGACGGACGCTCTTCATTACAAACAAGCAACGGCCGAATCTTGAACGAGCTACGGCGAATGTGGGATACCTGTGTGAGGTGCTGCGACTGGATGAGATGCTGCTCTGGGAGCTGCTCAAGTACAATCGCATCCTGATTGAGCGCAAAGCTCTCACAGAACTCGAATTCATGACGAGAGTGAATGACCAGTAAGCTGATACGATCAACGCTATAGCCATGTAGAGTGTCTAGATGAATCCATGCTGAATGGCAAGCTCCGCATTGAGAATACCCATGCCAGCTGCACCGAGTACCGTGTTGTGAACCAGACAAATGAACTTGACACCGCGGCCTCCAGGAAGCTCCCGGACACGGCCAACGCTCACAGCATACCCACCTTCTAGTTCCCTGTCCAAGCGCGGTTGTGGCCTATCTTCATCTTGATGCACAAAAATGGCCTTCTTGGGCGCACTGGGCAATGCGTCGCTCTGCTGTAAAGGCATCCACGCCTCCATCGCAGCAACAATCTCTGCGACAGACGGCAGGGCAGCTTCTTTAGCGTATCGAATCGTCACACAACCAAGATGTCCATCAATCACTGCAACGCGATTACAACTCGCACTCACACTCATCTCCGCATGCTGAATGGACGGTTCAGCATAGTGTCCCAGGATCTTACCAGTTTCCCATTCCATCTTTTCCTCTTCGCCAGAGATGAAGGGGACGACATTGTCAAGGATATCGAGAGACGGAACACCTGGGTAGCCGCCGCCTGAAATGGCTTGTAGTGTGACGACATCCACACTATCCATCAAACCAGGGAATGCTGCCTGGATAGCAGCTAGGGGAACAACCATACCTGCTGTAGAACAGTTGGAGTTGGTGACAATGAAGCCGCCTGCTCCCGTCTCCTTTTGCTGTTGTCGAATGAGTTGAAGATGTGCTGGATTGGCAGTTGGCACCAGCAGCGGCACGAGCGGATCTCGTCTATAGTTCTTTGCATTGGAAAAGATCTTAAAGTCTGCCTTACGAAAGGCAGCTTCAATCTCTCCAGCGACATCGGCATCCAGGCCAGAAAAGATGATGTGGCACCCTTCAAAGTGTTCTGGTGAACACGGTTGAATCACCATCTCCTTCACACCATCATGACAGGGCGTCGATTGCTTCCACTTTGTGGCCTTGAGGTACGTTTTGCCTGCACTACGGCTGGATGCGCCTAGCCGGTGGATCTTGAGAAAGGGATGCGTCTTAAGGAGAGTGATGAAACGCTGGCCGACTGTGCCGGTGGCCCCGAGGATGCCAACATTGTATGTCTTCGACATCTTGAGCTCTTGCTTCCTCCTAGCTTCCTTGATAAAACTCACACAAGGACAGCTTCCCTTGAATAGTGGTTGTCGAAGTTGCCATCTAGATCTGTTAACGTTCAACTTCAATAATTTTGGCTGATGATTCAATCACGTGCTCCTCTGACACGCCTCAGGTCATGACAGACTGACACTGTCTGACACTGAGGCCCCCCTCCTCAGGCTTCGAGCAATTACACCCGGGACTTCCTCAAATGTATTTGCTCAGAATGCTGCACCGCATGGACACATGGCTCTCGGCCTCTCCGGAGTCCAGTCTAGTCTCTAGAGCCATGCGCAACATTGCCTAGGGAGGGACGCTTCTCCGTCTTGGCACCAAAACAAGAGCTGACCCCGAACCCGGATTGTGACTCTGTGAGGCTCGAGCTCAGGCTAGTCAAGCACGCGAAGGCCCAGATCCAGGTCAAAGCGTATTCCCCTGAAATGCTTCTCTACACACATGTGTCGGGGACGGGCATGGGTTCTAGACCTACGCGCAACATTGCAAAAGAGATGGACCTTCTCTCTCTTTGCACTTGTCTCTACAACTTCAGCATCAGCTCGGAAGACAGAATGTCAGTCTCTTGACGCTTGACTCTAGCTAAGAAGCTGGAAGAATCAAAGTTTACATCATCGCTGTTGGTGCCCGGCGGACGGAGGTTCGATGAGAAACATGTCGCGCTGAATGGAATTCATCATCACCTCCAAATTTCCAGTCGAAAATAAGGCAGGAGGCGATCTCGGTCACCAAGAATGTCGTGACAAGTGTTGGCAGAAAGTCCACCAATATCGAGAGGATCGCTGGGATTATCACCAAGGTCCCGCAGCCCATCACTCTTGCAATCTTGGCTGGTTGTGGTTTTCTTGGAAGAGCGAGGCAGTTGCTGTCCCCGAAGCGATGGAAAAGCATGATGGTCGAAAAGACATTTATTCGCGGATCGACAAGGTCGTGAATGCACACAAAAAGAAATCAGATGGATGGATCTCACAGCTACTTCTTCGGGAGTTGATCCGTAAGCTTGTTTCTTCGGTGCTCACTGCGGGATTTGAGAAGTTCACGGGGATACGCCAGAGTCCAATGAACGTGCCAAACACGAGGGGCGGAACGTGTGCGGTCTCGGGACGTGCCAGTGGAAGTGACATGTGGACCTGTTCATCATCGAGTCGTCTCCTGTGGAACGCGCAAGACACCGTCGTTGACTCGCTAACAGACATTCTTTATGGCTGGTACGATCGCCTTTCTCGTGATCCGAAAGCAAAGTCTCCACCGATCCCGCCGAGTGAATGTCGCTGTGACATTGGAATCGTTGTCGAGCGATTCTACACTCATCCAAAGTGCTCCACGGAAATTTTCGCATTCGAGTTCACCGCAGAAGCTTCGTGGCCTTTTCGAGTTCCCGAGGGCCAGCAAGGCATAATACGTGTTGGTCCCGAGGAAGTTTTTCCGCCGCCAAGGTTCGACGAAGATTGGTCGAATCTCGATATTATCGGGATGAGGGCCTTTCCACCTGTTCGTGAGGAAACCGGGTTTGCAAAGCTTGACCTTGAAAGGTCCAACCTTCCCAGGCCTGACTTGGGCCAATTGGACACGCAGCACAAGGGAATGCTACTTCCGGTCACTGAGCACGCTAAGAACTGGTTCAAGGACCACACAGACAGGAAAGGCTGGGTACAGGGAGGAGATTCCCCCTTCAATTACCACCATAAAGCAACGAGTGAGCCGCCTGGGCCTTATCATGCAGACGTAATGCTATGAATCAACCGCTAGTTGCAGTGACTGTACTCATCCCTGCGGTAGCCGTCAGCGATAGGTTCATAGACGCCTTTAATTTGAACGTGAGCAGCTATCATCATTGCTACATCAAAACGATTAGAAAGGACAGAGGGATGCAGCTAGGTCACTTTCATTGTTTACAACGAGCCACCTGCCAGTTCCCGACCAGATAGCTGAAGCAGTTCGAAGAGCCTGCGTCTTGCCAGGTACTAATTCGTCATTTTCCAAGTTGCAAACTGCTTGCAGTTGATGGGGTAGTGGTTTTAATGATGCAAGAATGACGAGCGAGCCGCGCGAGATACATTGACCTTCTGGCTAGTCCGCGTGCTTGACACGAGGCAGAACACAGTGCGAGACGACTTCAATGACATTTAGCGATGCATGCGCACTCTTGGAAGCTTGTTGATTGAGTATGAGGTTACGCTCCTAATCAAGAAGGCTTGGCTAGAGTTCGTGACCGCAGCGATTGGTCATGCATGGTCATGGTACCGCGCCGATACCGTGAGTGATGGGATTTAGCTCTAAAAAAAAGCTACGTCGTGCTCAGCTCAACTACTGTCCCCCATAATAAGAGGGAAGCGAAACAGAGAATCCACCCACCCAAGGGTGCTCAGACTCTCCACGCCGGACAACGCATAGTGCCATAAGGCTATTTGCTGGTCATAGAAGACACAGCTAGAGTATTCTCAGGTAGCGCCCGTTGACTTTGCTGATGACAGCGTTGACAATGCGCGACACGAAGGAGAGATGTTCTTTCGGTGGGTCGACAATGATTTGCATGATGTCGGCAGGGCTCGAGTCAGGCCAACGCAGCCGTATGTCCGCCAGTTGAGCTTCGTGGTCGCAGCATTCGAGCAGTGCATGCTGCAGAGTCTCCACAACATCGCCGGTCGGCTTGCATGCCGGGCAGGAGCGATCAAGCTCGTCATCCCTGTGTCTTCTCCCTCTATTGACCATGAGCTGGTCATTACTGCCGCGCATACGCGCAATCCATCTGCCAGCATATCCGTCCTGCATCTTGACATAAGGCCTTTGCTCCTTGAACTCCTCGAACGAGACTGGTGTAATGTGTCTGTATAGCGCGTTGTTGGCACATTCATGCACCCAGTTCTCATAGTGCGTCTTCCAGAGCGACTCAGTGAAGTCTTTGCGGCACGTTGGAGAGCCGAGAGTCGCACCGGAGCCATTGAGAAGTGTAGAGATCTGGCTGTACCACGTTTTGCTCTCGAGAGTCGAGCTCATCGCCCTCACTTCAAGGCTCAAGTCCCAAAGCGAAAACCCTAACCCAGCGAGTGCTAGTCGCCATGTACAAACACGCATGTCAAGCTCAACTTACTCGGAGAACGTCAATTGTAAGCTGCTGCTGCTCCTGCTGCTCATGCTATGTGCGTTTATTTGCACATGCTACAGCTCCTGCTGCTCATGCCATGTGCGTGTATTTGCACATGCTACAGCTATGAGAATGTCGCACCTTCGTGCTTGAATCAATGCTTCTGCGACTGAGTCCATTGCTCATCCGGCCACCGCAGCGCTGCCTTAGCTCTATAAGGCCTAAGCGGAGTTGTGTCTAGCTATCGCGGAGCAGAATCGTTATTATCATGTCATTGTAGACTCAATGTCCATGGTCGCATTGATCGAATTGTCAACGACAGACTGTGGGCTACTGACCTACTATCGAGAGGCTTTCCTGGAAGTGTGCGCAACCTTGGGTCATTGCCGATCAGTACCCCTGACATGTGCGATTTCGAAGTCGTTTGTTTGTCGTACCATATGATCAAGACGTGTCGTGGCCTTTCCGACCGCGGCTTCAATTACAGAAACTGCTCTCACGCGGCTCTGACCTGATCAAAGCCAATGGATGCAACTACGTGGCAAGAGGATTGGGCATGGGCCCGTCCGATACTGATTGACGTGGTTCTATGCACGGCTATCGGCGTATATGCGAATATCGACTTGGAGTATTGGTCTGCTGAGTTATGGAGTTTGCTGGGCTACAAGTTTGGCAGCTCATTCGGATTGCACAGCCAGATGGACGCATGTGCCATGTCTACATATCGGCTGGTTGCAAATACTTGGTCGGATCCACCCAAGACAGACTGTAATCTTACATGCGCTGCTTTGGCAAAGAGCCATTATGATGGCCTAGCCCTTGGGCCTGATCTCTGTCAAGTTGTCAACAGTCTTGCAGACTTTGACTGGCTCTATCTTGAGCCGTCTTTTCTCCAGCAGGATGTGCTTGATGGTGTATCAAGCCATCAACCGTGTAATTGCGTGATGAAGTTGGTTATGCATCGGCAAAAGAAGTTCTCGTCGGATACTCTGCAATGCGAGGTCAGAATCGTCTCCAACAGATTGTCGTTTGCTGGATGGTCGGCACGGCCATGGCGTACCGATGACGAAGACTGCGAGCTGACAACACCAATCACAACAAAACAGCAATCTTCTCTACACATTGCTATGAAGTACAACATCAACAAAGCTTTACATCCTGCCAAGGACTTTCAGCCGGCTAGTCCGCTACTGTGATCGTTCGCGGCGAAGTCAAACGCGCACCCGCCTAGGCCTGAGTGGATGGGTCCTCTGAGCGCCTCGTTATTGACTCAGCGTTCCTCAGGTCAGCAGCAAGTCTGCGATCTACTGTATCAACGCAATTTCTCTATGCAGCAGCGGAGTCCATCGCCTCATCCCGTTGTGAATCGCCACATGGACTGTAGTGTAATATCCATTCACTTGCAAAAGACACCTCCTAAATCGCTTTGTTTCCCACCCTGCAATGCAAGCATTGCAGCACTTATCAGCTGATCATGATGCAGCTGAATGTCATGTGGACAGCAGTAGCCAGGTGGCATTTTTGCGGCCACGTTCGAGTCAACAATGACAAATGTGCATGCGAGAAAGCGATACAGTCTTCTACACCTCGATCTTCCTCAATTGGAAGTCGCACGCGTAAATTCGTGCTTAGCAATAAGACGCACAATGCAATTTGCTCTGATTATGGACTATTGATCGGCTTTCAAAACGTTCGACATCGTTTGGTTCGGTTGTCTCTGAGCCGGCAGTTGGAGTGCCCCTGAACTCCCAGCAGAGCTCGAGATTCACCATGTGTGATGCAACTGGACATCGGGCCGCTATCGCAAATGCCACCTGAAGTATCGATTGACTTATTTTCGCGTCAAGGGGCTTTTAGCAAGAGAATGCGGTTGTCAAGTTGCATTAAAGGCCTCGCGCGGCAAGAACATCCAGTACTACGCCTCTCAAAGTTGCTTCCGCTGCACCTAGTCTTGCGCCGTACCTCGAATGGATGCTATGGCACGGGGGAGACGGCCGCGAAACGTCTTCATGGCGTATCTACCCACCATGTTTTACTATGTCCTTCGAGCAGTTAGGCAACATTACTTCTGGAATGATATGGAAGTGGCTTTCAATAGTGCATGGGACGAATGGATCTATCCCCGCCATTGCGAGATGCCAATCTATCACATGAATACAATCGCTTGGCCTGAGGTTGCCGGCTCATCAAGCTGCGTCTCATTGTGTTTGGCTCGTCTTCATGAACACTTTGAAGGACTGGCTTCTTCACCCGAGCTTTGTCAAGTACTCAATACGGAATCGGAATTCGACTGGTTGTACACAGACTTCTCATCTGCGCAAATGCCAGCTTTTCACTTCGGTGGATTGGATTCGAAACCGCTTTGTATCTGTAAGATGAATCTGATCATGCATCGCCAACGAATGGTTTCAGTTGTGCCCGAGCAGTGTACTGTAGAAGCTGTCGCGAAGCGACTTTCGTTCTGGGGTTGGATGGTGCAATCTGTCACGTCAGGAGACCCCAAAGACTGTGCTAAGACAACATGGATGACACCTGAGCAATTGGCAACCTTCTACGTGGGGATGAAGTATAACATCAGCAAGCAAGGAGAAGTGGCCAGGTGGCCTTATGGTCCTCCGCGACCACTAAAGCCGACATAGCTTCAGATATCCGTCTATTACAGTCATCTACAGCTCCAGAGCTTTCATAGGCTGTAGTTTATCGAGACTGTCTAGTCCTGTATAGCTACAGTAGATGTCCGGCCGTGGTGTCATCTGAATCGACCGGCGATTGCTTAGGCGCCTGTGGACATCCACGGCGCCGGCGCCGGCCAAGGACTCGATCATGACGACTCGAGCATCTTCCTGCGGCCTCCGAATGTCTAGCTCTGCGCTCCTTGGTGTTATCCGCGACTGTACTTGAATGATCTCAAAACTACCTAGAAGGCTTCCCATCGCAGCCGCTGTATCTTGATTGCTGCACGAAGACTAAGATCAATTGAGAAGCGGTTCCTTTTTGTGATCAACCAGCGCATCGAGCAGGCCCGCCTGCAGTTGATCCTCCAATAGCACATCAAGTCTATCCCCTGCTCTATGTTTTTCACATTAGGAGTATCTTAGCTGTAGCGTACTGTGAGATTGCCGACTATGAGTGCCACACAGCCATCGGGTCAACGACAGACGAAGCCCGCTTCTTCCGCCACGACAGCATCGTCTTGATGACAGGCATCCAGCAGGCATTTTCGTTGCGCAGTCCAGGCCATGGATCTCATTCCGGTCCGCCATCCGAGTCTGCAGCCAGATCTCATGCTTTGATCATCAACATTCATTCTCTTGAGCTAAACAGGCTGCCTGTCACGAATGTCCTTTGTCAGTAGCAATATGGTTGTCACTACTCCTTTAAGATCATCGTTGCCAGAGAGCGAGCCGGCAGGTTGCCGTCAAATGTGTCGTGCCATCTGAATCGAGCTGTCCTGGGCGACCGCAGCCTACTCGTTCACCCTCTGCAGTTGGAGTACGCCTGGGCCAACTGTCGCGTGGACCTCGGCGCCAGCTGCAGCACTTTCATCGTGGTATCTCCTTTTGCATTTGTTCAAGTACAGCTGGAGACAATACAGGTAGTGCAATCACAACACAAATACTATGTACAACTCACTGTTATTGGCCCAAGCTCAAGCTCTAGAGAAAGGTATTCTCCGCGCATATGGCCTTCTTCTGCGGCCGTGAACCACACACCCGCCCAAGCCTGAGTGGACGGGTCCTTTGAGCGCCTCTTTAGCGCCTCAGCGTCTCTCAGGTCAGCAAAAAGATTGCAATCCACAATATCAACGCAGTCCTTTATATATCCATCGCATCAACTCGTTGTGAATCGCCACATGGACTGTTGTGTAAGTTCTATCCACCTACAGACACCTCCCAAATCGCTTTGTTTCCCGCCCTACAATGCAAGCATTGCAGCACTTATCAGCTGATCATGATGCAGCTGAGTGTCATGTGAACAGAGCAGTAGCCAGGTGGCGTGTTCGCGACCACATTCAAGCCAACAGTGACCGATGTGCAAGTGAAAAAGCAACGTAGTCTTCTACACCTCAATCTTCCTCATTGGAAGTCGCAAATCTAAGTTCGTGCTTAACAATAAGACGCACAATGCCTGGCGATTTGCCCTGATTGTGGCCTGTTTATTGACTCTCAAAACGTTCGACATCGTTTGGCTCGGTTGTCTCTGAGTCGGCAGCTGGCGTGCCCCCTGAACTCCCAGCAGAGCTCGAGATTCACCATGTGTGATGCAACTGAACATCGGGCCGCTATTACAAGTGCCACCTGAAGTATCACTTGACTTATTCTCGCGTCAAGGGGCTTTTAGCACGAGAATGCGGTTGTCAAGTTGCATTAAAGGCCACGCGCGCCAAGAACATCCAGTACTACGCCCTTTTCTCAAAGTTGCTTCCGCTGCGTCTGGTCTTGTGCTGTAAGTCAAATGAATGCTGTGGTTCGGCGGATGCGGCCGCAGAACGTCTTCTTGGTGTATATACCCCCCATGATTGACTACATCCTTCCAGCAGTTTTGCAACATTACTTCTGGAATGATATTGGAGTGGCTTTCAATAGTGCATGGGACGAATGGATCTATCCCCGCCATTGCGAGATGCCAATCTATCACATGAATACAATCGCTTGGTCTGAGGTTGCCGGCTCATCAAGCTGCGTCTCATCGTGTTTGTCTCGTCTTCATGAACACTTTGAAGGAATGGCCTCTTCACCCGAGCTTTGTCAAGTACTCAATACGGAATCGGAATTCGACTGGTTGTACACAAACTTGTCATCTGCGCAAATGCCAGCCTTTCACTTCGGTGGATTGGATTCGAAACAGCTTTGTATCTGTAAGATGAATCTGATCATGCATCGCCAACGAATGGTTTCAGTTGTGCCCGAGCAGTGCACTGTAGAAGCTGTCGCAAAGCGACTCTCGTTCTGGGGGTGGATGGTGCAATCTGTTACGTCACAGGAGCAAGTCGATTGTGCTCGGACAACAAGTATGACACCAGAACAGCTGTCAAGCTTCTATGTGGGGATGAAGTATAACATCAGCAAGCAAGGAGAAGTGGCCAGGTGGCCTTATGGTCCTCCGCGACCACTAAAGCCGACATAGCTTCAGATATCCGTCTATTACAGTCATCTACAGCTCCAGAGCTTTCATAGGCTGTAGTTTATCGAGACTGTCTAGTCCTGTATAGCTACAGTAGATGTCCGGCCGTGGTGTCATCTGAATCGACCGGCGATTGCTTAGGCGCCTGTGGACATCCACGGCGCCGGCGCCGGCCAAGGACTCGATCATGACGACTCGAGCATCTTCCTGCGGCCTCCGAATGTCTAGCTCTGCGCTCCTTGGTGTTATCCGCGACTGTACTTGAATGATCTCAAAACTACCTAGAAGGCTTCCCATCGCAGCCGCTGTATCTTGATTGCTGCACGAAGACTAAGATCAATTGAGAAGCGGTTCCTTTTTGTGATCAACCAGCGCATCGAGCAGGCCCGCCTGCAGTTGATCCTCCAATAGCACATCAAGTCTATCCCCTGCTCTATGTTTTTTCACATTAGGAGTATCTTAGCTGTAGCGTACTGTGAGATTGCCGACTATGAGTGCCACACAGCCATCGGGTCAACGACAGACGAAGCCCGCTTCTTCCGCCACGACAGCATCGTCTTGATGACAGGCATCCAGCAGGCATTTTCGTTGCGCAGTCCAGGCCATGGATCTCATTCCGGTCCGCCATCCGAGTCTGCAGCCAGATCTCATGCTTTGATCATCAACATTCATTCTCTTGAGCTAAACAGGCTGCCTGTCACGAATGTCCTTTGTCAGTAGCAATATGGTTGTCACTACTCCTTTAAGATCATCGTTGCCAGAGAGCGAGCCGGCAGGTTGCCGTCAAATGTGTCGTGCCATCTGAATCGAGCTGTCCTGGGCGACCGCAGCCTACTCGTTCACCCTCTGCAGTTGGAGTACGCCTGGGCCAACTGTCGCGTGGACCTCGGCGCCAGCTGCAGCACTTTCATCGTGGTATCTCCTTTTGCATTTGTTCAAGTACAGCTGGAGACAATACAGGTAGTGCAATCACAACACAAATACTATGTACAACTCACTGTTATTGGCCCAAGCTCAAGCTCTAGAGAAAGGTATTCTCCGCGCATATGGCCTTCTTCTGCGGCCGTGAACCACACACCCGCCCAAGCCTGAGTGGACGGGTCCTTTGAGCGCCTCTTTAGCGCCTCAGCGTCTCTCAGGTCAGCAAAAAGATTGCAATCCACAATATCAACGCAGTCCTTTATATATCCATCGCATCAACTCGTTGTGAATCGCCACATGGACTGTTGTGTAAGTTCTATCCACCTACAGACACCTCCCAAATCGCTTTGTTTCCCGCCCTACAATGCAAGCATTGCAGCACTTATCAGCTGATCATGATGCAGCTGAGTGTCATGTGAACAGAGCAGTAGCCAGGTGGCGTGTTCGCGACCACATTCAAGCCAACAGTGACCGATGTGCAAGTGAAAAAGCAACGTAGTCTTCTACACCTCAATCTTCCTCATTGGAAGTCGCAAATCTAAGTTCGTGCTTAACAATAAGACGCACAATGCCTGGCGATTTGCCCTGATTGTGGCCTGTTTATTGACTCTCAAAACGTTCGACATCGTTTGGCTCGGTTGTCTCTGAGTCGGCAGCTGGCGTGCCCCCTGAACTCCCAGCAGAGCTCGAGATTCACCATGTGTGATGCAACTGAACATCGGGCCGCTATTACAAGTGCCACCTGAAGTATCACTTGACTTATTCTCGCGTCAAGGGGCTTTTAGCACGAGAATGCGGTTGTCAAGTTGCATTAAAGGCCACGCGCGCCAAGAACATCCAGTACTACGCCCTTTTCTCAAAGTTGCTTCCGCTGCGTCTGGTCTTGTGCTGTAAGTCAAATGAATGCTGTGGTTCGGCGGATGCGGCCGCAGAACGTCTTCTTGGTGTATATACCCCCCATGATTGACTACATCCTTCCAGCAGTTTTGCAACATTACTTCTGGAATGATATTGGAGTGGCTTTCAATAGTGCATGGGACGAATGGATCTATCCCCGCCATTGCGAGATGCCAATCTATCACATGAATACAATCGCTTGGTCTGAGGTTGCCGGCTCATCAAGCTGCGTCTCATCGTGTTTGTCTCGTCTTCATGAACACTTTGAAGGAATGGCCTCTTCACCCGAGCTTTGTCAAGTACTCAATACGGAATCGGAATTCGACTGGTTGTACACAAACTTGTCATCTGCGCAAATGCCAGCCTTTCACTTCGGTGGATTGGATTCGAAACAGCTTTGTATCTGTAAGATGAATCTGATCATGCATCGCCAACGAATGGTTTCAGTTGTGCCCGAGCAGTGCACTGTAGAAGCTGTCGCAAAGCGACTCTCGTTCTGGGGGTGGATGGTGCAATCTGTTACGTCACAGGAGCAAGTCGATTGTGCTCGGACAACAAGTATGACACCAGAACAGCTGTCAAGCTTCTATGTGGGGATGAAGTATAACATCAGCAAGCAAGGAGAAGTGGCCAGGTGGCCTTATGGTCCTCCGCGACCACTAAAGCCGACATAGCTTCAGATATCCGTCTATTACAGTCATCTACAGCTCCAGAGCTTTCATAGGCTGTAGTTTATCGAGACTGTCTAGTCCTGTATAGCTACAGTAGATGTCCGGCCGTGGTGTCATCTGAATCGACCGGCGATTGCTTAGGCGCCTGTGGACATCCACGGCGCCGGCGCCGGCCAAGGACTCGATCATGACGACTCGAGCATCTTCCTGCGGCCTCCGAATGTCTAGCTCTGCGCTCCTTGGTGTTATCCGCGACTGTACTTGAATGATCTCAAAACTACCTAGAAGGCTTCCCATCGCAGCCGCTGTATCTTGATTGCTGCACGAAGACTAAGATCAATTGAGAAGCGGTTCCTTTTTGTGATCAACCAGCGCATCGAGCAGGCCCGCCTGCAGTTGATCCTCCAATAGCACATCAAGTCTATCCCCTGCTCTATGTTTTTCACATTAGGAGTATCTTAGCTGTAGCGTACTGTGAGATTGCCGACTATGAGTGCCACACAGCCATCGGGTCAACGACAGACGAAGCCCGCTTCTTCCGCCACGACAGCATCGTCTTGATGACAGGCATCCAGCAGGCATTTTCGTTGCGCAGTCCAGGCCATGGATCTCATTCCGGTCCGCCATCCGAGTCTGCAGCCAGATCTCATGCTTTGATCATCAACATTCATTCTCTTGAGCTAAACAGGCTGCCTGTCACGAATGTCCTTTGTCAGTAGCAATATGGTTGTCACTACTCCTTTAAGATCATCGTTGCCAGAGAGCGAGCCGGCAGGTTGCCGTCAAATGTGTCGTGCCATCTGAATCGAGCTGTCCTGGGCGACCGCAGCCTACTCGTTCACCCTCTGCAGTTGGAGTACGCCTGGGCCAACTGTCGCGTGGACCTCGGCGCCAGCTGCAGCACTTTCATCGTGGTATCTCCTTTTGCATTTGTTCAAGTACAGCTGGAGACAATACAGGTAGTGCAATCACACACAAATACTATGTACAACTCACTGTTATTGGCCCAAGCTCAAGCTCTAGAGAAAGGTATTCTCCGCGCATATGGCCTTCTTCTGCGGCCGTGAACCACACACCCGCCCAAGCCTGAGTGGACGGGTCCTTTGAGCGCCTCTTTAGCGCCTCAGCGTCTCTCAGGTCAGCAAAAAGATTGCAATCCACAATATCAACGCAGTCCTTTATATATCCATCGCATCAACTCGTTGTGAATCGCCACATGGACTGTTGTGTAAGTTCTATCCACCTACAGACACCTCCCAAATCGCTTTGTTTCCCGCCCTACAATGCAAGCATTGCAGCACTTATCAGCTGATCATGATGCAGCTGAGTGTCATGTGAACAGAGCAGTAGCCAGGTGGCGTGTTCGCGACCACATTCAAGCCAACAGTGACCGATGTGCAAGTGAAAAAGCAACGTAGTCTTCTACACCTCAATCTTCCTCATTGGAAGTCGCAAATCTAAGTTCGTGCTTAACAATAAGACGCACAATGCCTGGCGATTTGCCCTGATTGTGGCCTGTTTATTGACTCTCAAAACGTTCGACATCGTTTGGCTCGGTTGTCTCTGAGTCGGCAGCTGGCGTGCCCCCTGAACTCCCAGCAGAGCTCGAGATTCACCATGTGTGATGCAACTGAACATCGGGCCGCTATTACAAGTGCCACCTGAAGTATCACTTGACTTATTCTCGCGTCAAGGGGCTTTTAGCACGAGAATGCGGTTGTCAAGTTGCATTAAAGGCCACGCGCGCCAAGAACATCCAGTACTACGCCCTTTTCTCAAAGTTGCTTCCGCTGCGTCTGGTCTTGTGCTGTAAGTCAAATGAATGCTGTGGTTCGGCGGATGCGGCCGCAGAACGTCTTCTTGGTGTATATACCCCCCATGATTGACTACATCCTTCCAGCAGTTTTGCAACATTACTTCTGGAATGATATTGGAGTGGCTTTCAATAGTGCATGGGACGAATGGATCTATCCCCGCCATTGCGAGATGCCAATCTATCACATGAATACAATCGCTTGGTCTGAGGTTGCCGGCTCATCAAGCTGCGTCTCATCGTGTTTGTCTCGTCTTCATGAACACTTTGAAGGAATGGCCTCTTCACCCGAGCTTTGTCAAGTACTCAATACGGAATCGGAATTCGACTGGTTGTACACAAACTTGTCATCTGCGCAAATGCCAGCCTTTCACTTCGGTGGATTGGATTCGAAACAGCTTTGTATCTGTAAGATGAATCTGATCATGCATCGCCAACGAATGGTTTCAGTTGTGCCCGAGCAGTGCACTGTAGAAGCTGTCGCAAAGCGACTCTCGTTCTGGGGGTGGATGGTGCAATCTGTTACGTCACAGGAGCAAGTCGATTGTGCTCGGACAACAAGTATGACACCAGAACAGCTGTCAAGCTTCTATGTGGGGATGAAGTATAACATCAGCAAGCAAGGAGAAGTGGCCAGGTGGCCTTATGGTCCTCCGCGACCACTAAAGCCGACATAGCTTCAGATATCCGTCTATTACAGTCATCTACAGCTCCAGAGCTTTCATAGGCTGTAGTTTATCGAGACTGTCTAGTCCTGTATAGCTACAGTAGATGTCCGGCCGTGGTGTCATCTGAATCGACCGGCGATTGCTTAGGCGCCTGTGGACATCCACGGCGCCGGCGCCGGCCAAGGACTCGATCATGACGACTCGAGCATCTTCCTGCGGCCTCCGAATGTCTAGCTCTGCGCTCCTTGGTGTTATCCGCGACTGTACTTGAATGATCTCAAAACTACCTAGAAGGCTTCCCATCGCAGCCGCTGTATCTTGATTGCTGCACGAAGACTAAGATCAATTGAGAAGCGGTTCCTTTTTGTGATCAACCAGCGCATCGAGCAGGCCCGCCTGCAGTTGATCCTCCAATAGCACATCAAGTCTATCCCCTGCTCTATGTTTTTCACATTAGGAGTATCTTAGCTGTAGCGTACTGTGAGATTGCCGACTATGAGTGCCACACAGCCATCGGGTCAACGACAGACGAAGCCCGCTTCTTCCGCCACGACAGCATCGTCTTGATGACAGGCATCCAGCAGGCATTTTCGTTGCGCAGTCCAGGCCATGGATCTCATTCCGGTCCGCCATCCGAGTCTGCAGCCAGATCTCATGCTTTGATCATCAACATTCATTCTCTTGAGCTAAACAGGCTGCCTGTCACGAATGTCCTTTGTCAGTAGCAATATGGTTGTCACTACTCATCTGAGATCATCGTTGCCAGCAAGCGAGCCGGCAGTTTGCCATAAAATGTGTTGTGCCATCTGAATTGAGCCGTCCTTGGCGACTGCAGCGGCAGTGCAGCCTACTCGTCCATCCTCTGCAGTTGGAGTACGCCTGGGGCAACTGTCGCGTGGGCCTCGGCGCCAGCTGCAGCACTTTCATCGTGGTATCTCCTTTTGCATTTGTACAAGTACAGCTGGAGATCATACAGGTAGTGCAATCACAACACAAATAGTATGGACAGCTCACTGTTAATGGCTCAAGCTCAAGCTCTAGAGAAAGATGTTCTCAGCGCATATAGACTTCTTCTATGGTCGAAGCTGGAACATGTGTCCTGCTGGAAAAGCAGTGCAAAGGAGAAGATTGCTCGACAAATGCCGCTTTCATGACCAAGCACTACAACCTCACGCTCAGTATAGTAAGATGCTGATTGCATGATGTCTGATTTCATTCATGGAAAGTCCGCATTGCTTCTTCGAGACAATTTGGTGGGATTCAGCTCAAGTTGTACTGCGCTGTGTACGTTGATAAGAATGTTCCTTATGCTTACTTGAGCTTCAGTCACAGGTCTCGTCTCTCTTTTCGCTTTTGACTCTGTCCATCGCGCATTGAATGCTTCCACTGTGGAGCATCGAGCACTTTACAGCAGCGGTCTGTTCCTGAAGCTCAATCGAGAGATTGCGAAAGTACAAGTACAGTCGCGCTATTCGCTATGTAATGGTGCTACCATGGACATTACTCATGACTACGGTTGCTATGGTGATTGCTAGCAACAGAGTCATCGCACCTTCAGCCTCGCGGCATCACTCCCACAGCTGGGACAGTCAGCGAAGCCATCTTCCTTTGTGCTGCGCTGCTTTTCCAAGACGAAGGCGCTAGCTCCACAAATCTTCTGCCTCTATGCTCTACACCAAACTGCAACGCACTGGACAAGCGCAGCACAGATGTATTTGGGCGCAACGCAGCTTGAGGCTTACTCGTGGTGACGTGTCTGATGGCATGGGTCTTTTCTCGCGTGGCAGTTCAGTCTTGAAATGCCGCTGGAGATCACTGCCATTTGCATACTCGGCGAGGCTGGTAGACTCAATCCTCGAGACGCATCATTGCTTGAATCATGAATTGGGCATGCTCTGGAGCACATGCTTTTCAGCGTACCTGAGCGAGGTCCAATGTCGAAGATTCTTGTTGAGGGTAACCGGCAGCTTGGCCGGGCTGTCTGGCGCTGCGTCTCTTGCAAGAGAATATGGTAAAGTCTCCGTCGCTATCTCTAATCCAATTGAACAGCAAGCTCATACTCAGAGGTGGGCTCTGGTCCTGGTCTCTCAACTTTGTCAGAGCCAAACACGGACCATCAAGACAACACAATCATCTACAAAAGCTGCCATTTTCTCTCAGCTCAAGTGCCCGGGTATCAGTAAGATCGCATCCTATTCTATGGCATTTGTCAAGATCTATCGTGTGGCCACCATAGCTGGTTGCGGCACATAGCTGAATCTGTATATAATCAATACAACAACGCCTAGAGTTCCAGTGATATGGCTGGGGACCTCATTTCTCATCATTGAGTGAGACGCCAATGCTTCATTGTAGATATATTTGACTTGAGGGTGACAAGGTGCAAGGAGTGTGCCAAAGTAGGGCCAAACGGCGGATATGCTACTATGTTGGGTCGTGAATATGCATATGACTGGCACTGTCCTCGATGTATTCTCGACAGACAACACATCAGCTTACAATTCGTTCTTTTTGTCAGTACGACTCCATACATGCAGTTTTAGTAGGGTGTACTCCTGACTCACTCATCTCTCCTGTCGATGATTTGTCGATCTCTGACCTTATTGAGTCATGTAGTTTCGCGGCAGCTCGCCTTCGTGTGGCTACTATGAGCTGTGATATGTGCTGCTTCTTCATCGAGATGGGACTTCCTGTTCTAGGAAAAAAGTATGGCTATTCGCGGGTCGGCTAGTCGACCATAGAAAACTTTGCTCCATCTTAGTTGCGAAGTTCCCTTGAGTTTCGCTTGAAAGTGGCCCCTGAAAATCTTCTAGTGGTTTCCACGTGCCACATGGTCGACAGGGGTTCCCTTGTTGTCACTTTGAGAAGTCTCGCTGGCGTAAGGACGTGCTCAAGCAAAACCCAAACTATCAGGTGCTCTTCAAGTGAGCTGAGCTGCGGCTCTATAAGTCAAACTGAACAGTGCTAGACATGCTGCAAAGTGCGATTTCTGGGGCTTTGCTTTTGGCTTCCCTGACATGGCTTGCTTATCTTGAGGTATTGGAATGCGAGCGAGGGACCTTCCGTATGGTCAAAGCAATCACTTTGAGAAACAACGCGACCGATTGTCTATCTATCTGCGAATCAAATGTTCAGCAGCACTTGGATGTCTTGAAACGGCAACTCCCTGATCCGTGCCTAGCTCTGACAAAGCCGCTGCACGGAGACTTTGATTGGCTTTACACCAATAGCACAGCGGAGCAAATGAAACTGGCTGGTGATTCTACAAGCTTCTCGGTGACCGCATGCATGTGTTCAGTCGATTTGACAATCAATCGAAAGTACAGGACGGATCTTTTCTCAAAACGACCAAAGAGAAAAAGCTCACCATTCAACACCCCGACTTCAGTATCTTCGTTAGACTGTACCTTTGCCGCGATGTCGAAACGCCTCGCAATTTTTGGATGGAAGGTTGACCCTGATGAGATCGAATGGCGGTACAGATTCAAGGGTATGATACGCGAAACCTTGAGCTGCAAGACTTGGACAACGTTGGATCGTCCCTCGATCAAAAGTCCGTTCTGGGTCCTCAAATACGACCTCACCAAAACTCAGCTGCAAAAGATTGACGCCTATCTATCAAAGCCAGAGAAGCCTCCCCTTCCATGGCAGTGAGGAAGTGAGTCCTTGAACAGCTTATGGATTGATTGGACTCAGCTGAGTTTGAAGCAATGCATGGGTTAGTGACAGGCTACTGCTTTTCAGTTACTGCAGGCTAGCTCTAGAAAGGTATAACGACCAAAGCGTCAATTATAGATTAAGGCTCTCAACCAGACACGAGTCTTACTGTGATTAGACTTGTGAAAACGCTATAGGCTTCGAAAATGTACAATTTGTGACTATTATATAGAAATTTATCGTGTTATTGTACCAAGATGCAGGGGTCCCTTTTTCTGAGAAATTTGATGACCTTTGGGAAGTACAACTACAAGTGCAGTCACATGTGCAAAGATCACATTGTTCGCCACGTTGTCGCACTTTGCAGCTGCACTTGATTTCCAACCGCTAAGATCTGCATTATCATCTTCCGTTCTAGCAGGGTATAAAGGGCTGCTCGCCCCCCAGCAGCAGCGCAAAGGTTTCAGAGGCTATTCCGAATCGCATCTTCACTACCCGCGAGGAGGATCAAGTCAAGCACCGTACGGCACAAATGAACCGAGTTCAACAAATCGCCAAGGCGGCTTCTATCATTGCCGTCCATGTAGGCTGCTGGTCAATGTTGATGCAAGCCATATTCCAATTCTGCTATGATTGTGAGCTGGCGACATTTCATTTGACGAAATTGACGTACCCATTACGACCAGAGGAAACATGTGCAACATTGTGCAATGGTGAAGTCCAGAAACACTACACTATGCTTCGTGAGGGTGGACCAGATCGATGCCAGGCTCGTCAACGCAACGCGGAATTTGATTGGCTCTACTCAAATGTCACAAGTTCCAATATGGAAAGCGATACAAAAGCGAAAGCCTTTCCTGTTTTTCTATCGATCACACTTTGCAACTGTCAAGTCGAGCTTACTGTCAACAGGAAGTTTAAGAGTTCCCACTTGCCTACCTGCAGCTTCGATGGTATGTCAAAGCGTCTCGAGATTGGCGGCTGGAAGGTATCGTTGCGTGGAATCAAGGTGCATGAGAGGTACTTCGGAATGAAGAAAGCATTCGATTGCGGGACTCCAACGCCCCTCGCTGAGATGAAGACGAAAGGAAAGGTGTGGATAGTGAACTACAGGTTCTTGAAGGCATACGCCGCATATCTCAAGGCCGTCGAATCAGCTGTTGCCAATGGCTCTATTCCCCTCGGAGAGCTTTGATGTATATAGAAGCAAGTAATTTGCACTTAGTCTCACCATATCTCTTCAGCTGCAACTTGGCTTTTGATTGCAATTTGCTTATTCATCTTAGCATGAGCTGCAGTGAATTCATCCGCACCAACAGCATGCGTTCTAGCTTGAGCTACAACCAAATTTTTGAAACTTTGGGACTTGATTCATTAAGCCTGCTAGATGGCCACGTCTTAAGCTTACTGAGCTGCAGCTGTTGTAATATCTGTAAGAAGCCTTGAGTGTTTCACAATACTGTGTATGACATATAACCATATGCATACATTTAGCGAGATTCATCCCACAGCATACCAGGCCACATTGCCCCAGTAGGCCCTCAAAGCAGCTGCTATGGCTATATTCCTGTCTGTATATAAAGAAGACTCTGTACGGTGGGTTTTTGACGAATCTGATTGGCACCAATGCCGCACCATAGATCAACTCCTGATGGAGACAGGATTTGATAGGAGTATAGGAGTATAGGAGTGTTTTGAATCATGTGAAGTGGTGAATGACTAAACGGCCAGGAGCAAAAGTATGCAGTCCGGATTTCTATTTGCTGGCCCCCTGATTGCGCGCGCCATATCGCCAGCAACACATGCAGTGAACAAAAACCTCTGGAGCCTTGGCAAGATGTGCTTCGACTTCAGCAAAGTGAGTGAGTGATCGCGACAGTTCAACAATCAGTATGGCCGACTTGGGCGTACCTATTGAGCGAGGGCTTGCTTTTGTATTCTACGGCCTGCTTGGTTGTGCTGTCCTGCCCTACGCTACTCGTTTCTTGTCTCAAGGGAAACACGAATGCGAGCGAGTTACGATCAATCTAATCAGACCATTTGTGCACATCAATCACAGCTTACCTTGTATGGAAGTGTGTGAGGAGAAGGCAGATCAGCACAGTTTGCTACTGGATACAGGTCCGCCTGATGTCTGCATGGTTCTGCAATGGAAGTCTGAGTTTGATTGGCTCTACACCAACTTGAGGGTGGAAGAATCGAAGGTGGATGGACTGGGTGCAGAAGGCTCTGCTTTGTTTTGCGTTTGTCATGTTGATTTGACGGCCAACCGAGTGTTTCGAACGGATCCAATAACGAAGAAACCAAGCGAGAAGCGCTTGAGAAGATCACTTGTCGATTGCAGCATCAAAGGTCTGGTCAAGCGGTTGTCTTTAGCGGGATGGCAGGCTCCATACGGCAATCATACTGTCAAATTCAAAGATTCAGAAATTGCAGACTGCAGAACTTGGACGTCGGTAAGCCAGGTGACCAAGACCAATCGCAACGAGGCCTTTTTTATGAAGGTGAAATATGACCAGAAAACCAGACCGAGCACGACCTTGGAAGAATGGAGTGAGTGGCTGAAAACAGAGTACCTATTCTGGGCGAGGGCTGAATGGTGGCTGGATGAACGTGAGTGAGTTATGTCAACGCAGACGACAGATGGTCACTGAGTAAATTTCATAGCGTTAGCAAAAGTATTCGATAACATAGGCACTGTGTTGTATGAAATGCTCGTCGGCGTTTAAATATGATCATGTGACAATGTCCTACTTCAAACGCTTCTGACCTTCAAAGCTGGTCAAATGGGACCTGGGTCAAAAGCCATACCATACCAGCTGTAGGCAGAACAGCATGCTGTTCTGTGAGCAAGGCCGAGAATGTCGGCTTGGCTTGGAAGTGCATTGGACGGACGACTCAAAATTGTTGCTGAAGCACTAGACCGGATTTGTGTGCACAGTCGGCTCAATAGTGGTAGACTACGCTTCCACCTGCACGAAGGCCAAATTGTGATTCGTTATACTCAGAGAATTGACGTCGAAGCACCGCGTCCAGTGCATGTTGGTAACATTGCGTGCTTGCAGTCTTGCTAGACTGAGAGCACACAGCAAAAGAAGATCAGGATAAGTTCGAAATCGTGACAAGCGTGACTGACGCCATTGCCAGGGGAGGGAAGACGTGCGTTGCATTGAATTGAGACTTGTGACTACCGTCGGTATTGACGCAAAGGCACGACTGATCGAGATATTGATTGACCGCAAAGAATGCAAAAGGTAGCAGCAAGCTGGGAAAGTGACTGAACAGATCGCGTGTTGATGCAGCCGAGGACTTATGCAAAAGGGCTGAAGATGCGGAAGGACAGCAGCGTCGCAACCTGAAGATGTGTGAGTATCATCAAGGATCCAAGCTTGGTTTCGAGGTCAGCAAATGCTGGAATAGGACCAAGATATCGATAGCTGAGTGCAGACCAGGCCTACAGCTAACGAGTATGTCAAGGCGTAGGACGTCGCTACTGAAGCTGAAGCTGAAGGCATGGTTGATGGGTGCTAGTGCAAGCCGACAAGCAGAGTCGCTTTTAGACAGCTCTTGGGTATGCTCTCCAGCTGCATACAAAGCCAGAGTTGGGCGCATTCGAAGATACCAGACAAGCTAAGGATTCGTCAGATCTGGTTGGACTTTGTGGCTGTAGCCGTACCCCATAGGCCTATGCAGCACCCAATGCAAGCACACGCATAGTCCGAAACGCGATTGTCGATTGCAGGACTCATCATCTGCAACTGGCTCAGCTGTAGTCTGCAAACAGAGATTGATAGCTATAGGGCTGGTTCGTGATTGTCGCGGTTGGCGTGTTGTGTGCAAGCAAAGACATGGGCCAGGTTGGGCGCGACAAGGAGGCACCATGGCCAGCGCTGCTGTAGGTCATGAAGAGCTCGAGTTCTTCACACTGCATTTTATGCACTCCATACTAGATCGCTACTACATGGGTCAAGTGTACAGCTGCGCGTCTTTCTCATCAGGCGATACCGCGGTCAAGAGCAGCTGAGCTGACTTCACCGACGCCGATCGCACATTGTACTCATGGCAGACGACTTCCGCATGCTTGGCGCTTGCAACGCGTATCTACGCCTCTCGACTGACTACGATCGTATCAATTAAGCAAGCAAGAACGCCCATCTCTCAAGTGTTCTGTGCCAGCTAAGCGCGTAGCTTTGCGCAGATGCCTGATCTGCTACAGTGTCTATAGCTATCCGGGGCAGCGGAAAGTGTTAGGAATTCAAGTGCATCCCCTGATCACTTGCTTCCGCTGTTATCTCTCTGCCACGTCAGCGCTCATGCACGTGACCTTTAGTTTAGTCTTAGCTGGCAAGAGTGCTATACTCTTGTCCCCCATTCGAATCAAGTCTTATCTGCAGCTGCCCTGCGTGCCTGTGTCTATCACCTACGACTACAGCCTCGCATATCCGCCAATCTCGATTAGAAAGACTAAGTCGTTGCATGCTAGACTATGGCATCTTGATGCTCGCGTCCTCTTCCCTGGACTTCATCATGTCGCTTTCAGGCTAAGCATACAGCCACACTTCCGTATACTCACACTCTCTTTGCCAGTCTTGGGCCGAACCACACGTGCAGGGATCCCTGACGCGCTCTACACAGGTATCAGGGGAACAAGGAAGCGGCACAAGCTCCCGGAGACCCTTGTTGCTAAGGAGCTAGCGAGTCATCAAGGTAATCGGTCTGGTCTCTTCACTCTGCATCCACACTTGCAGCTTCTGTATGCATCCATCTTTTCACATGCGACTGCTTCGCTCAAGCTTTCCTCGCTATACCTGGCCGTGTAGTTGCCGACTAGGTGTAAACTTCTTGGGCTTCTGCATCAGTCTGCCAACAAAAATTACCCCTGTAGGCACACCATCCGAGGTAGTGATCCGCAGCATGTTCCATCAGCTGCAGTCTGCAGAGTTATTTTGAGCGAGAACACTTCAACCACGCGCACAGATGTGACCATATCGGAGGGTCTCGTCGCGCAGCTCACGCTTGCTCAATTCTTGTCACGGACTGACTGATCAAAGTCCTATTCTGGTTTCAGATGTCTTTTCAGATGTCTCACCACCTGAAACCCCTGGTTACATCTCGCGGCTATCCTTCTGTGCACAACCACAGCGACCGATCTAGACCTCGCCATCTAGCTCATGGAGCAACCCGTTCAGCATCCTCAACAAGTTGCTTGCTTTCTTCTGGCTCAAGTCTCTTATTCTCGCCTGACCAATCTGAGACATCTCTTGTCTCTTCGCGCGTCTGGCTAGACGTCGCCCACAGTCTTTGGGACTTTGGCCCTGTTTCTTGTCTTACTCTTTTATGGGTTCTACCTCTTGTCTTTCTTGCTTCTAGCTCTAGTCTGATGAAGATAAAAGGACAGCCTTCTGCTGCCGTGTTCTTCATTCACCAACTTCGTACACAGGTAGAATTGCTACTACCTAACAGTCTTGTTGTCTAGTGTCTCCGAAGTAGACTCGACCAGCTCTGCCTCGTACCTCGTGCTGACGTCTCAGCTTCCAACGTACCTCCGTCAATCCCCTTCGAGCCCAGTCGTTACAATTCTGAAGTCACTTGCAATGTCCCGAACACCAATCAGATGCACCGCAATAGACACGAAACAGGCTCTAATCGGGATTGACGTAGTGCTAGTGATGACGTGCCTGTGAAGGCGTCTGAATCAAGCAACCGAGATAGTGCAAATAGGATTGTTACGGATAAGGATCAGAGTAGAGGCTCATGCTCCCTATAAGGTAGAATAAGGGATGCCTATCACGTGAAAGCACGCGATGTGCGGCAGAGAGATGCACTAGCAGTCACACCCACGCGAGTGGATACTAGACTGCTCAACAGGCTCAATTGAAGACAGCTAAAGTTGAGCACATCAGAGAGACAGCGAGCCTGGACTATCATGCAGCCACATGCATGATGCAGCAAAATTTGTGATCACAAACAACACTGAGACGATGTGACGATGTGACCCTGAATTCAGTTCGCAACAAAAAGTCAAATTCCTAAGAGGACGAGTTTCTGTGTGCCTGTAGGCTGTGGATACTGCAAGCCGAGCTGAAATGGCCGTCCTGGACGTTCTGATCCTGTCTCTACAGCAATCAATTCGCTAGGCACACAGAAAGAATCTTCTGCTTCGTATCTTGCTTGCCCCTGAATATGATCAGCAAACATGACATGGTGATGTGATATCGGGTAGTTCGCGGATCAGGTGGCCAATGCGCAAATCCGCAGCTAAGGACCCTTCAACCATTCGCAAGCCCCTGAAGCCTGCAGCTCTTGACTGCCTTAAGATACCAGCACGCACCCTCATCGAATTTCAGCTTGAGGACATTACCTATCACTCCAGCACAGGTCTGCTCTCATCTTTGGCGGCCTGCATTTTGTCAGCTTGGCCGCGGAGCTACGCCTACTCCAACGCAAGAACACGCCGTTACTATCCGTGTTGATACGACTCTCAGCTTCCTCATGGCAATTCGTGTCATGGTCAGCCTGCGATTGGTCGTTCTGGTGATGGTTGTCGGTCTTATTACTGAAGTGCTTCCTATGAATTTCCTCAAAGGCAAAGGCAAAAAAAGCGGCTCGGATTTCAAGCCTATCAAGAATAAAGGCAAACAGAAGGCAACTGCATCTGATTCGTACTTTCGACCATTCGAAATTATCTTTCAACGAATGATTCCAACATCTACTGCATTTGACAAGAAAGGTGAAATGTATTTCTTGAGCTGCTACGATACTTGCGAGCTTGAAGCTCGCCGCGTACTGAAATGGATGGTCAAGGATACAGTGCAATCCATGTATAATGGTGATATGAGTATGCATTGGAATACATATGCAGAACAGGACCGTGGTCAGTTCAACCGCGTTCCTTCGCCTTACGACTCGTGCAATCTTGGATGGATTCATTTGGGCTGGCGCCTCAAAGCTGAGACCGAGCATGTCGACTTGGACATAGATCCCGCCACAAATCAGTACAAAATCAAATCGACAGCTTCCTCGAGCTCGAGCTCTACAAAGTCTATTCGACCGTGCGGCGACCAGGGTATGTTGAGCGCAGCATATCGGTCGCTTCAAAGAACTCTCGCAGAATGGTTAGGTCAGATTGCTGCAACGATTGAACCTTCTACGCGTGGCTCGATGGGTCCTATTAAAATCGTGCCCCTCCACGATTATGTCATGGAACTGAAGGCATGGTTCGATGGAAGGATAGCTTGCGGCGTAAACGCTCCCACCGACACAGATGACGAAGCAGGTCCCAGGGTTTGTCATTGCAACATTGGATTCGGTGTCGAGATGCTCTTAGCAACCGAGTCCGATGAGGACGCGCATCTCTATGGTGACTTCGATACCACCCGTTTGAGTTGGTGCTTTCCCCCAAAGTATGCCTCAACGTTGAGCATTCTTGGCTGGTTTCCTGATGATTTGAAGTTTTGGGGAGTGGGGCCCGTGAACACTTGGCTCCTCGACGTCAATGGCTTAGCTTGGCAAGTGGGCACCAAGCAGGATTATGACCCGAGTTTGATCTCTGAATTGGACACAGTCTTGGATGGTGCGTTTCCGTTGATACGAGGCTTCAAATTCAACGGTCTCTATTCATACAGGCTCCGCAAGAAGCCGACCGGGCCAATTCTAGACCCGAATTTTTACGAAACGCAGAACAATTTACACCTGACCCAAGTTTATTGGTACAAAGGACAAGGCTCTAAGCGTATGCCTCCCGGATATATCTCTGGGCTGACCCCTTTCGACCGAAGCTTCCCGCAGCCATTTGTCTGACTTTCTTGTGAGTCACCCTCTACTGCACTTGACCTAGTTTAATCTATTAGCAGCTAGACGATCTTAACCTTTCTTCTCACTTCCTCGACCTGAATCGCTAGATGATTGAGAGCTATATACACTGCTGTGAGACCGCTAAAGCTGAACTGAAGTCCAAAGTGTCGTGGCATCTGAAGGGCAACACCGCAACGCACCCATTAAAGAGTCAACAGAGTGCTCATCCTGCGACATCAAAGAGTACAGCGCCCTATCCTGCGCTTGCTTGCAGTACGGTTGCCGCAATGCCGTACAGGATCGAGTATGCGAAATCAGGGCGCGCCGTGTGCCAGAATGGGGAATGCAAGAAGCGCGCTTTGAAAATCCCAAAGGGTGCCATGCGTCTTGGTGTGTGGGTGGATGTTCAAGGGCATGGATCGTACAAGTGGCGTCACTATGGATGCATCACTGACCGTGTCATGAACAACATGCATTCGGAGTTTGGATCGGATGCATTTGGGTTGTTGGATGGTATGCCGGACTTGCAGAAAGAGTATGTGTCTATGATGAAACTGAGTATTGGCTGACATGACCAGAGACCAAGATAAAGTGGCTCATGCCATTGAGATTGGCGCAATTGAGCCTGGAGACTACACCACTTGGGAGCCGATCGTGTGCGATGACGGCTGGGTGGAGGAGCCGAAGGACCAGAATCGACCGGCTGGTTCGCCTGCCAAGTCGCCTACAAAGAAGAGGAAGGCTGCGATGGAGGATGATACGGAGGAGGACATCATGCCGCTCTTGAACAGCGATGAAGAGCCGACCAAGCCCAAGAAGCCCAAGAGGGCCAAGAAGGCCACAGCCCCCAAGAAGAAGATCAAGAAGCAGCTGGCTGCGGAGGCGAAGCAGGCAGAAGTTGCGGACCCTGCATTGGCTGACGAGGATGAATTGGCCTCGTCGACACCCAAATCCATTGCCAAAGATGAGCCCAAGGATGAGCCCATTGAAGTCAAACTTGCATCGGATGAGGAAGAAAAGCCAGCGGTCGTGACGCATACGAAGACCAAGAAGACCAAAAAGGCGCCTGCCAAGCCTCGCAAACAGGCCACCAAGAAGAGATCCTTGGACTCTGCTGCTGCATCTGGTAAACAGGCTGCAGTTGGAACGCGACGTGCTCCTAAGCGTGGCGCCCAGAAGCAGGCAGTACAAGAGACTGCCTCTGATGATGGTGAACATTGAGTCTGAATTGCGTATGACATTTTGTGTATTGCTAGTGATGAAGACATGTATAGCTAGATTATGACAAGACTATTTTTGTGACTTGACCTGAGCTGCCTTGACTGAAAGAGAGCACGGGGGTGGCAAGATCCAAGACTACTTCTGCTTCGCTCATTGTTTCTATGCTGCTCTCAATCCTCAAGACTGGACTCGCGCATCGTGCAGCAGACCATCTGTGCTGCTACTCTACTAAGAAAGCTTCTCCTATTGCGCAGTCTGTGCAAAATATAACACGAACGGCAGCTGCTTTTACAGGCAAAGAGACAGATTTGACAGGCAGCGTTGCTTCTACTGAGCCGCCTGGCTGTAAGCAAGCTACAGTAGAGCCAAAGGAATCTATCCTTGAGCGCGATGCGAGGCTCATGGCCCAATTCAAGGAGAAGCTCGGAGGTGATGCGACGGCACAATTTGAGAATGGACAAGCAACAGAGATGAAGCGTTCGGTGAGGAAGAATATGTTTCGTTGTAAGCTACGATCAAGGGATGTGATAGATATGGCTGACGGTAGATATTTGAAGCAGCAGGTGACAGTGGACGAAGTGTAATGCATATGCAGCTGGTAGTAGCAAGAATCACAGTGTAAACCGGCAATCAGTACTCAAGCTGGAATATGGTCCAGATGTCTGCACTACGACCTCCGTCTCCTCGAGCATGGTCAGTGTTGCAATCGGCAGTAGCTCTTCCAGTGCACAGGCCCAGGTCCGCAGTTGAGACTAGCGAGTCGCGACTCAGTAGCGAGCCAGCGTACCGGCCCTGTGATCCTCATATGCATAAGCCCGCACATATGCAAGCTGCCAGCCTGCCACTGTTGGACAGCTGCAGGCACATCACACTCATGGTTGTCTATACAGCTGAGAGATTGGCGAGCCTCTCGGACCAGCGACGGTCTCTGCTGCAGTGCCATCTATCGGATTGTGGTCCATGCATATATGAGGGCTTGCTGCCAACTTGCTGGGCTGTGCTGCGGCTCATGCTGATCTGCAAATGACGATGACGGCTGCCCAGCAAAATGGAAAATGCTGCCTGCTGCTGCCTGCTGCTGCTCTCTGGAACTTGCCGACGAGGGAAATCTTAATCAGATCAGATTAAGCAGCAGCAGCAGCGAACAGATGGAACAGGGCACAGACACCGACATAAGAGAGAAAAAGAAATATACAAGGCAAGACATGGCCCAGCATCTTCACCAGCTGCTACATCCATCGAAGCTATCCAGGACTAGTCCTCCATGAGCCAGCCCACTGCATTTAACGCCGACTCGGCCAGCAGGGACACACAACGCCTAGCGAGTCCTAGGGAAAGTGTCTACTCCCTCGATCGGATCCTCAGTGCACCAACTTCTCCTGTCACGACCCCACCTCTTGTTTCTCCAAGAGCAATACGCCCGCAAGCATCCAGAGCACGGTCACCGCAGCAGACCGGCCGTCATGCAAGACACGCATCCGATGTCCAGTCCATCTCTTCACGCATGTCTTCGCCGCAACCTAGCAGACACCGATCACCTGCCCCACGCGACTTTACAAGGCCTCTTTCTCCGGGCCTCGACTGGTTCCAAGAAGCTGACTGGGTTCATTCCTCAGACCAGAAGCATGGCCCTCACACAGCACACCAGCAGCAGCAACATCCATACAGTGCTGCTATGCGCAACTTGGAACACCCTATGGTCAATCCAACCCGTACCGGTTTCGCTGAAACGGGCACTGCAGAACAAGACATCACTGTGCAGATGCCTGAAACAATTGCTGAGCCGGACATTGCAACATCGACATCGAAAAAGGGGTTGGTCAGGAGTTACGTCAGGTTGTACAAAGGGACGCCATGGTATACTATGACACTTGCCGTCTTGGCAGCCATTGCAGCAGGTGTACCACTGCCCGTCATGTCGTACATTACAGGTACATCCCTACTTGTATAGCTTCTGCTAATACTCAGGTGACATTATTGACTCGTTTGGGAGCAACTACGACAATATCAAGAATAGGATCTGGGTGCTCATCCTCATTGCCATCTCCTTCTTTGCAGTGTCGTGGACATACATGTCACTCTTCAGCCAGATTGGTATGAAGAATGGTGTGCGTCTTCGCGAAGCCTACGTCAAGGCACTGCTTTACGCGGATGTGTCCAATGTTGAAGGCAGAGGCGCAGAAATCGCATCAAAACTCGGCTCATCCATACATCTCGTTCAATCTGGAACAGGCGATAAAGCTGGCTTGCTCATTCAAAGTCTGTCGTACTTTCTATCGGCATTCATCGTTGGGTTTATTCGCAATCCTATGTTGACTGCTATCCTGATCCCTGCAGTACCAATCTTCCTCATCATCGTCACAGTGGGCAGTCGTCTCACTGCACGCTACAATCAACGCATCGACGAAAAGAACCTCGAGTCAACCACTTTTGCACAAGAATGCTTCAAAAATATCCGACTCCTCAAGACCTTGAATGCCCAGACCGTCTTGTCCAAAAGATTTGCAGATATCACCACCAGCTCACAACGGGATACCATCAAGCGTGCGGCTGTCGGTGCGCTCACCACGGGTTGCATCTATTTTGTCATTTTCATGACGAATGGTCTGGCTTTTTGGCAAGGTGCACGTCTGATTGTCTCTCAGGATCAAGCTGGTGCCGGTGATACCTATGTCGTTGTCTCCCTCGTTATTGATTCATCCTTTGTGGTGGGTATGATTAGTCCCTTTCTGCAAATCTTTGGTACTGCAGCGAGTGCAGGAGAAGAGATTCGTCATGAAGCCGAACAAGTCCAACCCATCAATGTCGCGAGTGCCGATGGGATTCATGTTTCTCCTGATTGTGATGCACACATACAGCTTCAAAAAGTCGACTTTGCCTACCCGAGTGCACCGCAGACAAAAGTACTTCGCGACTTTACCTTCACCATCCCAGCTGGCAAGTTTGTTGGCATTGTTGGTCCGAGTGGCTCCTCGAAAAGTACCCTCGTCAACCTCATTCAGCGATTCTACGACAAGACCAGTGGGAGTATCTTGATTGATGGGGTTGAATTGACAGACCTCAATCTTGCATCGCTACGCAAGCAAATGTTACTTGTGAGTCAAGAGCCAGTCTTGTTCTCCGGTAGTATTCATGACAATATCGCTTCAGGTCTTCTCAAATACGGGCCTCTACCAGCTCCTGACACCCTTAGAAGACTGATCCAGCGAGCAGCAGAAGATGCATATGCAGCAACATTCATCGAGATGCTCGAGGAAGGTTACAACACTCAAGTCGGTGCAAATGGCGGTGCGAAGTTGTCTGTGGGTCAACGTCAACGTATTGCCCTCGCTCGCGCACTCATCTCGAATCCACGCATCTTGCTATTGGACGAAGCAACCTCAGCAGTGGATGCGCTCAGTGAGCGGTATATCGCAGAAGCACTGCGTCGACCCAACGAAGGTGGCAAGCCGCGCACGACTGTTTGTGTGGCACATCGTTTGTCCACCATTCGCGAGGCTGACTTGATCTTGGTCATGGCAGACGGGCAAGTGGTTGAGTCAGGTACACATTCTGATTTGCTTGCTCGAGATGGTAGATATGCCGACATGGTGGCACTTCAATCCATCTTGCCCGTTGAAAAGGAAGACGTTGCAAGCGAATCAGACTTGGAAATTAGTACGCCTGATTCACTCGCAAAGGAACCCTTACTCATGGATGATGTGCCTATTATTGATGATGATAATGCTGCGGAGGAACCCACGAGAAGCTTGCTGAGAGATATCTATACGCACGCTCGACCAGAACAGCGCTGGATCGTACTCGGTCTATGTGGCAGCTTCTTTGCAGGCAGCATCACCGCAGCAGATGCCTTGCTCTTTGGTCATCTCATCAGTGCGCTCAATGCCGTCAATGATCCAGACTTTCTTCGTTCACGCGCAAGCTTCCTCGCCGGCTTCTTTGTCCTCATTGCAGGCGTCGCCTTGCTTGCCTACTTCTTTATGGGTTTCAGTTTTGGCGTCTCGAGTGTGCGTTTGACGCAACGTGTCAAGAATCGAGTCTTTGCTCAGCTCTTAGAGACGCCCATTGAGTACTATGATGATGAAGATAATTCGGCTGACCGCATCGCCTCGAGAATCGATACAGATACGGCGTCCCTGGGTGGTCTGTCCGGTCAATTCATCGGAACAGCCTTTTCTGTCACCACATCCATCCTATCTGGTGTCATTCTCGCCCATGCTGTTGCGTGGAAGATTGCGCTGGTACTCTTTCCAGCAGTGCCGCTCATCATCCTTGCAGGGTATGCGCGTCTCAAGGTCATCTCACACAACCAGCACCGTAACGAGACTGCCTTTGAGGATTCAGCAGCACTTGCCTCTGAGGCTGTCAATAACATCAAAACAATCGCTTCGTTGTCCCTTGAGGCGGACTTGTATCAGCGATACACGCAGAAGCTAGAAAGCACGTACAAAGACACTTGGCGTTTCATGGCAGCATCTACCGTTCTGTTGGCAATGGCATATACGCTCCCGTTCATCATTTATGCTTTTGCCTACTGGTGGGGAAGCTACTTGATTGATCGCAATGAGTACTCTACCACGCAGTACTTCATCGTCCTGCCAGCTCTCTTATTTTCAGCACAGACCAGCGGTCAGATGTTCAGCATGGCGCCAGACTTTTCGCGTGCCAAGATGGCAGCAAAGCAAATCTTTGCCAGCTTCAACAAGCGGGTAGAATCAGGCGGTCAATGCCAACAACTACCGGCACCATGCGGCCGGATTGAATTTTGTGGTGTGACTTTCCGGTATCCATCTCGAAACGAGTATGTTGTTCATGACTTGTCGTTTGTCATTGAAGCTGGAAGGCGTGTTGCCTTTGTTGGACGGTCTGGGTGTGGCAAGACGACTTTATTTTCACTGCTTGCTCGATTCTACACACCGGTTGCAGGAACCATCTTGTTGGATGGGTTGGACATTACTGCTTACCCACTAGACGAGCTTCGTCGGAGAATTGGATACTGCCCTCAAGAGCCCAGTGTCTTTTCTGGCTCGGTACGCTTCAACTTGACCCTTGGCACCATTCAAGATCCAACAGAAGAGCAATTGAAGAAAGCATGCCAGGAAGCTCAAATCTGGAGATTCATCGAGACATTGCCACAAGGACTTGATACGACCCTGGGTCTGGGTGGTGTGAGCGTTTCTGGTGGTCAACGCCAACGACTTTCCCTCGCTCGTGCGTTCTTAGCGCGCGAGGCACCTGTGTTACTGTTGGACGAACCAACTGCTGCGCTGGACGCACAGAATGAAAAGCTCGTGGACGCTGCATTGCGACAAGGCACACAAGGTCGTACATGCCTTCAAATTGCTCACCGCCTCGGTGGAATTGTTGATGCAGATGAGATTTTCGTGTTTGATGGCGGTCGTATTGCTGAACGCGGTACGCATGCTGCCTTGCTGAGCAAGGGTGGCCTGTATGCGGACTTGGCGAGTAGCATGATGTAGATAGTCACCGGTTTAGATGGTCACAAGCATAAGCATAATCATGAGACAAGGAAATAGATAGTGCACGTTGGGTTATGTTTAAAGCATCGCTATCGCTGAGGAACACATACAGGATTGGGCCTTCAATATTTACAAGATGTAGCCAAGGATGTCACTGAGACTCAACATTCCTTGCAATTTACCAGACTCTTTCTCCACAACGACGAATCGATGGACGCGTGTCCGCCGGATTGCATCAAAGACACCCTCGAGTGTATCTGAAACTGTACAGGTTGGGACGCCAGCGAAATCATCCCCACGCTTGAGGATTGCTTCACCAACAGTCATTTCGAGGTCGTGGTATGCGCCGTCTTGAATCAGATTGAGGACATCCACCGCTTCAAAGATATTGAGGAGGACTTGATGCGCGTCAACAATGGGAATAGCAGAGACACCAAGCTTGGACATGAGATGAATCACGTCAATACACGGCGATTCCATCGTCGCTGTCGCAATGATGTCGCCATAGGTTCCAAGCGCCATGTCCTTCAGTGGTAATCGCAACTGACTTGTAAAATTGCACTGTCGTTAGTTGTGTAGTTAAATAAGAGGGCATACGTTGATGGCAAGCCATTTGAGAATCCTGTACTGCGTCAAGACACTTATCAGCATTTCCTTGCCAGTCTCCGAGTCGCGATCCACAAGCGGTATCCGCCGCGCTTTTGCCGTATGAATCGCTTTACACGCATCATACAGATTCGTTGAAGGATTGATACTGATTGTCTCTGGTGGTATCGCGCCGACTTTACGTTCCACTTCGCGCAGGCCATCGAGCCTAAATGTATCAATCTCAGCGACCGCGTCTGGGAATGAGTGGTATTGATAGTAGTACTGAATGACATTGATGAAATCAAACGATGTAAGGAGCCCAGCGAAACTCGACCGTTCGCTGTTCCATAAAGGCGCCGAGACAATACCTGTGATTGAGTTAACACCTTGGCGACTGACAAGTACCGGGCTGAGCCTACCATTCTGGAGCAAGATTGAGAGTGATTTCTTGACAAGCAAGGTTGTATCGAGGACAATGAGTCGGAATGAGACTGGCAGTACATCATAGCACGTCCGCTTCTTCATGAAGGACCGAAGCTGCTCGAGCGACTGTTCCTGCGGATGCGCATGGCTATCAGGTGTCTGCAGCGGTGGTGTGCTTGCAATGCGGTCAATGGACATGGCCCTTCTGTAGAATCTCGGTTTCAGACCTTGAGATGAAAGGGCCTTTGTAACTGCTATTCCCTCGAGTACGCCTTGCCTCTGATTATCCTCCCGATGTCCTTCCTTCCAGCTGTTCTTGTAGTTTGAGTCTTGGTCCATGAGCACTGTGAGAGGCGCGCTCCTCAACCGCATCCATATAGACAGTCACAACTGCGCTCAACGCTCTTAGCTTGTGATTCCACTGCTTTTATGCCCTCTGCCTGCCATCTAGTAGGGAGGGCTCTGCTTCGCTTGTCTGGCAGAGATACCTTCAAGTACCTGCAGACGCAAACAACCAATAACCTCAAGTCGCCGCAATCGCAGTATACTTGCTTTTTGAATGCACAGGGACGCGTGCTGCATGATGCATTCATCTACAAGATCGCAGAGGATGCTTGCTACCTAGAAGTAGACGCAGAGCAGGTCGCTGCTGTGAAGGAACATCTCTTGCGGTATAAGCTTCGCTGCAAGTTTGTGCTCGAGGAAGTGGATCCTCTAGCTCTATCAGTCTTTTCTACGGATGCTGCATCGACAATGCCTGCAGAGCTGATTGAGACTAGTCAGGACGACTTGCGTGGACCAGACATGGGTCTGCGTGTCCTTGCAAAACCAGACCTCATCAAATCACATACAAACGATACGCCACTCACTGATTATATCAAGCGTCGCTTCCTCCGTGCTATTCCCGAGGGAGCCCACGAGTTTGGTCTTGATGCATCAGGTTTGCCACTTGAGCGGAATCTTGACTTGATGGGCGGTGTTGACTTTCACAAGGGTTGTTATTTGGGACAGGAATTGACTGTACGAACCTATCATACGGGTGTCATTCGTAAGCGCATTTTGCCTGTACGTCTTGCAGAGTCTGCTGCAGCGTTGCCGGATGCGTTAGAATCCCAAATGGATGCGGGTGATGGCAGTATTGCATACACACAGGGGAAGCAGGATATCAAGCTGGAAGGAACGAATCGACCAGTTGGCAAGCTTATTGGGCGAATGGGTAATCTCGGGCTTGCCTTGTATCGACTTGAGAAGCTCAATGCTGGACCTGGACAAGTCGTTGGGAGTGATCAGCTCGTCAAACCATTCGCACCGGCTCATTGGACAAAGAATGTCATTGGCAATATAGACTGAGAATGAACGAAGCGCATCAACTACTTGTAAGGACAACCACGCATCTTGTCAGCTTGAGCAATAACCTGCTCACGACCCTGATGCATGAATTTTGCAGGTCCAATCTCATCTTGCACCATGAATCCATCTTGCATGTACTTCGCTGCGTCATGCTTGACATTGAACCCCCAGAGTGCAGCAAGCAACGTATTGTAGAGGGATTGTTTTACATAGTGTGGTGAGAATCGCCAATTGTGCTGCTGAAATTTCCCCTTGGGCGTCTTGGCGATGGGAGCGGTGACATGACGAATCGGCATGATCAAGTTGGCAAGAATGAGCGTACGCAACCCAAACACAAGGCTGATGAGGAGATGCACCCAGTACGGTTGTTGTGGATATCCAAAAGCATCACGTAGGCGATCTGCCAAGAGTGCATAGATAATTCGGCGTGCGAATGGATGCAGCAGTCGTGGGACAGGCGCAAGGAACACCTTGATGGTCGATTCAGCGAGTTGCTTGTTTGTGTCTGCATACTTCATCTTCTCACGTTCATACGCTTCAGACCATCCGATGAGTGCCTCCAACGACTCGGGTATGTAGTGAATCTCCATACGCTCTCCGATCGTGCGCCAAAAGACGAAGCTTGCCTGTTGCTCTTCAGGCAGCATTGAGCGCACGGCAAATCGCTTTGACCAAGTCATTGGCTCAATCACAAATAGACTGAGCGTGTATAGCAAGTCATCCTGAGAGATCTTGGACCCATAACGACCATGGATATAGTTTATACGCGCGATCGCCAGCGTTGCTTCTTCCGAATTGAGTTGGAAGTAAGATGCCATGGTCAATAAGACACTTGTATCTTCTGCGCGTTTTGCCGCATCATCAACGAGTTGCGTCGTTGCAGACAGGAGCTTACTGATCGTTGGAATAGCATAGGTCTTGAACAAGGAGAATTCCAGGGCTTTCCAATACACGAAGGGTTCCTCGTAGTGCTGGAAGTGGAGGAGTACTTTTTGTGCCACAGAGGGTGTTTGGAAGTCCTTGCACTGTGCCTGTGTCTCTGCCAGTCGCAGTCGTCGCTGTCGACGCACGAGGTAGATCCAGCATGCCAGCAGCACGAGGAGAGGGAGCATGACACCCATGATCCCCCAGAGTGAGCTGGTTTGTGAGGGTGTCGCCGTGTGTGGGAAAGTCGACAAGGTAGCCATAGCCAGCTGGTCAGTCGCCAGGTAGATTGGCAATGGGCAGAAACTACTCTGATTATGAGGCCTGATATAGAAGCAGCCTTAAGTCTAGCTGATCCTGCTTGGAGAGACGTAGGGTCTCATCTACCTGTAGTCTCTTGAGCGCAACAACTTGATGAGCCTGGTCACAGAGACTCTAATAGCTAGCCAGGTAGCGAGTGATACGGAAGCAGCTCGCAGGTCAAGACGGTCATGGCTGCACGGCATGTCTCTGACTCTATATTCTATACTGCAAGACAGATGCGCCGTCGCATGCTTATATGTGCTATACTTTTCAGGGGAATCATGCAAGGGGTCGAAAGTCTCAACGACGCAGCTTGTAACTGTCTATGGAGTATATCAGTCAGTGTCTCACAGCTTTCTTGCTGACTATCCATGCTCAACTGTGTCCTTCTCCATTCCTGTTTCAACGACATCCATACTGCTTGTCGCTGTGGCGCCCTGTGCTAGCCTTGCCATGCATCAAGCTATTGCTGGTCCAGCTAGCTTAGTCGCCGTAGCCCCGAGAGTAGGCTTTTGTCTGCTTCATATACCTGCAACTTGTATATTTTGGAGCAGATGAAGGTGCACGTTGCCAAATTGAACTGCTCAGAGCTGCAGAAAGTCATGGGAGCTGATGACTCACTGACTCAGTGATGAGAGTCTCAGTTTCGACTCCTGAGGTCCAAAAGCCATGTGATGAGATGTCAAAGGAGGTGAAGAGCAATGCAGATGTCGATGCTCCTCGAAAAAGCGTACTTGCGAGAGACCTTGGTAGACCATCTGACTTGTCTCAGCTGCTCACCAAGCGTCCATAGCCTTTCATCCAATAGCCCCGTCCATCAATCCATCCCGAAGTCAAAAGCGCCATCATCAAAGAACTCAAACATACTCGTATCCACATCAAACCCTTCCAATGCCATGGCAACAGCAGCGTCTTCTTGCTCCTGTTCTGTCTGCGTTGTCGGCAAATTCGTTTGACCACCAGCACCGTCCGTCGACGCTGTTGGACCCGTAGCAGCCCCCAAATCTTGTAGAAAGGTCAGGGCATTCCCAGCAGAAATGGCAGATAAGGCTCCACTTTCCTGGCTCACAACAGTCGGTATGCGCGTATCTAGCGAGAGTGACGCGGGTGTCTCGGCAGCTTGTGCAATAGGCGTCATGCCATATGCATTGTTGTCAGAAGCAACGGGTGTTTCTGATGGTTTTCGACCTTCCAAGTCAATAATGGTCATAGCCTCCGGTTGTGCATAATCAGCTAGACCACCAACGGGTTGATTGTCTGGATCATGCTTGATGGATAACTCGGGTAACCCATCTTGACCAATTGACAATGCAGCAGATTGCGCCTGACGATCTGCTCGTTCCAAGACTTCTCGACAACGCAAGAGGCTTAATTCCAGCTGGTCTAGCGTATCCATGAATTGTGCATGCGCCTTTTTAATACGCTGTTCACCAGATCCACCCTTCTTTTGAGGTTGTACTCTGATAAAGCATCAGCTGTGTGTTTTGACGGAAGAGAGAGTTGGTTACGGCTTTGGCGGCGCATCGTCTTGAGCATGTCGCGCTGTATTGTGTTCGTAGTAGGCATTCCCGATTTCGAGAAAGATTGTATTGAGTGATGACGTGAGTGTCAAGGTTTGGATGGATAGCTGCGACACGGCCGTCATGAAGCCTGTGACTGGTTCGTGCCAGCGCGAGTGGATCAAATTAATTGGGTGTAGCTGATTGAGTATGGACCGAGCTGATGGACGACATGAAATTAGACAGTCACAGAACTATTTGGACAGAGCTGGACTGATATGATCATCCTACATGCTATTGAAGGCTATACCAAGTCACAGGACAATAATCGCTTGCGGTGATAGATCCATCCACCGAGTGCAAACAAACTCGCAAAGAATGCTACCCATAGCAAGACAAAAGCCGTAATGCCAAGCTCGACGGGTGCAGGTGCCAACACACGCTGAAGAGAACCCATACTGATATGCGCAATGAGAACTGTGGCAAACAGCAAGATCGTCAGCGTCAGCGATAAGAAGAATGGAACGCGTGTCCAAAACACACGACCGTAGTGTTTTGTGTGTGTGAGTCGACTGCGTGGTGGAAAACAACAAGCGACTAGAACACTGGTGCTTGAGAGTGTTGCAGCAACGAGCGCTGCAAGGATCGAGAGGGCTTCAAGGAGTGTATTGCCTGCAGAGAGTCTTGTGAGGACATCGTTACCGAATGCTGATGGATTGGCGAGGGTTGCGAGACTGCCGAGTTGGAAGGTATCCATGAGTTGGGTCAATGTTGTGGCTGCCTGCTGCGTATTGCCACAAGCGACAGTACCAATTAGATATCCTGGGTTGCCTGTGACATTGGATCCTGTACAGCCTCCCCAGATGCCTAGCTGTAGGATTGCCGGTGTTACTGCTCCAAAGAGCTGCGGGACTGATCTATCCCTGCGTGTATCAAGACGCAGCAAGAAGATGGTTGTGGATAGGCTTGAGGTGTTGACATTGCCGCAGAGGAAGGGGAGGATGAGGCAGAGTGCGAGGAGTGCAAAGAAGGTGAGTATGAAGGGTAGCTTGATCATGTTGCAGTAGGGTGCATGGAGCTGGAGTGCACATGGAGGGAGTAAGCTGAGTGTGTCTTTATGCGAAACAGAGCACTATGGGAGTATGTGTTTGGAGCGTAGATGACAAGCAAAGATGGTAGTCATGACAGTCATCAGCAGTGTAGATAGTCAGTCAGTAGTCAGTAGATAGTAGTCAGAGTCAGTTAGTAGTCAGAGTCAGTAGCTAGTAGATTGTAGTCAGTCAGCAGTCAGTATTCAGTCGTCGTTGTTATGTCATGTCTCGCTGTCCAAGAGTCGAATCAGAAATCGATCGCAGCAGAAGACAAAGCAGAATACGAGACAGACAGAGCGACGCAGCTGGAGAGGGGCAGACACTCAGACAAGCAGTACGCTGCTCGCTGTCCCCTGTCCACTACTCTCTCCAGTAGCTAAGTCCATAGTCAAGTAACCAGAGTAGCCACACGCAGCAGCACCATGGCAAGCGCACCAGCACCAGCCTACCTCACCGTCAGGCACATCCCACCCTCGCCCAGGTCATCGACCGCTGCTGCTGCTTCACAGGGATACATGCAACAAGCAGCAGCAGACACCATCACGCGTCCTCGCACTGCACCCCGTCTCATCGAGCAGGCACCGCGTTCAGGCGACATCCTCGCACACAAGCAGACACCGCCCTCACAGAGACTCACGGGAGCACCGTCGTATATGACCACCTCCTCGCCCTATACCCATGCAGCTGGAGATGCTGCCGGTAAAGAAGGCAGTGCTGGGACACCTGCGCTTGTACTACCTGTCAATCCGCGTCATGTACGCGGTGGAAGTATCTCGAATGATACACTATCAACGTCTTCCTCCTCAACATCCTCGCACAGCGTCAACTCCGCAAACAGCGTTGCATCCCTGCCTGCACAACTACCAGGATCTCCTCGAGACAAGGAAAAGGGTACCTCATCGTGCCTCGATCAAATGATCCCGTTGCAAGAATGCGCAGACTCCATGCTCGTTCCACTCCTACATCGTCATTTGGAGATGCAATCGCTCATGGCGTGCAACAGCAAGTTATTCGAAGGCATGGCACAGTGTGTCGGCGAACACGCTTGGGAACAATGCCGTCATCTCTGGACACAAGTCACACGGCAAGAGTGTGGAGACATGCAATGGCTGTACAAGACGCGTGACTTGCTACAAAACGGAGGCGGTATGTCTGCCGTTTCAACACCCCAGAATAGCGTCTTTCCAGCATCACCCTCACCTACCAAATCAGCTTCGTTTGGGTCAACGCGTGGCTCGGCGGATTGTGTGGGGAAGCATCATTGGGCTGCTTTTTGCGACGTCGTTGGCTTTGATCCGAATGAAGTCTTGACGGAGGATGCATCTGGCTTGAGTGATACAGCTACGCAAAGTGAAGGCGATGATCTGTCCAGACCAAACTCTTCTGCATCGTACCTCTCGACCTCAACAAGGAATGGCGATGGCAAACCTTCAGCAAGTCACTCGAGGCAACACAGTGATTCTGGACGTCTACGTGTCAGAGAGACGATCCCCGAAGAAGACTAAGCTCTTCCCAACCTTATTCAACCCTTTTTTCATTTTCTCTACGCTGCGATGGCCTCTACGCGATGCATTATTTCAGCTCGTCTTTATGCTCTCATTTATCTTCTCAATGCTGCAGTTCATGTCTATAGACTTAGCCAGCACATAACTGTCTCTCTGTTTCTGCTGGGAATACTTGTGACTGTTGCTTTCCCCGGATGCGGAACTTGCCAAGCCCGACCCAGACCATTCACCTCTTCAAGTCTCTTGCACGGACAGGATTGTACTTATCTAGTAAGCCGTATATACTTGTTAAAGCCGGCTACAAGACCATGCTGCTCCGGTAATATTCCCCTGCGTGACTGTCCCGCGTTTCGGCTTTTCTTGCGTGTTTTGGCTGCAGCATTTCATCATCATCCTTCCGCAGCCAAGGCGACCATTCACCAAAGCATAAGCTTAAGCTGCTTGCTTGTCTTGTTCGTTGTGTTTTAGGCGCGGTCTATCAATAACGTTGCTAGTCCTAGGGTTGTACACATGTCACCACCAAGTCTACGCAGCGGCCGCGGTCTTGCGCTCGATACCCATCAAGAGGCAAGCATCCTTCCTCCCTTCACCACCAAGAAGGCGATTGCCAGTACAGGCGGCGGTACGACCAACATCAGCATTGCCCTTGCTGAACCTGTTTTGTTTCTGACAGGTGGGTTTGATAGCCATGAACGGCATCATGAACGACCGACCATGTTGCGCGGTACACTCATGGTTCAATTTGCAAAACCAACAAAGATCAAAGCCATTAGCTTACAATTCTCCGGCAAGGGAAGGACAGATTGGCCAGAGGGCATTCCACCAAAGAAGCAAGAGTTTTTTGAGGAAAAACAACTCATGCATCATGTTTGGACATTCTTCAATGCACAGTATCCCATTCATGAGCACTCTCATGGTGCAGATCGGTTTGTGAGCGCAGATGCAAGTGTTCCTAGTACAACAGGCAACGGAGCACTCATGACACCTGCCCTCTCCTCCCAACCAACCCAAGACTCAACGCACACGACTAGTTCACCCACGCGTTCAGGCTCCATCAGTGGCATGCTGCCCCTCGGCAATGCAAAATCTTTCAGTAAACACGATGCAGCCACCACACAACTCAAGGGATCGCGTGTGTTTGCCGCTGGTGAGTACTACTATGATTTCGAGTTACCCATCCCGAGCTTTTTACCAGAAACCATCAATTGCGAGATGGGCAAGGTGTGCTATGAGCTCTCAGCAACGGTGGAACGTGCCGGTGCATTTAAAAGTAATCTCGCTGGAAAGATGCCCATTCAACTCATTCGAACACCTGGTGAAGCAAACATGGAATCATCTGAACCTATTGCTATTAGTAGGAATTGGGAGGATCAATTACATTACGATATTGTCATTTCTGGGAAATCTTTCCCGCTTGGACAAAAGATCCCGATTGCCTTCAAACTGACGCCGCTTGCAAAAGTCAGGGTGCATCGCATCAAGGTCTTTGTCACTGAGACCGTTGAGTATTGGTGTAAAAACAAAAAAGTCCACAGACTCGAACCAACACGCAAGATTTTACTAAAGGAAAAGAATGCAGGCTTGGCTGGTGGTGCGAATGAATCGCTTCTTGGCAATATCGATGGTGCAAGTAATGCAGGGGCCACAGAATTTGATATTGAGGTGCCATTGCCTACCTGCCAAGCAATAGGCAAGGACAGAATCCACTTTGATACAACGTTTGCAAATATCAAAGTCCATCACTGGATCAAGGTCGTCTTGCGGTTGTCCAAAGCAGACCCTCAACCCAATGACCCAGCAAAACGACGACACTTTGAAATCTCCATTGATTCACCCATTCATCTACTTTCTTGTCGGTGCGTACACGCCAATACGCAGTTGCCCACATACTCGGATAATATGAACGCCGTCCAGATGCGTCTCCCTTGTCCCTGTGAAATCAGAGCCGGTTCAGGCGAAGCTTCACCCGTCCCAGTCCTCCTCCATCATTCAAGCAGCGCCTCCTCGAATGGCTACCAGGACGGCGATACCGCTGCCCGACCCATGCATTTCCTACGTCAACCTTCAACGCTACCACCACCCTTCAGTGCAGATTCCGCACCACCACCACTCATGACACCACCGCCAAACTATGACTTCACACCCGGTCATCAGCAGCGTGCTATTGATTACTTCACCACGCTGAGTATCGATGGCGCTGATGATCCTCATCGAGATCGCGCAAGTGATGATTCTGAAGTCGGTACACGCACACCTGGTCTGCATCCAGCCATGCGATCCGATGCGTCACCTGTTTCACCAACGCATTCACAACAGCCCAACCACCCATCACCTATCAGGAGGCGTCCACCACAAGGATCACTGACGAGTGCAGGGTTTGGACAGGCAGGTGCTGTGCAAGGCCTGGGATTGATGGTGCCTGCTGATGCAGCAGCATCAACAAGACAACGTCGTGGCAGTGCGATTGAGCTAAGAGGCCATTACGGTGTTCCACAAGCACAAGCAGCACAACCGGGTTCAACGCAATGGGCTGGTTCTGGACGTGATTTCTATGCAACGGGACAATCATGATCAAAATGAAATGCTTTTTCTTTGTAGACTAGACTCTCTTTCTCTTTTCTTTCTCTTGTAGCAACTTTAAGCAAACATGGCGGTAAAGTGTACCTTGAACGCAGCTTGCACATACTGTACGGCACGCAGCACACGCTTCGTGTCAGCCTTGACGGCACCCGTCTGCTTCTTGCGAACAAGATCATCCTCCTCAGACTCAGACTCAGAAGACGCATCTTGTTCCTCCCAACTGGCCAGTGCACCGGCACGTCGAACGGGTTCAGCAGCGCGTGCTTGTTCAGGCACATCATCTTCCTCGTCATCATCATCACCCTCGGCATTACCTCCTTCACCATCTGCAAAGTCATCCACTTCAATGCCAAGCAAACTAGAAAGCCCCTCAACAATACTCACGAGGACAGTGTTGAAATCAGCAAGCTTGAACCAGACGTCTGATTTCTGAATTCCATGGACAGTCGTGATACGTTCCACAGACCCAGTCTGGTAAAATTCATACAAGAATGCATTGAGTGGGACATCGCGTGCAATGAGTGGGTTGGGTGAAAGACCTTCAACAAAGACACCAGCTTTGGAGCTGCCAAAGACATCCATCAATGCAGCTTCTTTCTTGTTCAAGGGACACGCAGCTTGCGATACACCGCCAATGGCTGCGAATACACTTACACTCGATTCATCCTTGCCCTTCTTCAACGCATCGACAGACAAGTTCTTGCCGAATTGCTTACCAGACAATGGCAACTTGCTATCCATGGCAGACACTTCCGGATGTTGCTTGACAAAGGTATCAGCGTGATTCTTGTACAGCCGCAAGCATCGCTGCTCGTATTCAGTCAAACATTTGGCAGCAGTAGCATTCAGCTCCTCAAGAGGAGGGTAGGCAATCATGGCTTGCGCCTTGCTGTGTGTCTTTTGACGTTGCTGGACTTCTGCAGGCCTCATGGGACGCCTGCAAAAGATACTGGCCAGGAGCTGCACCAACTTGCCAGCAACAACATCTTGTTGTTTCGGCTCGTCAAAGTTCTTGCAAAGCGTATGGAAGACACCACCACGCAACAAGACGGCAAAGGCCAGGTTGGCGGGTTCTTCGTAGTACAAGTTGCTGACGGGTGCATACAAGTTGATGGGTTGACCAGAAGCATCCAAGAGACGTTCACGACGGAGATATTCAATGGCGAAGCGAATTTGGTGCTTCACCTGAGCCGCTGTTGTCGATGTACCAGCAACAGCATTGGCGAGATCCTCAGGATTCGAAAACATGCCTTCAATGACTTGCTTTGCGAATGGCGCATTGTTGCTGTTCCTCAAAAGATTAAAGAGTCGCAACAAGACTGTTGTTGTGACTGGGAAGTGTCCGGCGATGTCGGGAATCTTGGAGACGAGGAGACGATCAATCTTGTCCGTCGGCACAGCCAAGAAACCGACATGACCCAGAAGATCGTAACCACGACGACCAGCACGACCGGCTGCTTGACGGTACTCGAGTGCAGACAACTCTTCAGTGTCACCAACAAAGTTGGCCGACACGGCAGGCATGTTAATACCGAGCGCCAGTGTAGCAGTGGAAAAGACAACCTTCAAGAATCCAGATCGGAAAGCCAACTCGACGAGCTGACGGTACCTTCGATTGAGACCGGAATGGTGTACACCCACGCCACGACGCAAGCCTCGCAGCATCCATCCAGGCGTACCAGTGTATTTGCCCAGATTCTCTACCTCTTCAGCCATATCTTGCTCGCCAAAGGTATTCTTCAAGCTCGCAAATGAAAACTTTGGATCCGGTGCAGTTGGGTCAAAGTTTTCTTGCCAACCTGGTTCATCTTCTGGCACATCCTCATCTTCCTCCTTGTCGGTATTCTTCTTGGATCGCTTGAGTGCACGCTCTTTCTCCTTGGCGCGCTTGTCTGCGTCCTTGGTCCATTTTTCATAGTCCTTGAGTTTCGCCTGCCATGCAGCATTGCTATCGCGGTATTGCCGTTCCTTCTCCTCAAGATGCGAAATGAGCGCCTCACCGTACGTCTCCACACCGCGACGCTTAAAATTGAAGAGCAAGCCAGGCAACAGATTTTTGGCCTCAAGGGCCTTGACGAATGAGACGATGGCCTCTGTGGCAAAGTCCTTGGAAGGCTTGCCGGCCTTGATGGCTGCTGCATCTGCTTCGCGCCACTTGACAACAGCCTCATCCACCAATTGTCTCGTACCACCGTCGGTCGCCTTCATCAGATTCATGAAGGGCGTTCCAGGCGATCGCGAGTCTGGCGCAGACAGCCATTCCGTCAAGATTTCCTTGAGCCTATTCTGATACACCACGGTATCGGCCTTGCGAATAAACTTCTTGTCTGCAAAGAAGGTATTCGGGTCAAGCGTCTCTGGGACATCGAATTCAGGCGTCTTGCATGCACGCATGTGTTGATAAAGACTGCATGCATCGCGTGGCTCGAGAGAAAGGTCATCAGGCAGTACACGAGGACCGAAATGCAAAGCAGATGCTGGATGAATGTCTCTGAACTGACCCTTGCCGACGATCTCCTGGCCTTGCACTTCGGGGATGTACACAAATTTGCGCAAGTCACTGTATCGCTGGTTGTGGTAGATGAGCACAACATCCCTGTTTTGTGGCTTTTGACCAGCAGCGAGCCATTGCCTGAAAGGTTCCGGGTTGCCGACTGTGGCAGACAGCGCAATGATGGGTGAAGGAATCATCGTAATGAGCTGCTCATACACAACACCCTCGTCGCCGCTAATGGAGTGAATTTCATCAAAGATGACAGTTTTGATCTTGGAAGACCACCTATTGGCTTGTGCAGGCGACAAGAGCAACTTTTGCAAGACTTGTGGCACAGTCACAAGAATCTGACACTTATCGGGAGAGTGAATCTTATAGTCGCCAGAGTGAATGGCCCACACGGTCTTGCCTCCTTGAACTTTGTAATTTTTCGTATAACGTGCCTCAATCTCGGCGGCCATTTGGTTGACGAGCGGCTTGGAGGGTGCAACAAAAACAACCATATCTTCGTCATTTGCACGCAAGACTTTTTCCATGGCATAAAATGAGATGAATGTCTTTCCTGCTGATGTAGGTGCCACAACAAAGACACTCTGCTGCTTGTCCACAACATCCAAGACGTCACGTTGCCACTTATCAGCCTCGAAGGAGGTACGTGGATCAGGCTTGCTGTCCATGTTACGTTCCATGTACTGTCCGCAGTAGAGCATTTGGAACTCAATGTGGGTGCCGGGCACCAAGTAACTCGATTTGCTCTTTGGCAAGTCGAATTCGAATGAAATCTCTGCTGATTGCGAAGGCTTGTCATCCGTGATGCACTTGGCAAGGCCAATGGTTGTCAGCAGAGCATCCAGAACCTGCTTAATTTGCACAGTCAGGCTTGGTCGCTTGTACATTTGAGCAATTGAGTCAAAGAGCTTGACGGCAGCGGTGATGGATTCGGTATCTGTCTTGGCAACAGCAGCATCTTTGCAGACCTTCTTCCAAATGTCCAGCAGAATCTGGATACGGTACAAGCGCATCTCATTGTCAATATTGATATCGCGCTCGCCCTTGAGGTTGATGTATCGATCAAGTGTTGCCAATCGCTCTGGCAATTTCTTGAAGCTATCCACTTCGTGCTTGATCTTCTCCCAGGCGGACGTTGACTTGGCTGCTTTTTTACCAGACTTGGCAGCAACATTCTGCGCAATGATCTTTTCGGCCTTTGTCAATTTCTTCTCCTTCTCTTTCTTGCCCTTGACTTGCTTATCGCCAGGCGCAGGAGTAGAAGAGCGACTTGGCTGAGGTGTTGTCGTCTTGGACTGCTGCACGGGTAATTGTGATCCAGAAATAATAGCCATTCGATCAAGACCCACACCATTTGCACCAGAAAGAGATTCAGCTGCTCGTTTTATGTGTGCCATTTGTTTTGCCTTGGAGCGATCATACCGTTTATTGATACGGATCTGTTCACGCCGATCAGCAACTTGCTCGGGTCCCTTTTCCTTTGCAAGGAGTTTTGCTTCCATACCAACAACGCGTTTTCCCTGTTGCTGACGAATGACGGAGAAGTCAATGGCGTCTGTCGCTGTGGGTTCTTTGGATGTCTCGTCGAGCTGGATGCTGGCGAGGATGTTGTTGAAGATGGGGTCGCTGAACGCAAGCACCTTGTCCGTGGATGCAGGTGCTTCTTCAATCGACGCAACAGCGTGCTGTGTGTAATCTGGTGACTTGATGGTTGGGACACTGCCAAACACGTCTTTCAGCAAACCCTCGACGTCTGCTTGGAGTTCTGCAGGCAATACAGCGTCACCGCTCACCAAGACACGTGCAAACATGCGCGCATCAAAGAAATCTGCAATGAAGGCATTATCGAGAGATGTGTCCTTCATAGCCGCAGCAGCATTTCCATAGAATGCATCCAGGAATTGTGAGACTTCGGGGTCACTCAATACGGTGGATGGCGGTTGTGGTCGTTGAGCAAGGTCGAGGTTCTCCAAAATGACAAGAGCACGGAGTGTCGCTTGCACGAGATGCGGTGACGGGGATGAGAGCGCGCGTAAGGCCCGAATCGTGAAGCAGCGTCGTGCATCATTGCAAGTATAGTCTGTTGGAATCTCTGCAATAGAGAGTCGCTCGATTTTTGGGAGGGATATTTCCGAGACGATGTTGTGGCCCGTGATGGTCTTTTCGCGCAAGATGGCGTGTGCGTACATTTTGAATTCGCGATGCTCAATGTAGTCGATGAGAATGACGTCCATACCAGCACTGAGGATTTGTTGGATGAAGCCTTGTGCGAACGCCATGCGGTCCGTATTAGGCGTCTCGGAACGGTCATTAGGGCCGCCGTCAGACGTGAGCACCATGTAGGGTCGATTGATGTCGACGTATTCTTCGAATGCAGGCGACTCGAGCGATGGAAAGTCATACACCTTGTAGTCTGTATTGTCGTTGAGATGCAGGTACAAGCTGGATCGCAGCAATTGTAAAGCAGCTTGATTTTGTGTAAAGAACCAGGCTCGGTCTTGGAAGAAGGCAATCTCGATATTGAGTGCTTTGAGCTCAATCAGCTCCTTTTCAACAACAGCGGCAAAGGAGAGCATTTGGCCGCCATGGTACGGAGATTGTAACGCGCGCAAGAGGAGTGCATCGCCGTCGAGCAGGACGAGTTCGTCGCCAACCTTGTCGGTGACGTACGTAAAGTACGGCTGGATGCTTGTTAGTATATTTGCACAAACAGATCAAGGCAGAGCATACGTCGATACCGTCTACATGATTCATTCCCTCGAGGCAAATCAATGAATGAAGAGAGCTGGAGGTGTCGATGATAGGAAAGACCTCTGCTGTCTTGTTGGGTGATTCAGCGCAACGGCGACAACTTTCAACGTCACACGCCTCCCAGCAGTCACTATGGAATCAGGGGTCAGCACTGGCTCAAGCTTCTCTGCTGGCTGCTAGGTTGCGGGTATATGATGGGCCTGACTAGACTGAGCAGGCAGGATGTTTGACGGAGAATTCTATGGCTATGATTTGTTGAATCCGGCCATGGTCAGTGGTTGGTGCTCAAGCAGCACTTTTGGAGGCGGACCGTGTGCAGCATGGTGTGCTCAAGCTGATCCCTGAGCCAAGCGAGACTCGGAGACTGATTCTCATGCAGACCAATCGTGAAACACAGTCGCGTTATCCTCTGTCACCAATCTGCCTCTTTTGAGGAGATTGATCTGGATGCCGCAACATCAGGTTGCTGTTGACTCCTGATGGTCGATCTGATCTGCCTGTGCTCTAAGACTGCTAGATGAGCCGGTGAGCTACAGAGAGGAGAGAGTGGATATTGGTGACTGTCTGGAATGGTTCTATTCCTGTCCTATCGGCCCATCCGAGAACTGGGGAAGTGCACACTGGACACTGGTTAATGGACAGTGCTTAGCTGGACAAGGAATGAAAGACGTGGGATGATGAAATCTGGGGAGGGTCCAAGTGCCAAGTGCTGGCTCGCCATACAGAGACAGTAATGCAGTACAACGTCTATTTGGTCTATTCCTGACCTGACTGCTGCTGCGCATTGGCTGCTGGACCCTTTTCTCCCTCGACCATCCATCACCTGACGCAACCACACGAGGAAAGATGCACCTTCCTCTTCCGGACTCATCCTGGGCCGGAGACACGCCAGGAGCACGGAGACGTAGAGGGTAGATGAGTGCTACAGACACTACAGACTGCTGCTGTGTGTCTGTGTAGCAGGAGAGGGAGAGAAAGGGAATGCTGCCTAGTCATGGCCTTGAACGCCTGCGCTGCATCGTGTTTCAGGATCCAGCACGACCAGAGCAGCGCAGAGCAGAGAGGCCAAGAGGCAAAGACCCTAACCGGCTAAGGGTCCAGGCACTCTTGACATTATAAGCTCCCTTCCCTCCCTCTCTCTCTCCCTCAGCAACAAGCTACACAAGCCTACTCTCCATAACACATCAAGAGAGATGCCAGATATCAAACGCTTTGTGCCTACACTCCCAGGCTATGCAGTCAGTAGCGGCGCAGACACACCCGTCACGCCTATGGATCACAAACTCAGTCGCAAAGCCAGTATCGGCTACAACCCAATTGAATTCAAAGGCAAGCTCTCTCAGCGCGACCTCGTCATTGGCGCCCTCAAAAAGCAGGATTGGATTCCAAAGGACAAAGTAAAGGATGAAGGTATGCCTTGATACTTGAGAGTAACAAATGACTAACTGCAGTGACATGGTTCTACACCAAACTCGGCATTGATGACTTGTACTTCAGCGAAGAGTCAGTCGACACCATTGCAGCACACATCCTCGCAATCTATGGCGCTAAGTGCAATTCAGCAGCTGAAGGCGGAGAAGCGCTGCAAGTCAGGCTAGTGCAGGAATCACCAGACCATGCCGTCTACATCGATACAAGCTACCCGGGCATAACAGACACAGAGGGACCCAAGTATGAAGCGCGACTAGAGGACACCTACCTAAACCAGCGCAAGGACAACAAGGTCTTCCGTCTCGAAACATTCCGCTCGAAAATGGCAGGTGTGGGTCTTGATGGCCAGGAATTGCGCAGCTACTTTGTCAACCAGTGCAATTTCGTCAAGGAAGATCCTTCTCCTGAAGAGTATGAAGACCTCGACGTCGTCTCTGACAAGACATTCTTGGAAAAAGCCACAGCCAATACCCGTCAGATCTATCAAAAGATGATCAAGGATGCCCTCTCACGCACGGGACCTGTGGTAGACTTGTATGAAGTGGAAGGCACACAAGAACGACGCATGGTGATAGGCTTGCGTCGCGGTAGCGGTGAATACTTCTTTTCCACCATGTCGGATCTCTATCACTACCACGGATTGACATCTACCCGCAAATTTGTTGAGCAATTCAGCAATGGTCTATCGGTCACGTCCATCTACCTCCAACCGGCACCGGGAAACGAGAACATGGATGTTGATGTTGCCATGGACTCAATGCGTCGCGAAACCTCCTTGTTGTTCTGCATCCCAAACAACTTGTACCACGACCACTTCATCTCTCAAAAATTGTCTCTCCAAGAGTCGACGTATGCTCATTGCGTTAGTATTTTTACCATGCACTTCCTCAACAGGCTCGGCAGCGAATACACAACGCTACGTCAACAACTCGACCCAAACAACAGCATCCACCAGCAACTCCTTGCAAAACTCAAACGAAGGCTGCGTGGCGAGACATATACAAGCAATGACATTCAACGTGTCATTCACCGGTTCCCTGCACTTGTTCGCATCTTGTACCGCAGTTTCTTTGAGGTCCACCGCATCAAGCCACGCAGTGCATCTGCCAGCAACTCGACATCACGCTGCGCGACACCACAGGGCCCAAAATTGACATCACCTTCTACGGTCGCCCTCAACAAGATGCCATCCATGTCGTATGACCAGCTCGACGAGTATGTCCGTGGTGCCGTCTCCAACGAACACGAACAACTCATCATGTCTGCTTTTGTCGTCTTCAACCAGCACTGCCTCAAAACCAACTACTTCCAGCCCACGAAATCTGCCTTGTCCTTTAGGTTCTCACCAGCATTCTTGCCAGAGGAGGAGTACCCGCAACCCTTGTATGGCATGTTTTTGGTGGTGGGCGCTGAATTTAGAGGCTTCCACTTGCGTTTCCGAGATGTCGCTCGTGGTGGTATTCGCATTGTCAAGTCGCGTTCGCCTGAACAATTTGTCATCAACAGTCGTTCGTTATTTGATGAGAATTACGCACTAGCGTCGACGCAGCAGCGTAAAAACAAGGATATCCCTGAAGGTGGTGCCAAGGGTGTCATCCTGCTCGATGCCGATGCGCAAGACAAGGGTGAAGTGGCATTCCACAAGTACATTGACTCCCTCATTGACTTGCTCATTGAAGGCACGTCTCCCAACATCAAGGAGAAGCTGGTTGATTTGCACGGCAAGCCAGAGATCCTCTTTTGTGGACCTGATGAGAATACTGCTGGTTTGGTGGACTGGGCGTGTTTGCATGCAAAGTCACGCGGCGCACCCTGGTGGAAATCTTTCTTCACTGGCAAGTCGAAACGTCTCGGTGGTATTCCACATGATGCATATGGCATGACATCGTTGTCTGTTCGCGAATACGTCAAGGGCACCTATGCAAAACTCGGACTCACGGATCAATCACAAATCACCAAGATTCAGACGGGTGGACCGGATGGCGACCTTGGCTCCAATGAAATTCTACTCTCTGGTGAAAAGTACATTGCCATCATTGACGGCTCTGGCGTCTTGTGCGACCCACAGGGCTTGCAACGTTCAGAACTGCTGCGTCTTGCGAAAGAGCGCAAGATGATTTCAGACTTTGATACATCCCTGCTCTCTGCAGAGGGCTATCGCGTCTTGGTGGATGAAAACAGCAAAACACTACCATCTGGTGAGGTTGTCACGAATGGTACCACATTCCGCAATACCGCACATCTGCGCAACTTTGGCTGTGGCAAGGATGGCAAATCAGCAGACGCGTTTGTGCCGTGTGGTGGACGTCCTGAAGCCATCAACATCTCCAATGTCAATGCCCTTATTGATGAACAAGGCAATGCAAGACTACCCATCATCATTGAAGGTGCCAACTTGTTTGTTACGCAAGATGCACGTCTTGCACTTGAAAAGGCTGGCGCTATTGTCTTCAAGGATGCCTCGACCAATAAAGGTGGCGTCACGTCTTCATCGCTAGAGGTTCTTGCTGCGCTGTCGTTTTCAGATGAAGAATTCAAGGAGCACATGTGTGTGCATGATGGCCAAGAACCTGCCTTCTACCAGCAATACGTGGCGAGCGTCCAGCAAATCATTTGCAACAATGCCTCTATGGAATTTGAAGCAATGTGGCGCGAAAACAAGCTCACGGGTACACCCATGTCTGTGTTGTCGGATACCTTGTCCAAGGCTATTGTCACGCTGCAGGAAGAGCTATCCAATTCGTCACTCTGGGATAAAGTCGAGCTGCGCAACCGCATCTTGCGTGAAGCTTTCCCCAAGTTGCTGGTTGACAAGTTGTCGTTGGAGACGTTGTTGCAGCGTGTGCCGGATGCCTACATTCGTGCCATCTTTGGCAGCTACTTGGCTTCTCGCTTCGTTTATCGATTCGGAATTGCTCCGTCGCAGTTCAAGATGTACGAGTTCATCTCAGAATGGGAGCAGATCGAGTACTAGAGGTGGTGTGAGTGGTCGTATTGATGCTCTTCATACTTGCAGTGTTTCATGATCCAGTCTATATGTGCAGTGCCAAGCCTTGGCTTCTGGGCCTTTCGTGTCCTTTACTCGGTCAGCCAAGACACAACTCGACCTCGATCTCCAGGCGACATGCATAAGCTTATTTGTCTATAGGTCCATGAACTTTGCGAGCTCGCATGAACATGTATACGCTTATTTGTCAGGTCCATGAACTTTGCGAGCTCGCATGAACATGCATGCGCTTATTTGTCTGTAGGTATATGAACTATGCGAGCTCAAATGAATATGCATACGCTTATTTGTCTATAGCTATATGAACTATGCGAGCTCGCATGAACATGCATACGCTTATTTGTCTATAGGTATATGAACTTTGCGAGCTCGCATGAACAACAGAGGTTTTGTGTAAATATTTGTCTCTCACGCCATGAGTCTGTTTGTCAATTGCTGGCCATGTGGACATTCGAACCGCACAAACGCTTCGTTGAGAAGACTAAAGAGCCTGCGCGAGTGTTGGTCTTTCATGTCATAAAGCAAGTTGTCTATTGCCGGCCATTTGGATGTTTGAGATTCACGTAGACCGACTGTGGAACCTGCGCAAGCTCTTTGTATATCGCGCCATATATCTTTTTGTCTCTTGCTGGACATGTGGTCGAATCAAGCTCGCATGATCGGCTCAGTTCTGGCCCACAAATACTGCACGCAAACAACGTAGTTGTCTTTTTCAACACCACTCCGGTGTTTGCGTTGAGATGCTTTCAGGGTCTTTGCCCTCGCCCACCTCTTTATGGTCATGTTCTCGCTCGAGGCTGGCAAAGTATAAAAGGAGCGCTTCTCGTCCCTTCGTAGCAATACTATCCATTCATCCAGCATCCTTCCGCAACACATCAATCATCGATGCCCCATTTTCATTTCGCAGTCATGGCTTTGGTCCTGCTGTTCACTCCGATCCTCATCCTCTCTGGCATTGTAGCTGGTTCACCGGCTGCAACTACTATACCAGTGAACGTGACCACTCCAGGCAACGACAGTACGACAGATCTCCCCTCTGGGCCATTTTTCGGAATTCCCGAAGACTACATCCAAAAGGTCCTTCGATTTTACACTGAACATCCAGATGCGGACGACCAAGGTCAGGACTTTGCCAAGTTCGACAAACGAGGATCTACAAAGATCGGTACCCCTGCAACTACAACCGAAGGCCATCATCTATCGAAGCGAGATCAGGCCGAAGTCTTACAGACACGACATTGCCTGGCAGGCCAGCAAATCATGATGGCCCATTGCAATCCTAAAGTCAGCTTGCAACATTACACGGTTCATTGTGTCCAAGGCGACAGCAACTGGGAAGGGAATCTTTACGGCGACCACATGGAAGATGGATCATGTACTGCTGATGAAGTCTGTGTCGATGTACCCTTTCAGTTTGTGTACGTATACCAATGGGAATACCCTTTCCCTCATCACAAACCAAACTATGAACGAACACTGACAATGGTAAAATGCGTGCCAGCCGCTCTCAGAACTACAGTTCCTGCCAATGACAATTCGGCAATCAAGGATTCAACGAGTACTTCTGTTCAATATGGTCACAAACGAGTCCAAGGGCTTAGAAACAATGCGCCACAGGACGCCACTTTTCAGCTTCTTGATGTCTCGGGTAGCGTTTCCGTTGCAAGTTTTTTCCTGAGTAAGCAGCCATTCGTTCATGTGCTAAGAACTAACGAACAGGCGATCATCCGTTAGAGAAAACACCTGATTTGAAATTGAATGACCGGTACAGTGTTAAGGCAAGTGTTCACGGAGCGACATGCAACAGGCGGGGTTACAGAGAGAAGGTATGTGAGACACGCATGGCCAGCAAACTTGACTCTTCAAGTTGCATTCCCGACAAATTTCACTGGCTCCCGAAGTTTACTCACATTGACTGCGAATTTGCGCTCGCGTCCGTTCAGGCGGTGATTTTCTTCTATGTCGTTGTGCCCAAAAGTTCTCTCTGAGGTGGAGTATTTACCTTGCTGGACAACTTTATGGAGCCACCATCTTTCAACCGTTTTTGATCTATCGCAATTTGTTCCTTGGCTCATCTAATGATTCGACTCAGCGACCAAGCTTCAAGACCCTTTCCACTCAATCATTTCTCCTCTTCTCATTGCACAGCTTCGTAGGAATCCTAGTTGAAGCATCTCCAAGTTGAATAGCCTGCTTTTTCATTGCGGTGAGCATATGTCGTGTGGAGACGGAGCTCACCTTTCTGTCGCCGACTGACTGCAGCTGAGACAACTCCTGGTCTTAATTTCAGATGCCTCATCACGTGAAATCCCTGGTTACATCTCGCGGCTATTTTCCTGTGCACAAACACAGCGACCGCTCTAGACCTCGTCATCTAGACCATGGAACAAATTGTTCAGCATCTTCACCAGTCACTTGCTTTCACCCGGCTCAAGTAACTGATTCTCGCTTGATCAATTTGAGACATCTTTTTGTCTCTCGGCAGATATTGCCCACAGCCTTTGGGACTTTGGCCATGCTTCTTGCCTTACTGTTTTGTGAGATCTATTGCTAGTCGATGAAGATATGAGGACAGCCTTCTGCTGCCTTGTTTTTCATTCACCGACTTCATACACAGGTAGAATTGCTACGACCGACCAGCTCTTCTTGTTCAGTGTCTCCGAGGTACGAGGCAGAGCTGTTCGAGTCTACTTTGGACACATTGAACAACGAGACTGGTAGGGAGTGACAATTCCCAAGGAATGCGACATTGTTGATCGATGCAAGCGCGAAATAGCAATGGCATGCCCTACGAAAACATTCGAGAGTGAGTGCACGTGAGTTTAAGGGGATGTGTGAGAATTTGTGGTAGCGAGATGCCGCGCGCGGAGGAATTCGGAGGACTGGGCGGGAACAAAATCATGGCGCCAAGTCCGTGAGTGGGAAGCAGCGGGACTGGGCGTGAAGATGTGGCAACGACTGCAAACGATAGACAGGCACAGCAAGACGTCAGAGTAGTGTTTCTATGAGTGCCAGACAATTCTGGCGAGATCAAAATTGAATTGGAATGTCGTGATCATGCAGCAAAGCTTGGACTTGCTTGACAACTCCATAACACCAGGCTGCTACACCACGGCGCAAAACTTGACGAAGAAGAGAATGATCGTACCGCTAAGATGTAGACCTACAACTTGTGGTGCCCACTGTCAGGGAGTCAGTAGGCAGCAGAGGCAGACAGACCTCGCAATTCAAGCGCAAACTCAATTCTGTAGCCGCTGACGGCATAAACCATTCGATCGCAAACAGTGTCGACATGCATCATCCCGATTGGGCCCATGATACTGGCAAGATGAACCAGCTCTTTGTGTCCTTGATGCTCGATAGTCGTGCATAGGCCTGGCACAGTACACCGCTCGCGTGTTGCGAGCTTGCGGACGCGAGCCACGACCTGCATCATCTCAGTTGTCGCCAATTTGAGGCGCAAGTAGTATGCAACTTTGCCAATGCATGCAGATGTCACGTGATGTTGCCAGAAGCAGCGCACTCTGCATTGAATTGCAAGGAGTGCTGCCAGCTGCAGTGTGCTGGACCACTGCTGGTGCCTGAATTCTCGAAGTCTTCAATTTCCAACCGAAACCTCAACCCACACAGTCAACAATATTGCCCTTAACAGGCTGCATTTGGCTAGAAGCATACAAGCATCGTGGTTCAAGCTCCATCACCTTACTGACCTCTACAGATAACTGCTAAGCAAGTGTGTTTCTGCTGCAAGCGTTTCGTTGTCTCGCCCAGCTGTCTCTCTGCGCTGGTGGACTCTCCTTGCTATTGGTAGCTATTGGCATGCCTTCTCTCATTTTGCGCAAGCTTTCTCTACTTGTACTGCCACGCTCTACCCACTCATCGGCACGTCAAGCAAGCGCTTCTTGGTTCCGTCAAGCAGTCTCTCTGCGCTAGTACACTCACTCTCTTGTCTGCTGGTATCGCTTCTCTTGCCTTGCGCAAGCTTTGTCAGCTTTTACCAGCGCACGTTGTATCGCCAGCTCACCTTCCATACGCGTTCTTGCAGCATCCACCTCCCTCTCTCAATACTAGGGCATATCGCCTTTTATCATCCATTCCCGCGCATTCACTCGCCAGATCTCTTTTAGGGCTGTTGGACGTCTGTCTCAAGTCTAGTGAGCAGGTTCTCAACTGAATCATGGACGGAGCCACAGAAAAACGACAGCTATCGCGCTTCATATAGCTGGTTGGCCTGATACACGGAATGAATGGAAGGCGAGTGCGGGAAAGGTGTCTTGGCCATTGAGTATCGATGCCATTGCATGGAGATTGGAAGTGCTTCTTTAAGTCAGCTTTCAAATACTAACCAGATGCGGGTGAGTGTTCATCTGCATCAGCTCAAAAAGATGTGAGACTATGCGCAGATGATTCGAGCACTTGTAAGAAGACTGGTCGTTCTAGTAGCAGTTGCTCTTGAAGCTGGCATCTGACCTACCAAGGAGAAAATCAAAACACGCTCTGGGCACTCACGGTCAATCACCCTTTCTCTTCAACATTTACATGGCTGACCTTGAGATGGCAAGCTCTCCGCTTACGCCGAAACTGGTCGACCGAGAAGATAGCTGCATGTTCTTGGCAGACGACATTGTGTTGGTGTCTGACCCTGTGGCCGACTGAATGACAAACTGCTGCACGCGCATGACTGGTGCCGCCGAACACGGACGCTTATCAACACCGAGACGACACAATTCCAATTGCACTTGCATGGGAGGACTAGTGCAAGACTCGGTGCAATTGAGCCCTCCTTGCCCGGACTGATGCGTGAAGCGCCCCGCGCTATGATGCAAGAGTGTGCCTCCTACAAGCATTTAGCGGTCCCTAAGCAGTAGATCGACCTGGTCAAGCACAACTCACTTTTCTAGCATGCTGGAGCGTGACAGAGCTATTGGTTCCAAAGAAGGTCACTGGACAAGGTTTTTGGCTATTTGTGCCTGTCTGAAATACGTACGCTTCACCTCAACTTTGTCGACTGTCATGTCATTTCTGGCGCTGAGATCTCGTTTGATGGCGGAATAGAAGAACTCAAAGCGATGCGGCAAGTGCAGACCGACTGGTGTCGACAAACCTTTGGGCTGACGCGTCATGCTGCACGATTGCTGGCTATTTTGGACGTTCCTATTCTGCCTGAAGCAGAAGGGAGGAAGCAGATTGCCATTGGATTTGCAGACTACCTGAAAAGAACCTCACCGACAATCGCCTCGCCCATGTTGCCTTTTTGGACAAGCCGAGATCGACGCTCAAGACGAAAGCGCAGGCAAGACGTGGTCCAGTCAGATTTCCAAACTTCTCAATGGCACCGGTGCGACTCTGGGCTCTCTAACAAGCTACAAATACTTTAATGAGTCGCTGAGAAAGACGCACTCTGAGAACTGGGTGCATGAATGTGCCGACAACGTGCTATACAGGCACATCACACTAGTCTCGTTCGAGGAGTTCAAGATGCAAGGGCCGCACATCTGCGCAACTTTGGCTGTGGCAAGGATGGCAAATCAGCAGACGCGTTTGTGCCGTGTGGTGGACGTCCCGAAGCCATCAACATCTCCAACGTCAATGCCCTTATTGATGAACAAGGCAATGCAAGACTACCCATCATCATTGAAGTGGCCAACTTGTTTGTTACGCAAGATGCACGTCTTGCACTTGAAAAGCCTGGCGCTATTGTCTTCAAGGATGCATCGACCAATAAAGGTGGCGTCACGTCTTCATCGCTAGAGGTTCTTGCTGCGCTGTCGTTTTCAGACGAAGATTTCAAGGAGCACATGTGTGTGCATGATGGCCAAGAACCTGCCTTCTACCAGCAATACGTGGCGAGCGTCCAGCAAATCATTTGCAACAATGCCTCTATGGAATTCGAAGCAATGTGGCGCGAAAACAAGCTCACAGGTACACCCAAGTCTGTGTTGTCGGATACCTTATCCAAGGCTATCGTCACGCTGCAGGAAGAGCTGTCCAACTCGTCACTCTGGGATAAAGCCGAGCTGCGCAACCGCATCTTGCGTGCAGCTTTCCCCAAATTGCTGGTCGACAAGTTATCGTTGGAGACGTTGTTGCAACGTGTGCCGGATGCCTACATTCGTGCCATCTTTGGCAGCTATTTGGCTTCTCGCTTCGTTTATCGATTTGGAATAGCTCCGTCGCAGTTCAAGATGTACGAGTTCATCTCAGAATGGGAGTAGACGGAGTACTAGAGGTGGTGTGAGTAGTCGTATTGGTGCTCTTCATACTTGCAGTGTTTCATGATTGAGTCTCTTTCACGTCTATATATGCAGTGTCAAGCCTTGGCTATCTGGGCTCTTCCTGTCTTGTCCTGTCCTTGCAATGGATGCACACGCCATTTGTACGGAGACTGGCTGCTTGGCTGCTGACTGTCCGCACTGCAAACGACGACGCTCGCGCTACACACCACGATCAACCAGCGCAAAGGCAGCTCAACGGCCAGTAGTCAAGCTCAAACTATGGCCAAGCAAGAAAGAGTTGATGCATCAACCTAATGCTGCCACAGAGCATAGTATAGACTGGACAAAGCTGCAAGAGAGCCCATCTGGGTACGCACAAGCTAGATTGCAAGACTTGACGACACCAGCACGTTACAGCATTCGACGTATTCAGACAGGCGATAATAGACGATACTGGCGAAATTCTTATCGTCGAGTATACAAGCTGCCGCTCTACTCAACTGCGCTGTTGAAGCATTCACCACCGATGTCTGCAGCCTTTGCTTCAACTCAAATCCAACCGCAACTCTCATCGCGATCACTGCACGACAGGCTGACAACAAGCTTCTACATCCTACTCGTGCGTCTCTATGCATTGCTTTTGACTGCTGTGGAACGAGCAAGAACATTAGGCATCGGGCGCATCTTGTCGGGTGTCGACTTTCGTGGCATTCGGCAAGTCAAGACACCAGTCGACCTCGATCTCGAAGCGCAATGATGGATTGGACTGCTGCAACTTCTGAATGTGTCCATGAGACTTGTGTGGTGCGTTATGCAGACTCGCGAGCTCTTATGGTTTCTCGTTGTGTGTGTTGTGGTGCAGCATTCTCAATCTTGCCACCAAGCTGATGCGTATTCGGCCCTCGTCATGCCTTGGCATGTCAGGCTCCTGTGCTTTGCGTTCCAAGCAGACAAAATGCGAACCTAAGCATACTAGAATCGCTCATATGAGTTTCGCCACATTACATCCAGATTCATCTTCTCTCCCTATGTAAGATATCAGAGAAGCTTAATTCAACCTCGCAAACCAAGTGCCAGAAGGTGAAAGATTCATTTCATGTCGTCAGATGTGCCCGAGTGGTTGAAGCTTGATGAAAAGAGCTACGATGCTTGGTGATTATAGAAAAGCAACGACTTCTTATTCAGACGTCGCAGAAAGAACGAAAATATGTGACGGTGGCGTACGAAGATGGGTACAAGCAATATGTACTCAGCTGTCACAGATATCTCACTGCCCTGGAGATCGCTTCAAGATCTTCTTGGGTGGCAGACTCTGGTGCCGATACCATTCCCTGGTCGGGAATCAAGTTGTCCCAAGCCACTAAACTTGTATGGCGTTTGAAAGCCTCATAGACGTCAGTGCCATACTCAGGATACTCCTTATGATGGAGAGGTCTTGGCACAGCAGGACCAATACTCTCAGCTGCGAAAAGCTGGAAGGACTCACCGCAAACCAAGGGAGAGCGCCAGCGAAAAATTTGACTTTCATCGACGCTTACGCGCTCTTGACTAAACTCGCCCGAGTCACCTTCTTGCACTATGCCAGTGCCAGCAGGACTCACAAGGAACCAAGAGTTCTGCTGCTGGAATAGCGTAGCGAAAGCCCAGGCTTCACACTCATCATGATGATGAAAGTCTTCAACGATGATGCCAATTTCGCATTTGCATAGAACGGGTACAGGTCCATCTGATGTGTGATCTCGCATTCTGTTGAGTACCCATGGCAAAAAGGTCTCCGCCGTCTGAGGGAGGTTCTGAAGTGCCAAAGTCCTTGACATTGTGGACTTTACCGAACACCCAGTCGAAGTACCCACATTGGACTGCGGGGAATTTCGCTGATCAACACAGACCTGTTTGTTCTTTTTTTTGTCCTTTCCTTTGTCCTTTGGAGGCCGTCGTGCGAAGTGAAATTCGTCTCCCGCCGGCTGTTCAATGACTCGAGGCGGAGTTGTCATTTCAGTCAAAAATAAAGGTGGCAAAGTGCTGGAAAGAACCGCCACGAGTGAAGCGATCAGATCGGACTGCGTATTTGTCCTCTGAAAATCAACGGTATTCTTGGAAGTCAACCCATACTTTTCCTTGACTTTATCAAGAATCAACCACTTATTGCTCGTGAGGGCTGGAGGCAATTCAATTGCCTCAGACCTCCAGAGGAACTTGAACCAACCGAGGTTACAAAAATGTTGGACAGGCGGACCCTGAAAATGGTTCTGTCGTTCGGTTCGATAGCCTTTAGCAAGCTCAGTGCAAGTTTTGGCGCAGGTCTTTGAGCTGACACTTGCAAATGGGGGATAGGCGATAATGAATTCGAGTCGCTTAGACTCTAGAATACCTCCACCAGCAGCTTGACCAGAAGTAGACGTACCAGGATCGTGGCATTGATCTTCTTGTTTGGAAGGTACGCAGCCAGAAAGAATGCCTCGCATCTGCCTAGAAACAGAGAAGAGGACGAGCAAGCTGGTACACAAGTGAGGGACGAACATTGGTTTGGGAATGATTGTCTGAACAGGGCTGGCTTGATGAGTAGTAGCTTCTCTTATGAGTGACCTTTAAGAAGAGGTAAAACTCAGTCCAAGTCAGCGGTGTTGGTTGTGTTGTGTGCCAGGTGAGAAAGATGCGCAGGAGAAATTGGCCGCCAGGCTCTTTCATACCATTTGACACTTTTGAGGAATTGCAACAGGAATCGGCGAAAGATTACAGAGTTCGAAGACAAGCCTGAACTACATGACAACGCTTCGACGCTGTGACGATGTGACAAACAAAGCTTGGCATGACACCTGTCGTGATCTTCGAAACAAATGAGGTTCCGTGTTGCAAAATTGAAAAGCTCCATTGCAAAGCATTTCTGACAACACTTCTCCGGTCCATTGGAATAACAGTCCGAGAGCGCTTCCCTTAAGCAGCAGCTTTGGCTTCGAGGAAGGAAGTAGCCTTGATATTTTCGCGGGAGCCATCTGACTGACTCCTTGATTACAAGCACGCCGAATGCAGATGAGCCATTTCTGTCAACTTTGTAAATATGTCACATGACATGTTTTGGGCTCGATCGCAACATATGTCGTAGAAGCTCTCGTGATGCATCTGTCCGGGAGTGAAAAGAATCAGTATAGAGAGACATACAACTATGGAAAAGACACATGCGAGGGAGCAACACCACGCCAACATGGTCTCATGCGGTGTGATCGGCAAGACCGATCGCTGCAGTGTGGCTTGCAACCCCTTGATCTTGCTGATGCCCGCGCTTGCCAAGATTGCAAATTTACGCTGCAAGCTACGATCAGTGCAAGCGCAAGGTAGCAATGTTGCAATGCATGGCGGCATTTTGGACCTTTGTCTCGAATTCAGTGAGCAGTCTCTTGATTGAATTATGGATGAGCAATGAGCACCAGGAGAACGACAGCCATCGTGCTTCACGTAGCAGCTGGTGGGCTTGATACACGGTCTGAATGGAAGGCGAGCGCAGGAGAGATGTATCGGCCATTGAGTGCGGAAGCCATTGCACGGAGATTGGATTCGCTTCTCCAAATCAGCTTTCAAGTACGAACCAGATGCGGCCGAGTGTTCATCTGCATCAGCTGAAGAAGATGTGAGACTATGCGCAGATGATCAGAGCACTTGTAAGAAGACTGGTTGTTCTAGCAGCACTTGTATTCGAGGCTGGCATCTGACCTCCCAGAGAGAAAATTAAGGATAGTCTGGGCACTCAGCAGGTTGCTGTAGATGAGCAGAAGTCAATGCCTGCGGTGTAACATTCCCCTTGAAGACCCAAGAACAGCCAGAGGCTGCTTCGTATAGAAATTGTTGCGCTCTTGCTCATGACTGGGACTTTGCCTGCTGCACAATAGCTCTGCTGAAGACTAGCGACCATGCATCGCAGTTCTAATTGAAGTAAACCTTGAGGACCAACTTCGCTGCATTACACATGTGCATCAAGGGCTAGTCTAGACCTTACAACTGCACTTGTCAAGTCAGCCTTTCATACCCTAGCATGCTCCTCAACCATGATAGATACGCATGAGACAGGCATATCCCGCGGCGACAACGACAACGAAGACAAAGATCAAGCTATCCTTTCATGCTTGATGAATGTGTGCTACCCATGACATTCGTTGCCCTGTACTTCTCATATTGCAATGAAATGCTTCATCACGGGTGAAAAAAGACGCCTCATCGAATTCTGCAGCACAGATGTGGCAAGGAATGCTGACAGCACCGCATACACCCGACCAGTTTCAGTACGAGTCCATGAGATTTGGTTTGCCTTCAATCGACTTCGGTCTGCTTTGACGAAAGCACCCTGTAAAAGTCTAGAGCGAAGGCGGTGAGCATACAGAACCATCTCACATCCGTCACAGCCAGCAAAAAGCATAACTATAGCTACATCGCCCAGAAATCCTGTTCAGAGGCGTAATCTGCTCCGACAGCTAGAATGTCGAGATCTTTCGAAATTGCATGCTAGAAATGGATTGTCCATGACCGCGACATCATTACTTGCCATTGGTATCGAAACACTTTTGCATGTCAGGGAGAAGCCGAAATCTCGAGCCACATCTTTGCTGCATTCTCAGTCTTGCCACCCGGGTGGTGTGCTTCCGGGTTGGTTACTCCACCAACAGGCTTGCCAAAGGAGGTAGCCTGTTTCACCTGTGCAGATGTTGTGCCACACAGAGAATGAGAAGCAGCAATTTCTGGCCTTTTATCTTCAGGGTGCTTGCCTTTTATCTTCAGGAACAAGCGTACATCGAGCAGCACCTTCTTCCGAGATTACCCAACGCGCCAAGCGTTTGGGCATCGGTACAGCAAGGCTTTGAGTTGCGATGAACAAGTCGCTCAATCTAAGCACCCTGCTGCTATGCATGTGCACAACAAAAATTTGCTATGATGTATTGCAACCGTGCCTAGCTGCAATGAAAAGGTGTACTAATGAAGAAGACCAGGGACTGAACCCCTTTTTACAGGGTGTACCTGAAGTGGATCGATCGATCGCCTGCATCAGCCTTGATGGCCTGGCCAGCTACGACAGGCTCATCCCCATGTGAAGAGCCACGAGCTGTATCGCAGAGCACATCACGCTTCTTGTTGATACGCGCAAAGTGGAATCGCAAAATGACTGCAGCGATGGTCGCAAGAGACAGCAGTGCAATGACGGTCATGTAGCCCTTTTGATAATTGGGTGCCTCGTTTTTGCGGTAGAGCCAAGTCGATGCAAGACCACCAGAGTTGGTCATGACAATCATCATTGCCAGTGCTGTAGCACGACGATAGTGGTTGGCGAAGGAATTTGAGGCAAGGGCCAAGTAGGCTGGCACAGCAGTGTAAATGCCAGAGACTAGGATCATTATGGCGAAGTAACGAGCTCCAAATGCACGTTTGTCGCGTGTGCAAGTGTACAAGATGGCGAGACCGGCAATAGCAACGAGTTGCGGGAAAATGACGAAGGGTGTGCGCTGCTTGACCTTGTCGGAGTAGTAAGAACCAGCAAGCGAGCAGATGGCCGACAAAGCATAAGGAGGAACAGACAAGAGCTGCGTCACCCAAACGGAGCGTTTTCCAAGACCAGCAAGAATAGTGGGCAAGAAGTAGGCCACGGAGTAGACGGCGACACCAGAACCAAAGGCCATGATCATGAGGAGCCACATGTGAAGCGACTTGAACACGCTGCCGACCTCTGACCAGGAGAATTGCTCGTGCACTTCCGAGTGCCCAGTTGGGGAGATCATTCGTGTAGCGACTTGCTCCTTCTCTTCTGGTGTCAAAAAGTTGCTGCGCTCCACATCATTGGGCATGAGGAAGTAGCCAATGACGCCTGCGACGACTGTGATGATTCCTGATGTTAGATTTGCCAGCGGAAGAAGAGGCATACCTTCAATAATGAAAATCCAGCTCCAGCCATTGAGACCACCGGCACGAATAAGACCGAGTGCAGCAGCGAGGAGACCGCCGAGCGAGCCAGCAAGACTGGAAGCAACCCAAAACATTCCAATACGCAGCTGCAACTCGTGCGGCTTGTACCAACTGGCAAGGTAGAGGATGATGGCTGGCAAGATTCCTGCTTCAGTCAGACCTAGGAAGAAGCGGTCTGCCCAGAGGCCGTGCTTGTCCTTGACGACACCTTGAAGGGTACCGACAATGCCCCACATGACGACGAGCGAAGGAAGCCAAAGCTTGGCTCCAACCTTCTTGACAAGCAAGTTCGAGACGAGTTCGAAGGCGATATACGGCACATAGCTGGTGAGTTAGCAAGTTGCCATCTGAAATTTTCGCCTATCTGATCGTGTGCCAGCTTAAGCTACACGACAGACGTGGGCTGCAGGATCGTACAGAATGGTGAGGGCAATGCGGTAGTCGTAGTCGCTGAGCTTGAGGTCCTTCTCGAGACCATTCAACCTTGCATTTCCGATGTTGGTGCTGAAGCCGTTAGCAAACACTGTGTAACGTGAACATGTCAACACGCCGCAGCTTAAGTTGCTGATGTGCAGGAATCAAGCTTACCGATCCAAGAAAGACAGGAGATAGAAGATGACCATGAGAGGCACAACATTGCGGTCAATTTTGCGTACAAGACGCTTCTCCTCGAGTGTGGTCATTTGCGCATAGCCTGTGAGCTTTTCTGGCCCTTCTGACGAGGTTCGCTCGATATTGTGGAGGGCTTCTTCCTTCCGCTCCATAGCTGCGTATCTGTTGGTATCACAAAAGTCGAGGCACTAGCAGGGAGAGGCCTCTTTATACAAGCTAGGCCAGGTGCGGGTTGGTCGCGTCTCAAACTTTCGCCGTGGCTGTCTCCTGCAGCAGATTCGCTTAGACGGCGCGTGCCGAAATCAGCTTGTTTTTGTGGAGGTGACTGACGGGCCCACTTGTGACTCACAGGCCAACTCGGATGTGCGATTTCCTCTGTTCAGCTGTCAGAGGAGACATACAATAGCAGCATGAAGGCTGTCGATTGTTTGCATCGTTTCATGCTGCGTTTGCTACAGTGCTACAGTAGCAAGAGACCCGTTGAATTCTCGTGTTAAGAAGGCCGCGGCTGAAGTTGCCAATTAGGGAGCCTTCCCCAGGATTCGAATCTGTATAGAATCTGCAGATGTCCGTGTCGGTAACATTGGACCGATGAACGGAGCGGCCTGTGCACTGCGCGGTCACTGCAAAGTCCAGACTCAGTGCAGTATCAGTGCAGACTGCCGTGACTCAAGCTGACAGCAGTGTTCACCAGTCACAAGTACTCTTGAGTCGCAGACATGTTGCAGATTTGCGTTGCACCTTTGCTGGCATGCTGCTGACCAATGTGAACTGGCGGCTTTGCGACAAAGAGCCTGGGTCACCAACAACGAATTTTTTGGCAGATGCGGCCCATCATGCGGGGCGTGACCTGCTACTACCGAAATAAAAAGACTCCGCGTAGTCTTCAGCACACGAGTCTCGAATATTTGCTCAGTGCTCACACCTTTGCAGTAGTCTTGCACAGTTCATTTGCAGACGAGCAGCTCTGGGCTAACCTGACCCATACTTTGCATGGAATTCCTCTCAGGAACTCATATGGCAGGCAATCGTCTAGCGCTCCAGCGACATCGTCAACAAGTCAATCATCTTGTGGAAAGCCTTGATGCTTGCATCATGTATGCATACATGTCCTTGCTTGATGCTTGCATCACGTATGCGCACATGTCCTTGCTAAACCTCCATAATCTCACCCATATTCCAACTCTCAAAGCCTGTAATACCTTGCTCCCTTGAAAACCGCTCGAGCTCTTCGCGTGCCTGGTAGACTTCTTCGCCAGCCAGTGTGAAGGTACCCCAGTGAATTGCCACAGCGCGCTTCGCTTGTACTTCCTTGTACACCTCGACTGCTTCGATTGGACTGATGTGCACAGGCGACATGAGTCGACGCGGTAGATAGGCGCCGATGGGAATCATGGCAAAGTCAAAGGGACCACGCATTTGTCCGATCTGTGCATGAGCAGGACAGATTGGTAGATGCGCGAGTTCAGCTTCTGAAGCACCTTCCAAAGCAGCAGGTATCGTACGTCTTCCTGTATCACCCGCAAACCAAATGCGTTTGCCGTCTTGTCCTTCGATAGAAAAGGATCCCCATAGGGTCATCTGTTGGTCATTGAGACCGCGATTGGCAAAGTGCTGGCCAGGTAAGAAGCTGAGACGTACGCTCTGACTGAGCTTCTCAAAGACAATCTCGTCCCACCAGTCGAGCTCAATGCTCTCAATGCCACATGCATCAAACCAAGCCTTGTTGCCGAGTCCAGTAGCAAAACGAATGTACGGGAAGCGCTTCTTGAGTTGAGTGACTGTATCGACATCTAGATGATCGTAATGACAGTGGCTGATCAGAACGAGATCAATTTCTGGCAGCTCATCGACTGTTGTAGCTGGGCGCGTAAATCGTTTTGGACCTGCGAACTGTACAGGCGAGCAGCGATTGCTGAATACTGGATCACAGAGAATACGCAGACCGCGCGTGGCTTCAGGAGGACGCGCCAATTCTAGATAGCACGACGCATGGCCCAGCCAAGCGACTTTTGTTGAGGCTGCATTGCCAGATGCAAAGTTGGGTTTCTGCCAGCCTACGCCTTCATGTACGTCCACAGGTATTTTGACACGACTCCCAATTTCGCCCCTCAAAGCACCCAGCATGAATTGCACAGGCGGCACACGCTCGCCGAAGGATGGCCATGGGTTTGTGAATTGCTTGGTGCCGGGTTTCGGGTGATGCGAGCGGTGATTGTCGGGTATTGCTCGCGCGGTCGCCACGGATGTAAAACGAGGTGTGTTAGAGAGAGATGCCGCTGCAGAGACCATCGTCCTACGCATGCGCGGCTGCTGGCCCGTGTCTGGTTCGCTGCGGTATCTTGGACGTTGCAGATGGCACGACTGCCCATCTGAAGGGAAATTTGACGACGACGACAACGACGACGAATCGACGATGACCCCTGGTTCTCTCGAGGGCCAGAAGACTCTTGAATGCCTATGTAATCCTCCTAGAATGGAGTACATGACTACTTGTGATCTCTTCTATGTGTTGCAAGCCGATCTTCATCGCAGCTGATCCGTTCGAGATAGGCAAAAGAACGAATCGATATGGCCGAACGGCTACCAATGCGGATTAAGTTGCACAGCGACAACCCTTGAAGGAAGTAAGAGCATACACTAGGCCAGCTAAGCATGCTGAATTTTATATTCATGTAGAGTGGTCAGTTTTTGACACGACAAGTGCTATGACCTATCGCCCACGAGTAACTTGCTCATGTAAATCCACATCAGCTGAAAGGCAAGAACCTCGTGTGAAACATTTGATCCTCGATCATGGTTCGCCACGCCGTATCTTTGCTTTTCTACAGCTGAGATGCAATATGTGGTAAGCAACGATTGATATCTGATGCAACTTGTAAGCCGATATTCTTGTGCAAATACACTCAAGGCTTCTGAAAGCAAAATGAAAGCTTTTCGGCCACATGGCAGAGTTGGTGAAGCATCGAAAGCACTGCTCCACAATGGAAACATGGAGAGGTTTTGAAAAGACGCAAGGCGAAAGAGGTTGAAGGACAGTGCACAGTCAGCGCTCGAGCCATACGAGCAGTATAAATCCTCCAGGTAGCCTCTGTGCAGAAGCAAGCCAGAGGATGACGACTATCGGCGAGATCAGCCCCATGACTTCCACGCAAGCAGATCGACCACGCGCTGCTAGTGCTCCACACACAACAACGCCTGCCACTCACTCTGCTGTACCAGTAACCACGGAAGTGACGGGTACGAATGATGAGCCAGCTCCTGTAGAGACCGCGAGCCACGCTGAGCCGACGCAACCGACTTGCTGCTTCTGCACTGGACAGGTCAAAGGTGAGTACGACCGCTGGTGGTGAAGATGACTGACGTGGTAGCGTACATGGATCGGTTCAAGAAGTGGACAGCGCGCGACAAGCAGGCTCAAGCGGGGCAAGAGTCCAATGCTGCGGTTGCAGCGCTGCGTGATCCAGCTGCACCGGTGCGAGACGAATGAGGTTGATGTTGCTGGCTGAGGACGTGCATGATCATCGACTGGATCATCTATCAGTTTGCATCTCTGATTGTAGTGTAGAGCAAGACTCCAGACAGTGAATAATGGCTTGTGTACTGTTCGAAAACGTTAATGCGCAGCACAGGAAAGAGTCGCTCTTATGCTGTGGTATCTTGTGCTGCGAAAAATGCAGCAGTGAACGAAGCAGTATAGTCTGCCTCAATCTCTTCTTGCGAGAAGACATACTCTTCCTTCCTCAGGCGATTTGGGGCAGCAGGCTTGAGGTGTGCGTAGAGACAGTCATTCCAGTGTGGACAAGATGGTATACCGCCAAGCTTGATGGACGATTCAAACCACTTGCACAACGTGCGCTTCTTTGATCTGTAGTAGTTTTGTATCAGTTGTGCCTTTTGCGATGCAGAAACTGGCACAGAGACTGCAGGAAAGATACCAGAGGACCGTTGACGACAGAGTGGACAAGAGGTCTTTTTACGTGCTGGGTCAGAGATTTGCGCCAGCTGCTGTAGTCTTGCCATATTCAAGGTTGCCTTACTGCCTAATCCATGAGATCCCTCGAGCAGCGCAAGTCTTTGGTTGTAGTCATGCAAGACGACAGCCTCAGGTAGGGACAGAGTGCTCGCGACTTGCTTTGCGTGCCAGTGTTTGAGACAAGTCAAGCAGAATACATGATGGCAGCAGTCAAGGATCCCCAGGAGGTCCTTCGGCTGCTCGAGGCAGATGCCGCAGGGCTCATTCATGGTGGTGGAATTGCTGCTGGTGGACTCAAGGACACCTCCAATATCGGGGTATCCAGCATCAGTCTACTTGAGTAGCTAGCAAGATCACTGTATCAGCAGCTGCAAATGCATTACTACGCGCTCTATCAACACAACGCCAAGGGAAAAGAAAGTACAGGGAAGACTACTGCCTGCTAATGTCCCGTCCGAGCAACTTGGTCTTTGTGTAGTCAAACACAACGAGTGCACGATTACGCAGGGAAAAGACCTGCGAGATGTAGGCTGCACGCCAGAAAAGGTAGGTGGATGCACCACCACTCGAGAAAGACCCGTTGAAGAAGGGAATCTGCAAGTCTGCAATGGCATCACCACGGCCGACGTACGCAAGAGATCCTTGGTGGGAGTACTCAAAGGGCGTGGCTTTGATGGCATTGAGTGCGCGTTTCTTGTTGTCGAGCGTCTTCTTGAGGGATGCACGCTCTTCTGCCGTTGTACTGGAGGATCGGCTCATTTGGTCCATGAGGTAGTTGATTTCTCCCTCAAGCTTCTCCGACTTGGCCATGTCGTTGAACAGGTGCGAGAGGTAGGTGCCCTGCTGCGAGGCTGCCTGTGCTGTGGGTGCATACTTGGTCGCTGTACAATCACCAATCGCCCAGATGTTCTCTGAGCCTTCCACCACCATAAAGTCATTGACGGCAAGACCACGACGAGAGTTCTTCTGTGCTGGAATCTCGGCCATCATGTTTTTGATGAGTGGACGTGGTGTGTTGCCTGTTGCCCAGACGAGCAGACCATACGGTACCTTTTGCGTCTGCTTTGTACCATCTGGCTTAGTCACCTCGCAGGTCACATCGCGCTCTGTGACTTCCTTGACCATGGTCTTGGTGTGGATGGTAATGTCCTGCTTCTTAAAGTTGGACTCGGTGTAGTCAATCAGCTGCTTGGAGAACATGGGCAGGACAGAAGGTAAGGCCTCAATGAGGGTCACCTTGAACTTGTCCTTGATCTCCGGGTACCAGTCGAGCAAGTCTTCGTTGAAGAAGTCACGCAGCTCAGCGGCAAACTCAATACCAGTAGGGCCACCACCCACAACGACCATATGCAAGAGCCGTTCCTTCTCCTCCTCGGGCAACGTCTTGAATTGGGCCGTCTCAATACAATCCATGATACGTGTGCGGATCTTTTGTGCATCCCAAGTCTCCTTCAAGAAGCAGGCATTCTCACGTACACCCTTGATGCCAAATGTCTGATTCTCTGCACCAACGCCGACAACGAGGTAGTCGTACTTGAGTTCCGTCTCTGCTACGGCACCTTTGAGCTCAGTGTTATCGGTGATGGTGATGGTTTTGCGCTCTGGGTCAATCTTGGTGCAGTCTGCTTCGTAGGTCTTGACGGCGGCCTTTTTGTGGCGCGTCATGTGTCGAATGGGCTCCATGATGCTGCGCAGTTCAACAGTGCCAGTGGTTGTAGATGGAAGAAGGGGCGTGAAAAGGAAGCTAGAGTCAGCTAGGGCCTTGATAAGACAAGATGAGCATACTAGTTTCTCGGTGAGACAATCACGACGTTGTAGTCTTCAGCATGGATGTTCTTGAGCAGAGCACAAGATCCCCATCCGGAGCCTAGAATAACGATGGTCTTCTTACTTGGATCCTGTTCAAACTGCTGGCCTGGATGACGATTCTGGTAGACTTCATACGTGAACCAGCCGAGACCTGCAAGTGCAGAGAGGTAAGTCACGCGCCAGGCTTTCTTAAAAAAGCCGGCCTTCTTCTTGAATGGTGGCGGCGGCGGAGGCGATGCTGCATAGGCTGTGTGACCTGCAGCTGCTGGCGGGAATGGCGGTGGAGGTGCGATAGGCTGCCCGGGTGCTGCATTTGACCGCGGTAGCTCACTGACGAACCTGCGAGCGAGGCCCGATACGGCGAGGGTCGATGGCCGCGTCTGCCTGATGAGCCTTGACGCGATCATTGCGTCGTGTCGAGTGCCTGGGAGATACGCCTGACCCGATGGCTTGATCTGCTTTTGTCTGTGGTGTAGCAGCCGACACACAACACCCGGGTGCGCAGTATCAGATAGATGGACTAGATGGACTAGTACTAGTAATGGATGACTATATCCCAGTAGATAGACTAGACAGCTACGCCTCGTACACATACTCCTTGTCCTGCCGACTCAAAAACTCCCGCTCAATCAGCTTCTCAATCGCCTTCTTGATGTCCCCAACCTTCGGCGTACCACGGCCCTTGATCGTGTCAATCACACTGCTAATCAAGTCAGCGTGCGTCTTCCTCTTCGCAGCCTTCATGATCCGCACCGTCGCAGCTTGAATCTCAAACGAACGGTCCTGGTCCACACGATCCATCGTCGCCTGATTCTCCTCCTTCGTCTCCTTCATCTGAATCTGATTGATCTTGACGATGCGTTTCGCACTCTTGAAGCCATCATTCACCATGAACTTATCACCGGCATTGACCTCTTTGCCTTTGGGTGCTTTGAGCAACACACGCGTCTCGGGACGACCACACGCGAGAGATTGCAGTGTTCGATGCAGCTCGCCTTGCTCTAGACCCGTCGCCTCGCCAATCGCTTCCACCGTCAATGTCTTGCTAGTGTTGAATAGCAGCAACACCAGACCCTGAAACATAGAAACCTGCAACTCCCGCTCGCCAGCATCAAAGCGTGCCTTCACCTGCAAATGTCCCAGTGTGTGCCGCCACATGAGCTTACGACCAGCTTGTGCCTTGCCGTAGATTGCTCCGAAGGCATCGAGTTCCTGCTGCATAGCATCCGGCAACTTGCACTTGACATCGGCGTACGTCGGCCATGAACCTTGTGAGATGACCATCACATCAAGCTGCTTGTTTTGCAGCTTCCGATTAAAGTCGCGCGACAAGTCGATATCCTTAAACATGTTTTCGAGGTTCTGGGTAAATTGTGCACCACACTCAATCTTGAGCTTGTTGAGGAGTGAGGCTTCAGCGTCATTGCTCGCAGACTTGTTGAGCAACAGGCGTTTTGCGAGATCCTTCTTGTAGAATGCCTCAAACACATCCTTGCTTGCGATAAAGCGAATCAAGTCCAGCAACTGATCCATCCTCACCTCGAGTGTTTGCTCATCAAACTTCTTGTTGCCTTGCCGCAGCACTGAATCCACATACTTGGCAATCAACTCTGCAGGTCGGTCCCCTTTGCTATTGACAAAGACATTGAACTGCTCCCGCAGCAACTTGACCGCCTGCTCATCGCCACCAAAACTCTTCAGACAAATCTCATCCATGTCGCGTTTGAAGTCCAGCAGCGTCTCGACCAGATTGTCAGATTCCATGAGTCGTACACCGTCTTGCTTGATGAGTGTTGCCCAGTTCTGAAGTAACGCAGGACGGCCGCGTGGCCGCTCGTCTGATTCGCTGATGTATTCATATGCCAGTTTGAAGCCATCGAGGTCGCGTGCACGAAAGAGTCCCTCCACGCCCTTGAGTAGTTGAGCTTCAACATTGTATACCATAATCTCTCGGACCAACATAGAAACCGGACGAGTATATTCACTGGACCAGTAATCTTCTGCTCGATTGCGCTCACTCTTCTCGAGTCCATCGACATTTCGCAAATATGCACCGGCATCCATTTCATAGACTTTTGCAGAGAATTGCTCGAGGTACGGCCGAAGATGATGAACGTGGCTATCAAAGCCAGCCGACAGACGTCCAGTATCCCGCAACATTTTGACGGATGCCAACTCGATTGTATGTCTCGGCCCGCGCCGTATACCGGCATGCCTGTCTTCATCAAACAGTGCATTAAGGGCTGCTGAGAAGTTGCCCAAGACTGCCTCATCAAGGACATGTTCGCGAAAGAGACGCGTGGCGAGATCATCGATCGCCTCGACACCCAACATGCAGCGTCTGTCGAGGTACCAAAAGATGCAGCGCACGAGATTCGCTTGCCTACACCACGTGTGCCAAGTATCTACCATCAAGGTACACACGTCCATGGCATTCTGACTTTGGCAGCGTGGTAGAATCTCCCTCTGCAATGCCTGTGCTTTACGTGTCAATTGCTTGCGTACAAGCTCCTCACATTGCGTTGAGCGACCGCCTCGGACAAGCAACTCACAGCCATGATACAAGTCTTGCAGGCCGGTAATTTCTTCACCTTGCAACAAACGGCCGAGCGCGCTTTCGAGCTTTAAAAAGGTTGCGTCATAGACAGCATCGTCTTTGCTTTGTGACCCACTTATTTGTAGATTCTTGATTGTGAGTTTCTTGACGGGTGCTTTATCGCCTGACTGAGGTTGTACGATCGGTGTCTTGGCTGTATCGACCTGCATCGGCTTGTCCGTCAGCATACTCTTATTTGTGGTCAAGATTGGAGTACCTCTTTGATGCGCGGTCGCTTTGAATTTGAAAAGGCTTGAAGCAAGGTGAGTTGCTTTTGAGGTGTTGATGAGACGGAGGCTGCTGTACTGGACCTGCGCTTTGCACTTGAGCTCATGGTAGTCTGGCTGGTGGGTTGGATGTCGTGGTGGATGTGGAGCCTGCAGCTAACGAGTTCTTTCTACTTCTACTTCTACTGTCTACTCTCGACTCTTTACTCTCTACTCTCTACTTGCTGTTGCTTTTACTCACTATATTGCTAGACTGCTAGACTACCTATAGTCACTGCCAGCCTGCTCATGGCCCAGTAGCATGGACTTCTACATCAAAGCTGCAAAAGTCATCTCTGCCCTGGATGCAAAGCAAGGCAGCATCAAAGGCCTCACCCTCCAATCTGGTGATAAAAATGGGCCTCGCACCTATGCCCTCGTCCTCGAGACTCTCAAGTATAGAGCGGTCCTTGAAAAAATCATCAAGGACAGTGGCATGCTTTTAAAGGAACGCAAATTGGCTGCACAGGGACCCTTGTGTCTCGTGCTCGTCCATGACTTGCTCCTCAACAAGGCCGGCATTGTCTCGAATGCTGGACTCTTCAAAGATGCCGTTCTCAGGCATAAGACGCGCTTGAATGCAGAATGGGTCAAGGCGAAGATCAAGCTCAAGGCAAAAGACAATCAAGCGCTGGCAAAGCGTGATGAAACCTTCATCCCTCGATGGGCAAGAGTGAATACCCTCAAGACATCCATGGAAGCCGTCTTGGATAGTCTCAGCTTCCCAGTGGTCGACTCACTCGAAGCTCTCAAGGTCGGGAGTGTCTACATTGATGTACATATTGAGAACCTCCTCGCCTTTCATCCAAACGAGACACTCAACAAGCATAAGCACTATCTCGACGGCAGCCTCATTTTTCAAAACAAGGCGAGTTGTATACCCGCAGCGATCCTCAATCCACACCCAGGAGCGCATGTGATTGACGCCTGTGCAGCACCAGGCAACAAGACGTCCCACCTCGCTGCACTGCTGCAAGGTACCGGCAAGTTGTTTGCCTTTGAGCGTGATCCACGGCGTGTTCAGGTCTTGCAAACAATGTTGGACAAGGCCGGTGCGCCTTGTACCGTTGCGCATCAGGATTTTACGCGCACGGACCCAAAGGATGCGCAGTACGCTCAAGTCACACATCTCCTACTAGATCCGTCTTGTTCCGGTTCAGGAATTGTCAATCGTCTCGACTACCTCACTGAACAAGATGCCCAGCCTGAAGACACGGTTGTGGATGAGCGCTTGGAATCCCTGGCTGCTTTTCAAAAGGCACTCCTCCTGCATGCCATGCATTTCCCGGCTGCCCAGAAAATCACCTACTCGACATGCTCTGTGCATGCGATTGAGAATGAAGGGGTGGTTATAGCTGCGTTGAAGGCACGGCCAGATTGGCAGGTGGCGGATCGAAGCGAGGCACTACCGAGTTGGTCTCGACGAGGTGTCTTGGCAGAGTGTGACAACAACAAGCAGATCAGCGAGGGATTGGTGCGTGCCATGCCTGGAGAACACGGCACTATTGGCTTCTTCATTGCAACTTTTGTCAAGAGACCTGCTATTGCCGTGGCAAAAGCACCAAGATTGACTACGACGAAAGTGCAATGGAATGAAGAGGATTTGACGTTGCTGGAGCAAGACTTGCATGTACTCATCCTGCTGCATCGTCGGCACACCAATCAGCACCACAGTGCGACGTGGTTTCGCCATCTCAAATTGCTAATTGCATCGCTCTCACGCGTGTTGGAGGAGCCTTCATCCAGTGAGCGCTGCAAACATATGCTAGATCGTTGTCGTTCGCAGTACATTTCCTTTTCACAGATTATTGGGACTGGTCAGTATGTTGCTTTGGGGAGTGTGTTGATTGCTATTCTTGCACGATGTTGGCGGATTTTGGATGTGCACGCACGCGAAGCTGGCGTGATGCTTGAATCGGAGGCAGTGCCGGTGTCACGACAAGAAGTGGAGCAAGTGCAGGCCAAGGCGATGTTGGCAGGCAAGCAAGTCACGCGAGAGGAGGTGGATTTGGGTGAAAAGGTGTCGAGGGGAGATCTTACCAAGATGGCCGCTGAGGTGGAAGCTGAGTCTTTGCAGGTGACTGTGGAGGAGCAGACAAAGAAGCAGAAGCAGACGAAGAAGCAAAAGCAAAAGCAGAAGAAGCGAGTTTTGGGGTTGACTACGACAGAGAAGGAGAAGCCTGCAAGCAAGAAGGTGAAGAAGAGTGAAGCTGCGGCGGATGAGATTGACGACATTTTTGGATGAATAGTTAAATCGTTGAATAGTCTGATTGTAGATGCCGTCGCCGCCTGGCCTTGATTCAAGCTTAACCGGGATGCTGGCAGCTGGATCTGTCGCCTCCTCGGGATTTGAATCGGCGGGAGATCTCTCGCTGTGATTGGCTCGATTGGCAGGTGAGATGCAGCCGGGAACTGGACAGGGAATAGATGCAGTAGCGGTGTAGTCTGTAGCCACGTAGTACTGAGTCACTGCGTCTCGTGTAGAGTCAGCATCTATAAGCATCTATCATTACAGCACATCCCAGCAACTGCAGCCCACAAATGCCATCTATACAAACACCCGCTGAGTCAGCCAGCAGCCGAAATGAGATGGCCGCGATCTGCACGTGATGTCCAGCCAATCACACGCGGTCGCCTCGTCTGCGATGTTCGGCAGCTCGTTCCCTCGTCCAAGCGTATTTGTACTCTGCTCAGTGCTCAGTTGTACTCACTCACTCACTCGTTGCTGCGTAAAGTGCTCGAGTTGCCTGCTTCACTGAGTACAAGAGACGCCGCCGCCCGCTTCCAAATCCTCCAAACACAAAATCTGCTCACTGCTCGTTGTCCTTGTCGTCGTCTCAAGCTCCATTGATTGATACGCTGCTGCACACTGGATCCGCTTCCTAGCCACATCCTCATCTGCTACATATAAATCCAAGGAAGACAGATTTCTCTGCCTTCTTCCAAGTCCGCTTCCAAGGCCCATTTCCACAGGCCTTTCAAGCAGAGACCCATAGCCAACTCGACCCTTTGAGGCGCTAAAGGCTACCCAGCAAACAAGAGCAGCATCACAAGTACACTCCAACAGTGCTTGTGCTACCCAACATCATCGCGATACATCACGCTCAAAACAACTCACCAAAGGCCCATCTAAATCAATCAACCAACCATGTCTTTCTCATCCCATTTCTTCGATCATGTCAGCACAGGCCTTACGCCCTACGGGTCAGCCAATCCCAACGTCCAAGATGCAGGGAATGTGTTTGACTACCAATTCAACGAATCAGCACCCCGAGCCTCGCCCCCCGGTGCCCATCATCAGACATTCGAGCAAACAACCGAGATCAACTACAACTCCGCGTCCGGTGCTGGCTACAGGCCCGAGCGGTCTCTCTCCACGTCTTCCTCCAGTGTCGCTCAAACGGCCGTCACAACAAACGCCGGCATTGCAAAGCCTAAAATCACAAAACGGGCACGTTCCAACCGATCTGCTTCATCCTCCTCGCCAGCTATTGGTACCAGTGATCTTGCTGGTTCTCAGTCGCCCGAAGTCGAAATCGACGGTAAGGGCAAACGACCTGATCGACGCGCCAAATTCCTCGAACGCAACCGCATCGCAGCGAGCAAGTGTCGCTCGAAAAAGAAGGAGTGGACGAATAACCTCGAAGCAGCTGCTCGACAAGCCTCTCAGCAGTCTCGCGAGTTGCATCAGATTGTTGCTCGGTTGCGCGATGAGCTGCTCGTGTACAAGACGGAACTCATGCAGCAGCGTGGATGCTCGTGTGGCGAGGTGGATCGCATCATGCAACGAACGGGCGGCAATGCATCACAACAGCAGCCATTCTATGACCATGTCCACCAGCAGCATGAGCACCAGCAACAGATGCAAAACAATCAAATGATGCACCAACAGCATCAGATGAATGCCGCCTCTGGCTACAACGACTCTGGCTACTCAAACTACGAGGCTACCTACATGGACGGCCCATAATTGTTTATTGCGATTCAAGTGCTCTTTCGTTGATGATCAAACACAAAAACAACAAAAAAACTTAAATGAGGATGCTATTGGGTGTGTGTGTACAGTTGATTGAGAAGATTGGGGTCTTGGGGAAGTTGATGCTTAACGAGATCATGACCTTTTCACGACACTGATGACTTTTTTTTCTCATGCAATAGTCTATAACCTCTTCGCTATGCGTTTCGCTTTACAAACTTGTTCGTATTGTTTAAATTCCCGCCCTACTACCTACGACCTGTTGACTTTAGTGCTGTCTTATGCTGGCGGCAAGACTGCTCGACATACTGGACATCGCAGGCGTCGTTGCATCCACGTCTCCAAACAATCACTGTGATAGTAGTGTTTGCATGGTGTTCGCATAAACCCACGTCGCCAAACCCCAGCTGCCAATAAATGCAATCCAGCTGTTGTAGTCTCAGGGGACGTGTCTGGTACAACTGTACGGTGTGGTAAATCGATCGACGCCATGCAAATCGCACACGTCGCTTCATCATTGCCCTGTGCGGCAAGCAGGGATTCTTCATCTTCTGCAGGAATGGCGTGGTAGTCATACACAGAGGGCAACGATCGACTCCAACTGGCTGGCACCATGAAGCGTGGTCCAAACAGGGCTTGTCCACCCAATAGCATAATTTGTAGCCATACCCAGCTAGCAATGCCAAGTGCAGCAGTGACATTGACTTCCTGAAAAAAGACATTGCCGTTGTAGCAAAAGAGGTAGAGCACGAGTGACATACGGCACGCGGAGATACCACCGACGTAGGTGAATGACAGACTCTTGCGATGACCGCGCTTGAAATGGCGAAAGACTTGGGGAAGCCAGTAGGAGTTGAGGAGGAGAAGACCCGTGATGAGACTAAGGTCGCGAAACCGTTGTGGTAGGTAGGCGATTTGAAGGGAGACAAAAAGGAGGACGAGTAGGGCGAAATAGAAGCGAACATAGAGTGCCGATAGATCGCGTCGTTCAATTTGTGCCTCTGTCAGAGGCGCAGGCGTTTCTACTCCAGTGGTAAGCGTCTCTGCTGAAGCTTCTGGGGTAGGTTCAGTTGCTGGAGTCTGAGTAGGCGCTACTTCAACCAATTGTCGATGCATGCGATAGATGAAGAGGAGATACCTCAGCCCATATAGCGTCATCAGCATGATGGAGAGAAACGCTGCTGCCATGAGTGGAATAAAGAGTGCTGGAAGAGTCAATCCCAGGACAAAGTAAGCAACGGCATGGTAACCATCCAGCAGACACTGCAAGCCAATAGACCACAATGAGATGCGCCAGAGATGTGAGGGCGAAGCAGTTTGCCGCATTTGACGTGTAGTCAGGCCGATTTGTGCCAAAACAATAAGGATGAAGAAGATGGCGTGGTCGTGTGCTCGACGATTGAGCAAGACTTCCCGCAGACCGTCGCATTGAAGATGCACATCGACATGACAGTCTTCGGAAAAGACAAAACAGCTCATTTGTACTGGCGGAAGCACTTGATATGCACGTCCCGTGTGATATGCATACTCTTCCTCTGCTACCTGTAATGCTTGTGGGGTGCCAAGCGTCCTGTGTAGTTGGCAAGCTGCAAAGTAGTTGCACTCTGATTCAACCCCATCATAGGGTCTCTGCTCAGAGATGCGTGTCTGCAAGACTGTCGCGGCTGCTTCTCGAGTGAGGTTGAAGGTGGATGCATTGGCTAGCATAGGGGCATAAAACATGCCGCCTGCTTCAGTGTGGTCACTAGCGAGGAAGAGGAGGCCGCTTTCGTGATGATGCACGCCTTGCAGCTCAAGATCTCTTGTGCTCCATCCGCTGCGAGATGTAAAAGTGAAGGAGGCCCTGGCCCGTGAGGCACCGGCCGTCTTGATGAAACGGTCGTCTATGCTCGCACTCATCTTCCCGCCACCAGAGAAGAAGGGCTCGGTGGTATTAGCATGCGATGTTGAATGCCACGAGCCTTTGAGGCTGCTGCTTGCATTCAAGTAGAATGGCAGATGTTCGTGAGAGTCATAGGCCAAGGCCAGATTGGGTATTTCGTCAAGATGCGCCTGCTGAATAGTCACTGTGTGGTTCAGCACTTGGAAGCGTTTATCGTAAGTGGCATTCTTCAGCAGCCCGAGATATGTTTTGTCATGCTCGAGCTTCCTGGCCGTCTCTTCAAGCAAAAGGCCGCTGTCCCCGGAATTTGTATTGGAGATGATGTAGAAGAGGACGAGGAAGATGAAGAAGTTGGGCGCATTGTAGCGCGAGCTTGGGTCCATTTAGCTTTCTGGCGTCATGACATGTATCGTGAGTGTCTTCTATCCGGCAGTCTCTTCCTGATCAGCAGCAGTAGCAGCAGTAGCAGCAGTAGCAGCTTCTTGAGTTGTCGCTGGTCGTCGTCGACTGCACAAAAACAAGAGACACCAACCACGACCACCACAAAGAGACAGACAGCGTGCAAGCATCTGTGCATCGCAGGACACTCTCTCACCATTTCTACACTGCATGCCCTCCGAGCATCACATCTAGCGCGCCAGTCTCGCAGTTTCTGGCACATCTATCGCCTCAATCACACATCCACAACAACCAGCATGGGTTACGGCGTGCCGGCGGGCAAGGCACATGACGCTCCCTACATGGGACAGAGTCAGTCTGTGAAGCGGTATGGTCTGCCCGTTCGGCAACAAGCCAATCCACTGGGCAGGCCTCTCGGGCAAACTGCACAGCAGCCATTATCCCCGAAACGCGAGTCGGCCGTCAATGCACAACCTCTGGCGCGTACACAGAGTGGATTGCTGGATACAATCAGCTTGCACGCAGCGCATCTCTCGAGAGGTGCAAGCGCTGTCACTGAGTATGTGCCTTTTGATGAGAATGACTTGGATGATGACCTCGATCTGGATTTCGACGCGCCGGGACCACCTGTTCTCAAGGCACAGGATACACATCCTGTCGAACTCAAGGAAGCGAAACAATCGACTGGTACACCTGTCGAGCCAGTCAAGAAAGGAAAGCGCAAGCTGCCTTGGGTCAAAGATGAAGCATCAAAGTCATACGGCCTCAAGGTCCAAACGCCAGCCAAACCCAATGCCTTCGACATGACGGCAAGTGCTATGAAGAATAGCAAAAAGGAACTCATGAGCAAGCGCAAGGAAAGCACGGTCTTGAGTAAGGCGCTACAAGCACAAACGAGTCGACAAGATTTGGCAAAAGTATTCCTGAGCAAGGAACAGCAGGCAGTCGTGAGTATGATTCGAGACGGCAAGAGTGTCTTCTTTACAGGCTCTGCTGGAACAGGAAAGTCAGTGCTCATGCGCGAAGCCATCAAGGAACTCAAGCGCAAATATCCTGGCGTTGAACAAGTTGCTGTTTGTGCAAGTACTGGCCTCGCAGCATGCAATATTAGCGGTACAACCCTTCACTCTTTTGCAGGCGTCGGTCTCGGCAACGGTACGGTAGATGAGATGGTCAAGTCTGTCAAGAAGAACAAGCGCAGTATCAGTCGCTGGACAAAAGTCAAGGTGCTCATCATTGACGAAATTTCCATGATTGAGGCAGGCTTGTTTGACAAGCTTGAGTCCCTTGCTCGCGTACTCCGCAAGAATGAAAAGCCCTGGGGTGGCATCCAGCTCGTTTGCACGGGAGACTTTTTCCAACTACCGCCCGTCATGGGAGGCAACCGCGACGCCAAGTTTTCGTTCGAGTCACAAGCATGGAAGCAGATCGATCACACAATCGAACTACAGACTGTATTTCGTCAGAAGGATAGCGAATTTGTCACCATGCTCAATGAGATGCGCACAGGCACACTATCTGCAAAAACTGTCCAAGGTTTCCATGATCTCGCACGGCCCTTGCAACACGACGACGGCATCTTGCCAACAGAACTCTTTCCAACGCGTGCTGAAGTTGACCGGGCCAATGCAACGAGAATGCGATTGTTAAAAGGCGAAGTGCGTATCTTTCTTGCAGAGGACTCTGGCGGTACCGATGAGAGTCGAAAGCGACACTTGTCTAGCTGTATGGCACCTGAAAGACTCGAACTCAAGCAAGGTGCACAAGTCATGCTCATTAAGAATCAGAGTGAATACCTTGTGAATGGTTCTCTCGGTCGCATCATTGGTTTTATGAATGATCGAACGTATACCCAGTGCTTGGATGAGGCCGGATCATTCAGAGATGAACTCTGGCCGGACAATCCATGGGATGAGGCAGATTTGGCTGACGACTCGATCGCTTCGGAGCGCAAACGTATCAAAATCGAAGCAAACAGGGCAGCCATGTCCTCCGGCAGGATCTGGCCTCTCGTCAGATTCACCGTTCCAGGCTCCAGCGACATCACTCAGCTCATTTCCCCCGAGCAATGGAAAATGGAGCTGCCGAATGGAGACTTGCAAGCTGCTAGGAAGCAAGTACCACTGATTCTGGCGTACGCCATGTCTATTCACAAGGCGCAGGGCCAGACCATTGAGCGCGTCAAGGTGGATCTCGGGAAGGTCTTTGAGAAGGGTCAAGCTTATGTGGCCTTGTCTCGGGCTGTCTCAAAGGAAGGCCTCCAAATCTTGCACTTTGACAAGACAAAAGTCATGGCGCATCCACGCGTTGCAGCCTTCTATCGCGAGCTGGCAAAGCAGTCCATCAAGCCTGCTGACGAAATTGAGGCGGACTTGGAGGAGGAACTCATGCGCGCGCAAGACGTACCCCCTCAAAACACGCAGCAGGTCTTTGATCAAGCACGACGTGACCCTATCCGCGCATACATGGGTGCAACCAAGAAGGTCATTGCATCTGGCTGGAAAGTTGCACGATAGAAAATGTTGCTCAGCATTCATGCTCAGCATCGCAACATCTAGTATATCCTAATCCAACATGTACAGTATAGAACAACACTCCCAATATAAAGCTGCCCTCAAGCGGACGCTGGCGCAGGTGGTCCCTGCTGACGATCTGGATGACCTTGCTGCTGATGTCGCACAGCAGCTCTTGCTGGACGAGGTTGACTGCTCAAATTCTCTGCTACCCTTGTCGCTGGCTGAGCTTGCTGAACTGTCTATAGCAGATGTCTTCGGATCTGTACTACAAGGCTACGCTCAAGCTGATTCGGCCTTGTACGCCAGCTTCTTCCTCGAGCATCTACACAAGGAAACAGAGCCCTCACCTGACAAGTCGAGATTGTCGACTACGAAACGAGCTCGACGACGAGCCAAGACTGAGTTGGCTACAAATACTGCAGTGATAACAAGCGAAGCAAATGACGAGCTACCACCAGACTGCTGTGAGCTATGTGAGCGAACCATGCCACTCACGGTTCATCACTTGATCCCCAAATCCGAGCATTCACGCTTGCTGTCACGACAGTCTGCCAGTCTTACAAGATCATGGCTGCTTTCTTCAGAAAACACAGCAGCTGTCTGTCGACCGTGCCATACAGCTATACACCGCATCATGAGCAATGAGCACCTGGCAGAGCGTGGCAAAACTATTGAGGCCTTGTGCAAAGATGAGGATATTCTCAAATGGATTACATTCGCACGGGGACAGCGGACAAGCGATCTCAAGACGGGTCATCACAAAGGTCTCAAGTACAGGAGATGACCAGCTCCGGGCAGTCTCTGCCTCTTCTCTAGGTCTCTCTTGGCTTCCCAGTTGGTCTTTGCATTTTGAGTGTGAGATTTGTTGAACGGCAGCAAACTTTTGACCACCTGCACTTGGGCCCTACTCTACTCAAGCTGATAAACTGGCTATGGCTGTGAGAGTGTCCGCTCTATTCAGCTCTCTGCCTAGCAGAGACGAGGGCGAGTGAACAATCCTACAGCCATGGCACGAGAAATGATGTCATTAGCATGTATTACCTGATATACTCCTCGGAGCTTGCATGGTGACAATTCTTTTAAAGCTGATCTCTATACAAAGCTGTTTTCTACTAGAAGATTGCTTGTGGCAGAGGCGAGTTGCTAGGATGACACGCTATCGATACCCAGCTCACTTGGATCGCCAAATGCGCGGATGACAAGAACTCGATACATCTACTGCTGAGCCCTCCGTCTGCTTCACTCAATCATCTAGTAGAATGACTTGCTGTACTATGCTATATATGCTATAGATTATCTAATCAGAAATGACAAGACTCGCTGCCTTCCGTAATCTGTTCATGACTGCAAGCCCTTCATTCGCTTCTTGAACGCCTTCAACAAGGACCAGAGACATGTCTCGCTCGTCGCACTCTCGAAGCAGGCCAAAGAGGTTCCTTGATACCTGAGGCAACGTCTTGCCAAGCTCATAATCTCGGCATTTAAGCGACTCTGATAGGGATGCCGGCCATGACTGTGACCGTAGAACGGCCACCTGGTCAGACGGTATATCGCCAATGCACTCTCGCATCCGCTGCTCGAGGTCACCCGTGTATGTCTCAAACAAGACGACCCGAGCTGTCGGCGAGTAGTGCCGATACTTCATGCCAGGCGTCCGCGGCACCTCTGCATCGCTAGCGTCGATACTAGCCTTTTGATACACCCGTGTATCTTGCCATCCGTCTATTTTCCGTATCTGCTCCAGAGAGATACCTCCAGGCCGTAGAATAACAGGCGGCGAGCATGTACCATCCACCACAGTGGATTCGAGACCGACTTGTGCTGATCCACCATCTAGAATCAAGGGCACTCTGCCTTCTAAATCATGCATAACATGCGCTGCCGATGTAGGCGATGGCCGCGTTGACGCGTTTGCCGAGGGCGCAGCAAGAGGAACACCAGCGCTAGCAATCAATGCGAGCGCAATCTTGTGCTCCGGCATCCTCACAGCAAACGTACTCTGACCAGCTGTACATAGCGGCGAGATGGCGCTACCTTCGGGCAGCGGTATGATGAGTGTTAATGGACCGGGCCAGTACTGATCAATCAAGGCATCATAGACACTTGGCCAGCCTGCAGGACAGAGCAACCGTAGCTGTGCAAGCGATGCGACATGCAGAATGAGTGGGTTGTCTGACGGACGCCCTTTCGCCTTGTAAATCTTGGCGACCGCATCCGTTTGTGTCGCATTTGCGCCAAGGCCATAGACCGTCTCTGTCGGAAACGCGACGAGGTCTCCTAGCTTGAGCTGATCTGCTGCAGCTTGTACATGAGCCGCCGTTGGTTCTTGCAACTTGACTGTCGGATTGTCATAGGGATGCGCACCCCGTTTCTGCAGGAACTGAACATGCGAGGCAGACACTTGAACGATGCGCGTCTTCATCAGCAGCCTCCTTGCCGCCAGGCCTGCCCGCTGCAGCGTCAATTGAGTGTGTGGTGCTATTATAGCTACGTCAAAAGTGAGATAGACGGGAAATGGACAGTCACACCTAGTATTCTACAGTACAGCCGTTCCCTCATCCTCACTGCTCATCCCGAGATCGATCTTCTCTCGTGTAGGCCTTTGTCTGGCATCGCCATGCAGAAGGCCTTGCACCTTGACTTTGCTCCGCGCTCGCAGCACGTCCTCATGGTTGACAATCTCATCGTCTGCCTCTTCACCAGCTGAGGCAAGAGCACTCTCGTCCACCGAGTCTATCCGTGAAAGCTGTGTTCGGCGGACCGTCGCATTCGACAAGCGCCTCCGTCTTGCTGGCGACGACAAAGCCAAGTCCTCATCTTCAGTAATGGATGTTGTCCAAAACACAAGCACACCCAGATTGATGAGCGTGTCCCGGATATCGCCACAGACAAGACCCCGTGCTTGCATTAATTGCTCGACATTCTTGTTGAGCAGATAGACGCCGTAATTGAAACGCGGCATGTCTGCTTTTGAGTAAAACAAGGGGTAGCGCCGGTCCTTGCGCATGGAATAGGGCGGGCCTACTCCCCGGTCATCTTGATCAGAACTCTCTGGAAAAGTAGATATGGGATCAATGACGTAGCTTGATGAGCCACAGCAAAGCAGTGGATAGCGTAAAGGCACATGCAGGTATTGTGCAAGCAAGGCAATGAGGTGGGCAGTCCATCCCAATGCTGCGGCTTCCTCAGCTGAATAGCTTGCAGAAAAGATGCTATGCCTAGCAAGGCTGAGGTTGCGTATAGTATGCTGAGAAGGCGTTGTGCATATTGGATAGACAGATGACAAGACTGTAGTCACGACTCGCTGTACGCGTCGCATTTCAGAGGAAATCAAGACAAGCTGGGCACTGCTTGTAGCTGTTCTTGCACGCAACTCTTCTACCTGAGAAATGGTAGGACGAGATGCAGGCTCTGCGGCGAGCCGGGCAGCACGACGCTTGTTTCGCTCGCGGAGCATTGCCACTTTGTGTCTGTCGCTTGCTATCGAGCGCTTGAGTCGTGTCGTAACAGTATGACAGTCGACCATAAGAACTTGTGCAGCTTCAGACTTGCAAATAGTCTCCCTATGCTCTTCATCACTCGCGAGTAGCGCCTCTATGCGGTCTCGCATGTTGTGTATTGAAACGCGTGTATCATTGATGACTTCAGTCAGCATCTGTAGACGCATCAACTGATTGAAACTGTGAGAAGAGGCCTTTGGAGCGACATAGCGCTGTGGCAGCTGCTCAGACTTGCTCAACGGGACATACCAGTCGGCAGATGGACCAGAGAATTGCATCAAGACGGCGCAGACTTCTCTCGTTTGTGCTTTGGGCCCGATGCCCTTGAGACGGTTCAACTGAATGTCCATTTTGATCAATGGATGCCAATGAGCTTCTCGAGAGTCAGTCTCCTGTCTCGTTGTCCGTGTGTATAGTACTAGGTCAACTTGTCTTGCTCGAGACTCGATGCGAAAGGGCAAAAAGACGGGCGACTGGCCTGACTGTACCTCGGAGATGTACTGCGTCTCGCCTTGCTCAGTCAAAACAAAGAACGACTCGTGCATGTGTCTGTAGATGGCCAGCTCATGCCGCCCGGTTGGCGCATGAGTTTCCTCCAACACCGCTTTTGTTCGTGTACTTCGCCGTCTGATCTGTCCGGGACGTTTCGTTGGCGACTCTGGCACATTCTCTTGTGCACCATCCAGACGACTCCATGCAGGCGGTGGCTTGGTAGGGGTTGTGAAGTGTACAATAGACCCACTGGCGCTCCGTCCCTGCTGCTGTACAGGCTCCTGGAGTGCGAGACTGGCAAAGGCGACCTGCCTGAGCTGTGCTAGCGAGTGATTGAGCATTGCATCGCTGCTCCTCCTCGCCGCTCGTCCGTCCCTCGCCGGCCTTGGTTGTGTCTGTTTGTTTGTCGTCGTCGTCGTGGATTGAAAGTGCGACGACCTCGAGCTGGACCTGAACCTACCGAAGCTGCTGCTGCACGGCCTAAGGCGAAGTGGAGGAGGGCTTGCTGACCAAGAGCTGCTCCAAGCAATGGTCGATCAAGGCGACCTGCCGCCAGACAATCGCTCGCTCTTCGAGAAGCTGCAGCAGCAGAAGGCTGCAAAAGAAGAGGCCTTTCAAGAGGCTAATCGCTTCAGCTCCCTCATACGCAGGCTAGATAATGACGAGGTGGACTTTCTTGCAGATGTGCAGGAGCAGAAGCAGCGGGAAGAGAGCATGAAGCGGCGCAGGACAGAGCAGGCCTTGTCGGACTTTCGAGCTGCCCAGCGTAAGGAGGATGCGCGGCTTGCTGCATTGGAGGATGAGCGACGGACTAAGCAAGGGCCGCGGTCTGTCAAGCCTCCCGTCATAATAGCGCCGCGTAAGAGACAAGGCATCACAGGCGTCATCAAGAGAGATCGCAAAAAGGCCAAGTCGGAGACGATCGCTATCGATTCAGGGTCAATTGCGTCTATGAATGCGGACGAGTCTGCAAAAAAGACTGCAGATGTGTCCGCAATGCCTTCAGACAAACCAGAAGAGCCTCTGGATCCCCTGTCTGACACGAGTAAGACATGAAACGCATCTATTTGCGGCAGCCAATATGAGTTGTGCTGCATACATTGTACAAGTACTTGATGCTTGCCAATTTGCCAGCAGCAAGCATGATGCGCCCGATGATACGTCGCTCAGAAAGCAGAGTACAGCGCAAGCCGACGGAGCCAGCCTTGCAGCTGCAAGCGCCGCGACCTATGGATCAAGCTTCAGCCTTGAAGGATAGTCAAGTCTACATGGGTGACGATCCACTCTTTCTGGTCCCGCCTGAACACTTGATTTATCGGCGAAAGCTATCCGTGATACCGGAAGAACCAGCACGAATCGCACCGGCATCGGACGTGATGCACCAGGATAGCCAACCTCTCCTTCAGGCGATATGTCGAGTGATGCCAGCGTTGGAGGCCTCGCCGTCATTGCAAGAATCTACTGCAGAGAAGCGCGTTGTACAAAGCTGTTGGCGCACGGTACTTCAGTATACTGGGTTACGATCATGCATGGGGTGCTTGCACAGAAAGAAAGCAAGATAGTCAGATTCATGTCATCTAGCAAAGCACAAAACGCTATAGAAGGAGCTGGTCAATCATACTGAAATGACCAACATGCAGTCGCTTTTTATCTGGGAAAGGGAGAGTCGTACATGGCGGAAGAGGGCCAGTGGTTGCTGTTTGCTCACGTAAAGAAATGCGTGTAGATGCGACTGTCTTGTGCCACCGCCATCTCATCCATTTTGAAGGAGTTGAGTTCTTCCTTGATGCGTTGAGCCAGGAGTGGTGTGAGCCGATTGCATGTAGCAATGTCCCCGCGACGATCATACTCATTAGCGTGATATGTGTCGTGGACAGCGATCCTTGGTGAGAACTGAAGACGATTTGACCGTTTGTTAGGTGGACTGGGCGGCCGAGAATCAGCAGCGACAAGTGTTGGTGTACTCGAGGCACCTACTGCATCAGCAACAGGGGCAGACTCGCTCTTCTTGGGTGAATCGAGGTCAAAATTAAGCGCGAGCATTGGCGCAGACATGGCCATAAGCTCTTGTTCAAAGTCGATCGCCACTGTCGAGGGTTGAACAACAGTAACTTTTGGAGGCTGCAATGCAGGCTGAGCCGCCATGGCCCGCGTCTTTTTAAGAATGCCGCGCGCTGGCTGCTTTGTTGTGACAGGGGGCAAGAGTGGCCGATTGTCTGGAATATGCTGCGTAGAGACATGCGAGCCATTGCGACTGTGCACGAGGCTTTGCTGCGATTGCAGTGCCTCAATCGGCATAGCGCGATCGAGGTGCATGCTCCCTCGTCGCGGCAGATCCTCATCCACAATCTCTTGACTAAGCCTTGGGAACTCAATCGAACCATGACCATCGACATTGTCTTGTGCTGAAGTGATGGGTACATTTCTGCGCAAGAGCCGTTTTGTCGGTGTGTCTGCCTTCGATTGTGCTGGCGATGGGGTGCCAGTATGCTCTGGGCTCATTTGACGCGCAAGGTCATCCGGTAGCGGCCGTGATCTATCCGTATCAAGCGATTCAGCATGAACATAGCTGACATTTGCATTCACAGGACGCGCACTGAATGGATCGGGCGTATCAGCGCGTCGACGACCAGAGCCACTGAAGATGCCTGTTAGTGTTTGCCGCGTTCGCCTGCCTATATTTTGTGACATTTTCCGCAGCATGACACTCGCACTGCTCGAGGTGGATGTGACGGAGAGATTGTCATTAGACCGATTGAAGCCCGCCTTGAACAAGCTGCGCTTGGCAACAGTGCCTTCAGTTCCTGCAAGCTCTGCCAAATTGGACGACGACGAAAAGGAGAGAGCACGTCGTAATCGGTGTTTGAGCGTTGGCTTCTCGCGGTCAAATGTGATGGGCGCAGGAGTTCCTGCTCGCATAGGCGGTGGCGACCGCGGACGGTCTTCTGAGTAGCGCTCCGACACTGTAAATGGCGGCGGCTCAAGCAGATCAGTCTCCCACTTTTCAGGATCAGGCTCTTCAGCTGGCGCCGCAGGCTCAATCTGTGTCTTGCTGGAAGCAGAGGAGCCAGTGCTTGTCAAAGCTGGTCTCGTGCCTACTGTGACCAATTTTGCCGGCGGTAAGGTCGTCGTTTCTGGCTGCAGTGCAGCCTCCTTGTGATCTAGCTGCTGGGTCTTTTGAGAAAGATGCTGAGTTGATGTCGTGTGCCGCGCTGCTGCTGGCCGGTGGCTGACCTGGTTGATGCCTGTGGAGGCATGCGCTGTCCCTGCTTTGCGGTATCCACGGTAGCTATCGTGCTGACTCGCGGCACTAGAGGGTCTGCTATATGCTACAGATGTTAGCATGTGTCTAGACAAGCAGATGATGGCTTACAAGGCGACGCGGCTGGCGAAGGGAGGAACCCGGGGTGAAATTGATACGAGCCAGAGGCCGACGTTGGTCGCTGGATGCCTGTTGTTGCCATATTTATGATGCAGTGAGTGATGATAAGTATCTGAAAAGCTCAATGGATGCTGCGCAGCGTCTCCTGAGGACCTGCGCTGTGTCGGGCGATCACGGTGATGGGTAGATGCGCAAATATGTCGCTGCCTAGCGGCCTTGCATGCTTCCGCTGCTGGAAATGACTGTGCAATGTGCGGATACTTGTAATAGAGGCAATGAGCGTGTTCCTTGCTTTCTGCCTGCGTCTCTTGCTTCTCCCCGTGCCTGTATGTCTCTCTGGTTGTCTCTTCGCCGTCGTCGTCGTCGCCTTTTCTGTCGAGATGGAAACAGAAAATGAAATCTGCACGCAGACCACCACTTTCTCCGCTTGCTCGAGGCTGCGAGATACTACTATAGTGCTTGGATTGCTCTGATATATCATGTTTAAGCTCCAAGACCAACATATCCTCATCACTGGTGCATCAGGTGGTGTGGGAAAAGCAGCAGTCAGGCGTTTCCTCGAACAAGGCTGCCGGGTCACTGCCCAGGTCAACAGCAACTTGTCCTCCCTGCTTGAGTTTGAAGGCCCAAGTCTGACAGTTGTCCAAGCAGACGTCAAGTCAGAGAGGGCTGTAATGGAATGCTTTGATCTCGCGTTCAAGTCATTCGGACGCGTCGATATACTCCTGCTCAATCACGGCATCTTCAGAGCCAAGGACATTCCCATGGCCAACATATCGTTGTCCGAGTGGGAAGAAACGCTCGATGTCAACCTGACGGGCAGCTTTCTCTTTGCTCGCAGCTTCCTCCGACAGATTGAGCCCACCTCGGCCATTCCCCCGCGTATATGCATTATTGGCTCTACAGCAGGCAAGTACGGCGAGGCCATGCATGCCGATTATGCCAGTTCAAAGTCTGCCTTGCAAGTTGGCTTCACCCTCTCACTCAAGAATGAAATTGTCAAACATCATCCTTCAGGACGAGTCAATGCAGTGGCACCAGGCTGGATTTCGACGCCCATGGCAGAGGCCAGCATGAAGGACCCAGAGACAAGGTACAGGTCCTTGGGCACAACGCCCTTGCGTAAAATTGCCACGGCAGATGACGTGGTTGACAGCGTCTTGTTTCTCGTCTCGTCCTTTAGCTCTCATATGACGGGCAACTGTGTCATGGTCGAAGGTGGCATGGAAGGTCGCGTGTTGAATAGCAAGGAGGACATTCAATGATTTCACTGCATTCGAGATGACTTCTACGCTGGATTGTCTTCATTCTAGATGACACCCTTCAAGGACGCCTGCTGATCCTTGACCACAATTGCTGGCGAATCTGCAACATACACTGCGTCCACCTTCTCTTCAGCCCGGTTGACAATATCACTCTGATTGGCCTGTTGTACTACTTGTGTAGATTGCTCTGGTGAAAGCTCTTCACCAGGCTGGTTGCGACCATTGTAGGAAGACTTTTCTTGTGTGTGCTTGCTGCCAGAGTGACCCACTTGGTTGACAGCTTCATGCTGCTCTGAGGAAAGCGTCGCACTCTGAGACTGTTTCTCTCCATTTACAGCAGTGTGTGAGCTGCTCGGCTCAGCTTTAAGAAGAGCTTCCGATACACCAATACCCCCTCCTACAGCCTCCCAATTCCGCTTTGCCCGCTCTTGGGCCTTCTGTGTCAGTTCCAGCAGCTTCGGCCAGTAGACCGCGTGCTTGTACTCAAACTCCAGCTGGCCTCCCCAGTGCTTATCGAGCTGCGCCGGTGGGACATGCTTTGCAAGTTCTTCATTGAAGATGAGCTTCTCGCGCGTGACTGGATCCATGAAGGGCGTGATGATCTTGAAGAAGCCCCAAATGAACACCGGCAAGTCAATGACGAGTGCGCGGCCGAGGCGCTCGACGTAGTGGTTCTGAAGCAGCGCGAGTGTTTCCCTGCCTTGACTGACTGGCGGTGATTTGGCGCCCGTAGCGCCACGATAGTTGACGAGCAGAGCAAGCGTCTCTACACCGGCTGGCATCAGGTCAGCCGTTCGCTCGAGCATCCAGACAAGATGCTGCATTTGACGCGGCGAGTACTCTGTATTTTGTCGACCGGGATAGAGATAAAGACACGGCCTGCAGCTGTTGTCAAAGCCCAGCAGAATCTGCTTTCCTGTGATGGCTTCTGGCTCGACATGCTCCGCTGTGAGTGTCTCGACACCATACTCTCGTCGCCACTTGAGGTTATCCAGCATCCGCAGCTGGCACTTCTTCAAGTCCCATTTCGTTGCCCGTAGGAAGCGCAGGATCTGTTCTCGCGTCAGGTAGAGTTGCTCCTTCTCTGAAAAGGTCAGGCCGTGCTCCGTGCCTTTGAGGAAGTTGAGCATGGCGTCATAGGTCGCCTTTTGCGAGTCTGTCAAGACGGCCGTCGGCAATGGTTCTGCGCCTGCTGTTGGTTGGTCTAGAGGCAGCAAGACGGGGTTTGCATAGTGCGGCTGCGTCTCCACGGGAGCCGACTTGCCAAAGAAGCCCATAGACAGTTGCTAGTAGATGTGGTTGTTGGTCGTCTGCTGCTTGTTGTCGAGTTCGCCGACGACCAGACCAGGGGTAGATACATACGATCAAGTGTAAGTATCTACTTGTAGCTATGGTGCGTGCCTTCCTGACTAGCTACATCTAGACGGACTGCCATTGGCAGCTTGAAAGAGCAGCCGTCAAGGTAGACGGCCCGATTGCTTTCAGATATGGCCTTCCAAACAAGTCTGGTGTGCTGTGACCAAGACTATGACTAGGCCAGAAAGTCACAGTCGCAGACTTGGATGGCTAAGGCCTGATCGAGTGTTGAGGACAGTCTGATACGTGGTTCAACAAGTTCAGGTAAGCCTTTCTGGAGTGGCAGACAAGCGAATCCTGGGCATGACGACCTGATGCTGGCCTGATTGCATGAACAATCGCGTCCATGCGTATTGTCACGCTAGCTGTATCCCGACGATAATCTCTGTCCAACTTGCTCTTCTATTCCTTCAAGACGGCGTTGAAATGGAGTCCAACTTGGAGTACTTGAAAGTGATTGTCTTCAGCATCAATATCGCCAAGCGACAGTCAGGCTGCATATCCATCCGCTAGACAAGACATGTCTCGAATACCATTGCAAACCATCAGATGAAGAGGCAGAGATGTGTATGGGATAAATTGAGCAGCAGTACTACAACAGGCCATCAGCCTGGGCCGATCAAATGAGCTCAACCATTAGAGAAAAGGCCACAAGCTCAACGGTGCGTAGTATAGCACCTCCTAGAGCTCTTGCAGCATAACGTCATGCCTGGCTGGACATTCTTCGTCTTGGAGTCTGCAGCCTGCAGCCCTGCAATTGGTAGCTTGCAGCTTGTGTTGGAAGAAGTTGAAGTCGTCCAATTCACGAAAGCAGAAGCATTGCGAGAGTCAACTGGATGGGACAGTACTGACTTCCTCGAAGACAAGGCGAGATCTCCAGTGTACTGAAGCTGGTGAGCCTGCTTGATCGCCGTCTGTCAGCTTCTCTGTCGCGAGCCTACAACTGCGTCCTTGTCCTGTCTTTGGACAACATCGACAATTCCCTTAACTTACCGCTGCTTGGCCTTTAGCTCTCGTCTGACAGGTGCAGTCCATCTCTAGTGCAAAGCATAGCGAGCCTTGTCTGCTTCTATCATGTTCAACCTCAAATCCGCTGCTTCAAAAGTCAAGAAAGCCCAATCACTATGGAACACGCGCGACCCAGGTCAGGTCGTCAAAGCCTATACACTTGACTCCCTTTGGCGCAACAGAGACAGCTTCCTGCAAGGCCATACTGCCATTGAAGCTTATCTTGCTGCAAAGTGGGCCAAAGAGCAAGACTACATCCTGCGGAAAGAGCTCTTTGCATTCATGGATAACCGCATTGCTGTGCAGTTCTGGTACGAATATCGTGCCAAGGATGAGCAAACTCAGGCAGAATCTCAACTGCATGGGCATGCCGACTGGCGACGTTGTCATGGACTCGAGCATTGGCAATTTGCCCCAGATGGTCGCATGGAGACACGCATGATGAGTGGCAATGAGATTGCGATCACGGCCTCGCAAAGATGGTTCAAGGATAGTGCCAGTGTCGACCAAGTGCAGATCCCTCTGGGCCATGGTTCATCAATGTTGCGAGGCTTCTGAAAGTGCCTCTGTATTGCTGCCAACAAAACCTGGAGCAAGTGCTGGCATCGTTGAATCGCACTCTGAATCCTGCTGCTCACGTACTGGCTGAGGCAATAGCTTTGGCTCTTACCGAGTCATGTATGCTGTGGTAGGCTTGACCTCAGCAAGCAAGCAGCTCATCTGCTTTTGCACTGTCTGAGATGCTCATAGCTAGGAAAAGGTTACCTCTGCTCTTCCACAGACAACCACTTTAGCTAAAAATCAATCTTGCCATACAATTATCCTCAAGCTTGCTGCTCCCTATAGCTTCTCATCATGTCTATTCTCAACGGCGCCAGCTCTCAAGTCGAAGCGCACGCCATCACTGAGAAACGCGTCCTCGAGCACTTCAAAAAGTCTGGCAAGTTTGATGCTATGCGAAAGCAAGCCTTGCGTTCCTTTGAGAAGTCTCAGGATGGCATCGCATTCAAGGCCGAGCTAGAGAAGCTTGTGGATGCAGAACTACGACGAGACCCTACACTTGCTGCTCGAGACCGCGGCAAAGCAGCCACCTTGATTGGCGGTGCAGTTGATCGGAGTACCTGCTATACGCATGCAAGAAAGCAGGCGACGGAGCACATCTTTGGGCAAGAGTCGTTCAGACTGATGATCGAGGAGGAGATACGCAGCATCATGAAGCAAGAAGAGGCAGCGGCCGTTGCAGCCAAGGACGTCAAGGCCAAAGTCAAGGACGAGGCCTAGTGTCACGCATGCATCTCTATCTGGCATCGCAGTCTATGCCTCTATGTACACCCTACCGTGCCACTGCTCACTACAAGCAGCGTCCAACGCCGAGCTCATGCTCTTCCGGAGCTCAAGCTTCACCTCTGCAGCCCGAGTGGTCCGCGCCAGGATCAGTTTCGCGGTCGACGACCACGACGACATTAACCCCCGCGAATGCTCAGAGCTTGCCTACCTCGCACTGCCCTTTCCCGAGCCTCGACGACCATCATGCCGCTCAAGGCCAAAATCAACAACCCAGCATTCAGCTCCGGCGACAAGGCCTCTGCCGAAGACGAAACAGATGTCCTTTTCAGCAGCACCAACAGTCTCCGCAAAGTGACCCTCAACAGGCCAAAGAAGCTCAATTCCCTCAATCTCTCCATGATCGAAAAGATCCATCCGCGGCTCGAAGCCTATGCGACAAGCCCCGGTGCTAAACTCATCCTGATCAACGGCAACGGACGTGCCTTTTGCGCCGGCGGCGATGTCGCAGCCCTCGCTACCACCAACAAGCAAGGAAACTACCAAGTTGGCAAGGACTACTTTGCTGCAGAGTATCGTCTGGATCATATGATTGCTACCTACAAGAAGCCAATCGTTGCTGTGGCAGACGGCATCTGCATGGGCGGCGGGGTGGGCCTGACCATCAATGCACCCATCCGAGTCATTACTGAAAAGACCGTCTTTGCCATGCCTGAATCAACCATCGGCTTCTTCCCTGATGTCGGTGCAAGTCGCTTTCTCGCCTCGCTTGGCAATGTCGGCAAGTATCTGGCATGTACAGCAGAGCGTCTGACAGGCGCACAAGTCGTTCTCGGCGGTCTCGGTACGCACTACGTCCCCAGCGAGCGTCTGGCGCATCTCGAAGCTAGACTCACAGAGATGGACACGTCCGACCTGGCCGCCATCCGAAATGCCGTCTCGGAATTCACTGCCCCGATTGACGAGGCCTTTGTCCTTGAACAGCACAAGGAAGACCTCAAGGCCTTTGAGCAGCCCACCATCCCAAAAGTCCTCGAGCAGCTCGATCAGCAGTCCTCCACGTTTAGCAAACAAACAGCAAAGACGATGCGCGCCAAGTCGCCCATCTCACTGGCTGTGGCCCTGCAAGCACAGCAGCAAGGCAAAGGTTGGAACATCAACGAAGTGTTTGAGCGCGAGTACAACATTGCCGCTGAGTTTATGCACAACCCAGATTTTGTCGAGGGAGTCGAGGCGACGCTCATCCACCGCAAGCCGGCTGAGTGGCACGAGAAGAGTTTCGACGTCAATGTAGACAAGTACTTTAGAGGCCGTGCGCGGCTCTTTTAGTGATCACCCACTTTCGCTAGAGCGTCAAGCAAGTGCCCGGCCCATGCCGCGTTAAATGCTGGCGACAAATGCGTTAGGAGCGCCTGTGATGTAGGGAAATGCCTCAAGATTGCTTCGTCCTCTGAAATCTTATTGCTCAGTGCCGAGCCTTGTTGAGCAGGCTCCGTCCTGTTGTGTATGCACCATCCGGCATCGCTCACCGTCACGTCCGCGCTGATGCCTTCCCGAGTTGTAATGTGCACGGCATGATCCTTGAGAAGAACAGCAGCGAGGTACCGCTCGTACTCTTGCCGAAAGGCCGCAAGCTCTGCGTCCAGCGTGGTCGGGAGCATCGATTGTTGTGGTGTCGGCAGACGGCGGCTCGAGCAAAACCACGTAAGAAGCAGCATCTACACATTCTACGCGTCTAGGCAAGGGCCTGGCTACTCTGGTACCTGCTTGACCACCTTGGCCGGGTTGCCGATGGCCACACTCATGGCGGGAATGCTCTTGGTCACCACAGAGCCGGCACCGATAACACTGCCATCGCCGATAGTTACACCAGGCAACACAACGCAGTGTCCCCCAATCCAGACATCATTTCCAATGGTGATGGGCAGTGCGTACTCAATCTCTGAGCGTCTCGCAGAGAGTGATAAATCGTGCGTGGCCGTGAATAGTGAGACGCCAGGCCCAAACATGACGCGGTCGCCAATCTTGACGGGCGCACAATCGAGGATGATTGTATTGTAGTTGGCATAGAAATTGTCTCCGATCGAGGTGTAGCAGCCATAGTCGAGCAAGAAGGGTTGCTCAATGTAGCACGACTTGCCAACCTTGCCGAGCATTTTCGTCAACATCTCCGTCCTCTCCTTCTTCCACTCTGCCCGACTAGCCTCTTGCGGGAAGTGTGTATTGTACTGGCCCTGCAGCAGACGGATCCGATGCCGCGCTGCGACAAGGGCCGCATCGCCGCAGCTGTAGGGCACACCTGAGATCATGAGCTCTGCCTGCTCACTCTCTGGGACTTGATTCCACGACTTGACTTCATCGATGAGCGCGAGGTCCTTTTCCGTATTGGCCTTCATCTGCTTGTGTATGTTGTAGAAGAAGCCGCCGATGAGCCGTGATCTCGGCCATCTCTGCTTCGGCCCGATGCTCGCGACTGAAGAAGAGGCAGTCACAGTAGCACACTTGTCACTGCTTCGGGACTGTATCTTGCGCCAGGTATGCTCCAGACCGAAGTACTTTGTTGCTGAAGCAACCGAGTACTCATAGAGGCTGAGCGTGTCGACAGGCAAGACTGGCTGAACCATGCACGCGCTGACAAGCACAATCTGTAGGCCCGTATGAAGCTTGGACACGGATGTAGGATGTGAAGATGCAGAGAGCAGACTGAGATCCCAGAAACGTGTAAAGGTGTAAGGCGTCGGCGGTGAGATCGAGCGCCAGTAGAGCGCAGAGAGGCCAAGGGCAAAGTCCAATTCAAGATGGATTAGGGCCATGAGCATCCGCATACCACCTATAGAGGCAATTGCACTAACAAGCGTCGTCATGACGAACCTGTCGGCCAACGGATCAACGATAGACCCAACGAGAGTACCCATGTTGTACTTGTGAGCGATGCAGCCGTCGATCAAATCATTCATCCCAGCAAAGGCTAGCAACACAAGTACCCCCCTGTACCACCTGTGGATGAAGCGATAGGAGTTCCTGGGTGTCATGAGGATGCGCGGAACAGAAAGCATATTGGAACCTGTGTAGATGTTTTCAGGTGCAGCGGCCGGTGGCATTGTTTTTCTGAGTGGCAAGCTGGCGTTTACATGGCAGCTGGATTGCGTATATAGGAGGACGAGATAGGATAGCTGGCAGAGCCCCGGGGCTCCTGAGACAGAGCATGACGAGCAATAGACAGTTGGTTGTTGTGCTCGCTGAGTTTCTGCACTTGCCGTGACTCTGACAACTTGGCTGCAGGCCCAAACCGACGAGCAGACCACAAGCTAAAAGTACCAGGATGTGAGGTTGCTGAGTGGACAAAGTTGCTGCTGCACTACAAGGACTCTCATCACTGTCAAAGATATGCCAAAGAAGCCTGAAACTCGCAACGAGTCGGCAGTAGAACATCTGCCTCGTACAATCCTCTTATCGAGCGGGATGCGAGGGAGTCAAAGCCTCGCTTCTGGACTACTGCTGTTCACTCCTTGCACTCCCTAGCATTTTATTGGTCTTGCCTCTCTGGGCCGCCAACTTGCATGCACTGGCAAAATCTGTGCTCCAAATGCATATGCTACTCATCATGCGAGTTCGCCCTGATGCGGCACGTCATGTCATCAATGGCTTGATGTAAGATCGACGATATGCCTTCCGGGCTCTCTTTGTCTAATCTGAGTCGTGATTGCCGTTCGCCTCTTCTCCAGCTATAACAACGCAGTCTTCATTGCACCGGCGTAGCGATCCGCGTGTCGATGCTCACGCGAGTGACTATCCTGCTGTCGACTTCGTCTCCGGACAACCCAAATCTCTTCCACATCGCCGCTCAGCCTTGGCTGAGCGACATTGTCAAAGCCTCTGCACGCAGCATTGTATCGCTCAAACAATCATCACACTGGGCGTCTGTCGGGCCAGCACCATGTTTCTCAAGGACGTGACAGCTGTTCTACAAAGCTTGGAAGATGATATGTCGAATTTAAGGCTATCACATGTGCCTCCACATGCATCTGAATCGAGCGCACGGACGAAGCGTAGGGCACAAAACATGTCACATGTACCAGCAAGCCACTGATTGCTCACAATACCGCGCAGACTGCTGTACGTGCAAATCTACGAGATGATGAATACTCTCGTCGTCAAGATTATTCACGGGCTATGCTATTCCACTCCTGGTTCGTCACATGACTCTGTCAATATACGGATTCAAGAATAGCAGCACTCCTTCTTCAATGCATCTCATCAAGTGCGCAGCAAAAGATACAGGAGTTCAGCACCAACATACATGATCATCCACTCAACAGCGCCAGATAATATTCTCATTGAGACTGCTTGGCCTGAGATGTGAGAGAGCCACGCGCGTGACTGCGCATGGTATTGCGACCCGACTCCATCAGGCTTGTAGTCTGTCTCCCTTGCTTGGAACCGACAAACAGCGTGCTTCTCTTATCCCGAGCGGCGTAGTCTCCTCAACCAAGTCGTTACTCGGAGTGATCTTATATGCGAGCCACGGTCTGCCGGACGCTTTGACAGAAGGTTCAGCCGCGGATGGTGATGATTTGAGCATCGCTTGGACGTTTCAAGCGAGTGCAAATGTGTCAACATGATGCTTCATCAGACCAAAAGCGCGACAGGATTCCAATCCGCGCATATGCATGCAGTCATTGTGCCTGGGTGAGCTATAGAATGAGCACGACAGAGCAAGATGCAATGTGTGGACTGTTGAGCTCACAGTGAGGTAAGGGTGAGGTTGCGCCTCGTGGTGTATGTCATATCACTGTATAGTATTCGCCTTGTACGGCGCAGGTTATGAAGGAAATAGATGGCTTAGACGGCGACGATTATTTGCTGTCGAGACTGTCATGCTGATGGACCAATAGTCAGGTCTTCAATTGCATCACAAGCACCGTCTGTGGAACAAAGGTAAGATTGATAGATATGCTGCTTATGAAAGGGAGGATGGCTGTAAGGCTTGCACACTCCTTACATGAACCCTCTTGGGGGAAACTCCCCAGGTGCAGCATCCGATGCCGTTTGAACCTTATCCCCAACTCGAGCACCGTGTTGCCAATGGATCACATTCGTATACAATGTGAAGAAGGCCTTTTCCTCAAACGTTCCGGGGGGCTGATACAACCTAGATGGCCTGGGAAAACCACGACCCATACTTTCGGCTGCAAGGGCGTCAAATTCCCCAAACGCGATCTTCACCTTCTCCATTCCCTCCACCTTTTCCGATCTTTCGGGGCCATGGAATTGGACAAGATCATCAAGGTTGTAGTCTTGCGGGCCGTCGTTCTGTATCCACATCCCAGTTGCGAACTCTTTAGCGAACTTTTTGGGTTTGCAGCGTCGCGCCATAGTCTCCTCAGGATTCTGCCAAAGAAAATGCTGTACAGTGACACCGATCTCGCAGTCACACAACTTCGGGAGAAGTTCGGGGTCTTTGCGATACTCGGGCGATGTGCCTGCTCTTGGATTGACGCGTTCATCATTGTGATTGTAATAGTAATAATAGTCATACCATGTGTACCACATCTCCGCCAAAATGTCGTAAAATGTTTCTTTATCGCGCTCGAGTGTTGTTTTCTTGCGCACGCGCATGAAAATGTCAGATGTTCGGTGACATTGGTATGTGCCACTCGAGCTGGAACACTGTGGTATCTGGCCCTTTTGTCGCCCGATTGACAGCTTCTTGGATGCTTCGTTCGTTCGCGCATAGGGATTCCAAGTGATGCTCTCAGCACCAAATCCAGCTTCTCCAAACATAGATTTCATGGTTGCTGCAGTCATCGTTCGGAAATTCGTGTAGCGATTAACAAAATCGTCCGGCTCGTATTGCGATGCCTCTAGACCCCGATGAAAATTCAGCCTAAGGGTTCCAATAATGTCGTTGAAGTTGCCCAAATGATCCGTCATCGGCTTCGGAAATTTCCTCAGCGTGCTCCTCCAACCAAATCGTATCCATCCAAGACTGCAATGATGATGTGCAGTAGGGCTTTGCTCATCATAGTGAAAACGTTTCGATCGGTAGTCTTCCACCTTCGCCCGACATTGTCTGGCACATTCTTCCTCTCCATTGTGGTGTGGAATTGGGAAAGCCTGGAAGAGTGTGAATTCCAAAGGATAGGCCCACAGAATATTTGGTTCGCTGGTCGATGCCTGCCCGTCATGTGCATTGTATGTGCCATCGTAGCCCGTTTCTGCTCCACCATGGACATCATCAGCAAATGCATCGTTTCCGCCAGTGATGTCGGTCCCGTGTCCTCCATGACGGGTACCCTCATCAGATTCAGACTCGCACTTCTTGGAGCTTACACAACCAGCATAAATGCCTCGCACCAGCAAAGAGCCCAATGGCAGAATGCTCAATCCGAAGTTGGAGCTTACACAACCAGCAGAAATGGTTCGCACCAGCGAAGAGCCCAATGGCAAAACGCCCAGACCAGAACACAGCCGAAAAACTAGCATAGTATCCAAATGCAGGTGCTTGAGTCTGACGCTATCCTTTGAAAAAGCGCGCGTCCGTAATGCAGCTGCGCTGGGGCTGGCTGAGCAGTGACAGTTGCAGGCGAAGACTCAAGTGTGATATGAAGACGTGGTTTCCTTCCTCCTACGTGTCCTTTCCGTCCTCATCTTCTGATCCTAGTTTCAGGAGGTGCACTCCTGACCCACGTGACTGTTGCCAACACACCTGCTCTATCACGTTCCGCCTTGTTGCAGCTTGACCCCACGTGTACTTCGATGTGGATGGTGCCCTTGGCCATCCACAGTTTTATTGAAGAGGGCACGAAGGGTTACGGGTAGCGCGGAAATTTAAATATGTAAAATGCTCCAATTCGTCTCGTTCGAGTCTGAGAAGGCTCAGCGAGGCTCTCAGTTAGCGTATGATACATCGTTGTCTAGTGATTCCTTCTATTCATCGCGCAGTAAGGCCATCTATAGTTTTGTTCAGGGGCCGGGTGGGGGAAATGAGCAGATGATCAGGGGTCGTATCAAAAGATTTTACTTTCGTTACAAGCCAATCATTTTAGCTGTAGTCTGCTCTGATATGTTACTCGACCTCATTTGCGTCTCGATGTGCTCTCTTGTTACATCGCAGAGCAGGAGGGACACTCGCTAGTCCTGCTTCAGGTCTTTATTGTCTCTCATTGCTCAAGCGATGCGCCATCAGCTTGCTCAACGACCAGGAGAAGGACTTACTTTCGTTACAGGCCAATCGTTCGGACCATCATCAAACTTGCTCAACGTCCAGGAGACGAATTTACTTTTGTTACAGGCCAATAGTTCCTCTCGTGGAGACTTTACTTTCGTTACAAGCCAATCATTTCAGCTGTAGTCTCCTCTTTGCTTCAGATCATTGTTGTCTTCTCATCGACTCATATATTATTGGAAAACGTCAAAAGCTGACCGGAAACAAGGCAACAATGGCCGCTTTCGGAAAGATTAAGCGACGCGCACAGGTGAAAGAAATCCATCATCAATCAGAAGAGAATCAGATGGAACTTCTTTGCCCAGCATGACCACGTGACCATCAAGGAAACAGCAATTAAAGGCGGCTGGAGCGACTTTGTTACAACCTTTTGTTACAACCTTGCTATTGTGAAGGGTGACATCTCCCATACTCCTTGCTCTTATGATATTGCTGTCATGGTTCAACTTATCGAACGACTTCGCATAGTGACAGATGCTATGGCCAACGCCACACTATCGAAACTGCAGCTTGATAATATTGCGGCGGCAAGCAAAGTGCTGCCAATCAAACTGTACTGCAGGCTACATCTGTGCGTAGACGAAATAGCAACAACTCCCTGATCGTCGCGTGTCAAAATTGCTACGCTCAGTTGCTCCTGTCGTCAGGTGACTGCAAATCAGCAATGCCAGCCAGACAGCCAGCAGATCAGCTAGAATAGCCACGTCAGCACTTCAGTTGCATAAACCTGCTCTGCGGCTGCGTTCAGACGCCCTCTAATGAATCTACTGCATCTGCGATCTCATACCTACTTGGATATGGAGGACACTGAAGGGCCTGACACATCCGATCAGCAGTATGGTCAGTTGATTGCATTGATACAAAATGGTATGGATTTCATGGATTGTTATCTCAGCTTTACTAATGCCATTGAAGATCAACTTCAGTCGCTTGCAGATACGAGGACTGGCTTAGCTTCCAAGACTTGCTCTCTCTGCAGACAGCAGAAGCCACTTATAGAGTTTCTCGGTGCTACAGGCCGTCGGTCTCTCGCACGTTGTCGAGACTGTCGAAGTGTAAGTCAGGCCAATTTGTCTTGATTGGCTTCTTTGCTAACAAATGTCCAGAGAAAGGCCAGAGACATGCAACGTGCCAGAGCTACACGAAAAGTTGGTTCAAATTTGCCTTCCCAAGCGGTTGTAAGCGCTATCAACAGTGCAGCTGGTCAATCTGCAGAGAACAGTCAAGTTAGGGTTAGGGTTAGGTTAGGGTTAGGGTTAGGGTTAGGGTTAGGGTTAGGGTTAGGGTTAGGGTTAGGTTAGGTTTAGGGTTTTTTTAGGGGTTTTTTTTTTTTTTTAGGGGGTTTTTTTTT